AAGCCCCCCCATATATAGGGAAATAGTCTGATTTAAAAAAAAAGTATATCCAATGAAAGATGTATATAAATACTACTTCTCATGAAAAAATTGTATTGATCCATACATTTTTTAAAAAGTTATAGCATAATAAAGTTAAAAATGTAAAGTACAAAATCGAGAATTTTCACACAAAAATAGCATTTGGTAGCCATTTTCACCGGGAAGACAAAATAAAGTCCAAAATTTTTTTTCCATGATAAAGTATATTACATTAGCTTTAATTTAAGATATATATAAAAGTGTCAGACCTTCCGGAACATTTTCAAAAGTTAAGTTGAAAAAGTTAATTTTTTGTGAAAAAGTTGTCATTTTAAATCCCCCCCTGTGGGCAGGTTAAGGGTCAGATTTACAAAAAAAATATACCAAATGATAAGTAAAGACATCAAGCATCTATATAAAAAAAAATTATATTGATATGTTCATTTTTGAAAAAGTTAGAGCATTATTAAGTTAAAAATATAAAAAAAAATTATTTTACAAAAATCGTAATTTTTTATTAACTTTGATGTCAACTTTCACCACGAAGACAAGTCCAGAGGTCAAATTTTTTTTTTTCAAATTAAAGTATATTACATTAGCTTTAATTTAAGATATATATAAAAGTGTCAGACCTTCCGGAACATTTTCAAAAGTTAAGTTGAAAAAGTTAATTTTTTGTGAAAAGTTGTCATTTTAAATCCCCCCCTGTGGGCAGAAAAAAGGTCAAGATTTACAAAAAAAATATACCAAATGATANCAGAAAAAAGGTCAAATTTACAAAAAAAAAATATACCAATTAATAGGTAAAGAGATCAAGCATCTATAAAAAAAAAAATTATATTCATATGTTCATTTTTGAAAAAGTTATGACAGTTTTTAGTAAAAAAAATTGAAAAAATTTCGAAAATTAGCGATTTTTAAATTTGTAATTTTTTTGGAGGTTTCCCCNTTTCGAAAATTAGCGATTTAAATTTGTAATTTTTTGGAGGTTTCCTCCATTTACGGGGAACGAGGGAAATTTTTTCAATTTTGAAGGGTAATGTCTTCGACTAGATACGATTTGTGATCTTTTGACGTATCGTTGAAAGAAATTGGTTCAGTGAGAGCTGAGAAAAAGTGGTAACAGACACAAAAAAAAACATATCATAGTAAAACCAATATCTTCTCAGCTTCGCATCGAAGCTAAAATATATATATGATGGCACTTGTTCTAGGGTAAAAAGTTAGGGAGAAGTAATAGAAGGTTTTAGGGTAAGAGTAGGAGTGCACCAAGTCTCCAATTCTCGAGAACAATTGTTAACATTAATTATTCACTTGTGTTGCTTATATAAATGAATGATCTAAAGTAAAAACCGAATCAGTTTACGGTAATCTTGATAATTTATTGCCCGAGTTCAGTGAATTAGACTTGTTTGATGTTAGTAATTATTATTTATACTAATTAAATTCATATAAATTTATTTTATTTTATCTTTGTTATAACCATTCACAAGCTATATTATTACCGCCATTAAGACATAGATGTATATTCTGTATGAATCTGCTGTTTGGTGATCATTATGTTGCATATACCATTATGTTAATACGTTCTCTTTTACTAATTACATATCCGTCATCTGAAAGTAAAAAGGTACTAACACAACTTTTTCCTAATAAATACATTTAAAAAATAATCACGCATCATTAAGTTTTTAATTAAGTCATTACAAACATTATATACTCTCGAAGTACACAACTTACCGCTGCATAGTGGTCCAAAACTCAATTCTAGCTGGATAAAATTCCGATTATAATAAATGCAAAAAAAAAAATCAAACCAATTATATATTATATTAATTTGATACGTTCCTTAGTAATAATCTTAGTAATAAAGTTTCGAGGTCATACTTGAACCTGTTCGTATTTTATGGCTATTTTAGATTTAAAGTTTTGTTTTAGCCACTATTTTAGGTAAAATAAAACAATGTTAAATTTTTTTTTGACTTAGTTGTCGTTATTAATAATGAAAAATACAAGAGAACCTCATAGGGTTGTCATACAATCTTATTTATAGATGCCAATTGAAGTTCAAATGCAAAATATGAAGTATGGAAAAATAGCTGTTTCAAGGCATCTTGGACAATGACAGAATAATCACATAAACGTTCCAGTCACACCCGTCGCAGGCGGCACTCGTCAAACCTTGCCAGTAATCAAGCTTTTAGCTAAGACTACATGTTATCCATATAAAAAACTTGATAACCCATATTACCGAGGGAACACGATAATGCAAAATGATTTAAATGGTGGATATTATTTCAAACAGAGGATATTAAAAAAAACGGTAGCACAGTGGGATTACGGTATTTTGAAGATAATTATGCAGTCAGAATATTGTATAATTACTATTTATATTAAATTTATGAGAAAAGATCAACAGTTCGTTAAAATCACTATTTTTTTATATTAATATGAAAATAAACCATTTCCATGTAACTCTTGGTGTTTAAAAAGATTCTTTTGATTGAAATATTCAGAACTTTATTAATTTTAATGGTATATATTGTTATTAACTAAACAAACCAATCAAAAAGTTATAAAATATCTTTCCATTTAGCCTATTATAAAATTGATTACAATTGTAAAAATCCATTGTTATATTCAGATGAAACCCAAAATCATTTTTTTATAAATGATTTATACAACATGTTACCAAAAAAATTGGAATATTTTAGACAGGTAGTAGCACACACAAATAGTTAAAAGATATCGAAGTAAAATTATTTTTTTTTGTAGTTGAAATCTATTATCATATCAAACTTAATTTGACAATATACATAGTGTTCAGTAAGTAAGAAAATAGATCAATTTTTGTAAATAATGAGAAAAATTGAAATCCGTTTCCTTACTTACTGAACACTCTACTTACTATAAAAACATTAGAGATTAATGCTTTCAACTGTCTATATAGAGAAAATAGATAAAGAAACATAAGGGAAACATACTGTGATAAAGCCTTGATATTCATTCTATCATTCATTTTTTAATGTTAACTCTAATTTATTAACACATATTTAGTTTTAAATGTTGATACCACTGAAATCGAATCATACATTTACTCAAATTAAAAAGGTTCTAAACAATAAAACATTTTATTTTATCAGAATGAAAAAGTTCTACGTATAATGAAATATGGTAATGGTATAGTTCACTATAGTTTATGTAGAATTTTTATGCTCGCGACGTCATATCTCAGTAATTTGTCATTTACTCAGCTTATAACCAACAAATAATAATCAACCATTAGATATAATAAAATACTTTAATCAAGTTTCATTACATTCTATCAATCAAAATATCAAAAATTTCTAATGAGGTTACAAAAAAAAAAAAGAAACACTGAACCATAAATCGTTTTCCTGAATATATAAAATGCTGCATTAGAAAACCTTTTTGTTTCAAGGCGATGAATTCTATGATCAATTATTGTAATATGCTGAAGGTTTAATAAGTATTATATAATTAGCAAACATTTATTACAAATCATTATCTATCGAAAATTTTGTTACTTCAACATACACGAAACGACGTGGAATATATAAATGACAATAATAACAACATAATGTGTTTAGTAAAATTATGAAATAAAATGCGGGTATAGATTACATGCACCTAACGTCTTTATTGGATAGCGACAAAAATACACTTCTAATCATATTTATTCCGCTAGATGCGAGGCTAACTCGGGACGAATTGCAATTGCAGCTAGTCGTAAACTATTGTTACAGAATGATTAAGAATAAAAGAATAATGACATAGATTATTACATTTGTATTTTGTTACTTCGTATTCTCTTAGATATGTTGTTATGGAGTGGTTTTTCATTTTAGCTTCGGTTGCTACATCATTTATTGTTGTAATTTTCTTTATACTCATTGGTAAGTTCATTCTATGAAAAATTAAGACCACATGTTTTTCAGTAATATTAAAACAATAAAGTACTTGTGTTAATGTTTAATATTTTGTGGATTTAAAGTTTTATTGTTATTAAAAAAGTAATGTATTAATGACATTTAAGGGATGCAAGGATTATATTTTTTCTTTCAATTTTAAAGGGTTGAAAAATTATCATATCATTAATTATTTCTCCGTTTTGAGAAGCTATGTACAACTGGGAGAGACTGAATTTAGCTCCTAGACTAAAAATTAGCCTTCCCAAAAATTTAGATAGTTTTCAATATATTAATAAAAAAATGTAGTCTGGGAGCAAAATTAATTTAGTGACCTCAACAATTTTATTGTTATTGCTTCTATAGCTATTAGTCAAAAAACTCTATTTATGACCCTGTAGGTATTAGGGGAACATTACTTTTTAAATTAATTCATTGACCAAATAAATTTTTAATCACTCATTAGAAATAAAAAGTAAGTTACATAACAAATATGAATGAGCCAGTTTGTAGAATATTATTTTTATACATTTTTTGTTTCTATTTATTTTTAAATGTCTACCTTGGTCTCAATGATTTTATACCATGCTGATAAGTAAACATATCTAAGAATATCTATAGCAGTAGATATTTTTAGTTATTCTTAATTACTCTAGATATACTATTCAGCTATTTCTCTTCTTAGTGTATTTGGTTTTATTTTTGCCAATAAACAGATTGTTTATAAGAGTTGTAAAAGCATAGTTTTGATTATAAAGTTGATTCACAAGTTTTTTTAAATAAAATAGTTCATTGTTTCATTATCTACTTACAAAATATTTTTTGTGTGACATTATCCAAGAACCTTTTTAATATTCAAAACATAAGGATATGTGCATAGCTTGTTGTGAGTGGGTGAATGTTGAAATTGTTATTAACATTTGGTTAACCAGAGGTTTTATGTCTTCTAGTGAAGCGACTAGTTCTTTATTATAAAATATATCCATATACAAGATAATTGATTGACTATACCATTTCATATCAAGTCATTACAGTAAAGTGTTAATGACTTCCAAAATACTCCTGGTTCAAATATTCTTTATGATGGTTCATTTTCTTAGTTACATCATTCCTTATTTTTAAGCTAGTTAAACATATATATTTCCATTTAAAAAACCAAAGATTATAACATTTTAAGGGAAAGGATAGGACTACATTTTTTTTGAAAATTATATAATATAATAGTATCCTAAATTATAGGATACTATTAATTTCTAAAAAGTATAAATTATATTAATATTTTTAAAGATACTGTGTGAGGCATAGTTAACATTCTCCCTGCATAGTAGGTAAGATAAATGACCATTTTTAAGATCCACCAAAATTAAGTAATTCAAATTTTTAACAATGTATTTTTATTTTGAAGGATGGTGTTTAGTTTGGAAGCTTTATCTTTCAAAATTCAAGTTAGTTCGTGAACTCTTTTCTCGACAAGTTCCTGAATCTGAAAGTTTAACTAATAAGACTCAGAAGATTAATTGAAATACTGTAAAAATGAATATACGTTGTGCTAAACCAGAAGATTTAATGAATATGCAGCATTGCAATTTATTATGCTTACCTGAAAATTATCAGATGAAATATTATTTTTATCATGGTTTATCATGGCCACAGCTAAGTTATGTTGGTGAAGATGAAAAAGGAAATATTGTTGGTTATGTATTAGCTAAAATGGAGGAGGATTGTGAGGATAACCCTCATGGTCATATAACATCCTTAGCAGTTAAAAGGTCTCATAGAAGATTAGGTCTTGCTCAAAAATTAATGGATCAGGCTGCAAGAGCTATGGTTGAGTGTTTTCAAGCTAAATATGTTTCATTGCATGTAAGGAAAAGTAACCGAGCAGCATTAAACTTATATACAAATACTTTAAAATTTACTATTTCGGAAATTGAACCAAAATATTATGCTGATGGCGAAGACGCTTATGCTATGAAAAAAGATTTGTCACTTTTGTCATTATTGTCAGCTGATGATGATATTCCAAGCAGTAACACCCTGTGCAGTGCTATGAAAAAAGTTGAAATTGATGCTAAATAAAGTTAGTTTTCAAAATAATATACAAGAGATGAATTATATTTGTATTTTATTTTTAAATAAACATTTGATAATTTGCTATTAAATTTATTATTGTTACCAAAACATTTAAGCGGAGTTTTTGCAATACTATTATGATTAGAAAACGGATTAATATCCATTTATAAATTATATTAAGTTATTTTAAACACATTAATCAGCCTATAAAATTTATTAATTGATTTGATCACATAGTAATGTGATTTATTTAACTAGTGTTATAGTGTTGGGAGGGATGTGCATATAAACCCAGACTTTAATTGTAATGAAGTCTTAATATGCCAAATGTATCTTTCTTTCAAGTATATATTTATTAATTTATATTTTCCTAGAATTTATTCTGTTTACCTGTTTTAACTTTTATGTTTAACTAACAGAGAAAGCACATTAGAAAAATGATAAAAAATCCATTTAAAACAGTAATTTTTAGTCTTACTATATTAATAAATAGCTACTTAGTAAAGAAAAATGGCTAATACTTAGTAAAGTATTTTTAATATAATTTTGATAATATAATTCACATTGCAAAACAATATTGGTCAATAACATTAAAATCTGTCATAACAAACAAATTTCCAACTATTAAAAATTATTTTTTTACAAATGACATGTCAGTAACTACAATGAAATTTATCAAATTATTAATTAGTATAATAGGAATTAACTTAATTCTGGCAAATAAGAAATACAGTAAACATAAATTAAATGAACTAAGAAAATTTTGACAATGGACTAGTTACATATTTATTAGAATTGCATTATAGATTAAAATGAATTGCATACATCACTAAAAAAAAGTATGGTTACAATAAGTTATTACTTTTAATAAATTTATATCTTAAATTTTAAAACATGTTAAGATTATCAATTATTAAATTATTGATTAGATATAATTGTAAAGATTTTTATGTATCAATGTAAGAATGTACATTTGCCTATTTTTAGTATCATGCTAAAAGCTTTTAGCATATATATGTCCTTAGTTTAAGTTAAATTATAATTTTAAATAAATTGCTTAACTTTTAAATTGTATAAATTAATGAGATTTTAGAAAGAGAATTTACAAGAAAAAAAATCAGTATTAAATAGTTAAAAAAATAATAGTGTAGGAACAAAATTAGATCACAGTTAACAAAATATTATTAGACAATATTTTTAATAAATAATTAATTTTTTCTAAAAGTTCTTTAAGTTTAGTCATTTTAAACAAAATTTTAAAGGGTAATACTTACATAAATTGGTATTTTTTCTTAAAACTAGTATCGTATCTAAAATTAATTAAATTAAATTAAATAATAAAATTTATTACTAGAATTATTGAGCATATACAATTTAAACTGTAAAACTAAATAAAAGTTAATTATTTTTTTATAAACACAAAATAACTTGCTACGATTAATGACTTACAATATTAGCTGACATATTTTAAGTTTAATAACATATGTTATGTAATTTTTAACCTAATATTAACTAATGACTAGTAATAAATAGAAATAAAAAACAGGTTATTTCACTTAAAACAATCCAGATATCTATTATGAAAAATATTAAACATTTTTATTTTCTTTAATATTTGATACGATTAGTTTTTAAATCAAATAAAAAATATAAATTAAAACTTAACTGAATTCTAGAATTATAATAAAATTATAAGTAATAGTTTTAGCTAAGTCATCAATAAACTCACAAAAAAAAAGACTAAAAAATTAATAAATTAGAAAATTAAAAAATCACAAGTAAAAAAATTATAGTAATAGTAAAGTTTTTTTTTTTTAAGTTTGGTTAATTATAGCTATCATTAACATTTTATTATAATTATACTCAAGGTTAAAGATTTTTTTATAATTATTATTTCATTTTAGCAAATAATAATAATAAATATTATGCAGTAGTCGATTTTAATATTGTAGATTTTAAGTCATTAGAAATATGGGAAATTTCTACAACAGAATCAACCATTTCTTGTACAGCATTAACACTGGGAAACAACTGAGCTGCTTTTTTTGACTTTTGTACAATTGTTGATATAGATTCATATAAAGCATTACAACACTGGATAATATGATTTTTACGAATCGACTGTTGAACAACCTGACAGATAGTATCACCAACTATAACTAACTGATGAGCAATTAATACAACAAATTTGACTTGTTCTACAAAAATTGGCGGTGGGCGATTATGCTCAACTGTTTGAAGAAATATATTAATATAGTGAGCTAAAAGATTTGTTTGGTTGATAATATGTTGAGCATATAATTTATATTTCTAAAAAAAAAAAAAAAATTGTTTATAATAAGAAATTAATAAAAAATAATTAAATTTAATGAAAATAATAAATTGGAAAATTTATTAGTATTTAAACTAATATATATTTTTTTCTTTTTAATCCCATTAAGAGTTATAGTGATTTCTCCCAAAGGAGAGATTTTCTTAATCATTGATACCCTGGGATGGGTGGTTAGTTGCTGGAGAAAGGAATAGTGACTCCAATTATGGATTACCAACCGATCTCTCGCTCAGCAAATAAAGCAGCCCGTGACCAAATTTCAAACTTGAAGTAGTGTGTGTCAAGAATTGAAACGTTACCGACTTGGCCACACTATCCCTAATTAATTTTACCAATAAATAAAATAAGAACAATGAATGCATATTATTACTTACTTCTTTGTCTTCAACAGAGTACATAGAAACATTTTTCTCATTTGTTTCAATTTTATCAGTAATTAATTCATTTCTAATACATTCATAATGCCTATCATTTTCTTGAGAAAAAATCAACCCTTTTCTGAAAAGTAAAGTTGAATTGCCCTATATATGATAAATTGTGTTGAAATGAAGTTTGTAATTAAACTAAAATTGAACTAATTATTAATTTAGTACTTTTATAAATGAAGTTATTTGTCTGATATCATCAGTTAAAAGTTTAGCACATGAAATTAATTTGTCTAAGGCATCTTCAGAATAGTTATTATCCACTTGTGAATCTCTACTCAAAACATTAGGAATCCATCCTAAATAATCTAATGAATTTATAGAACAGTTTATTATTTTGCAAATTTTTATTAAATTTATAATCAAAGGATGGAGTTTTACAGATATTCCTGAAACATAAATAAATAAATAACTGGATAAATAAAAATAATTCAATATTTAATACATATAATCAATTAATTAAATCAAAAAGTATTCATAAATTATATCATTACACATATCAATTATGCAGTGTGATTAGTTAATCATAAACCAATTGAATTCTCATAAAATAAATTAATTGAAAAAAACATTTTTGTTTTCATTTAGTTACATATATTTCTTGCACACAATGGACCAACATGTCTGAGTGCATTGGCATTATGTCCACCTCGATAATAACTACATATATTTCTTAATTTACTAGTCATTAATTACTTTTTAAAACCATCTCTTATAACTTATAGAGGTATCCACTTTATTATTTTAAATTGCAACATACTTATTTAACTAGCTTATAAAATAGAAAATGACTGATTCAATAACAACTTTTGGACCAGTATTTCAAAAGTTATTAACCATTTAAAGTAATAGCTGCATATGAAGAGTGGGTGCTGTTATTTTTTTAACTACACATTTAAAAAAAACATACTTTTCCTCTCACCTACATACAAATAAGTTAATAACTTCCAAAATTCTGGTTCAAAAGTTGTTATTGAACCAGTAATTTTCTTAATTAAATCATTATTTATCAAATAAGCTAGTTAATTATGTGTTTTCATTTGAGAAATTAAAATTGACATCCTTTTAATGAGTAAGGGATGAATATAATTTTTTTTCATAATTCATACATTTAGAAAAACGTTGAACTAAAAGAATATAATAACAAAATTATTAATATTATTTATATTTTTCGATTAATTAAGTATTTCATGATAAGTGAATCACCTTAGTTATGTAATATTTTATACTTATATGAAATTCATACAATTTAAAACAAAATAAAATATTGATGTAGAGTTAAAGTTTAAATACCTTTGTCAGGAGCATTTAAAGAATTTCCAAGACAACCTTCAGAAAATTCAACTAATTTATGTAATCCATTTTTGAGATTTATTGAAGTTAATTTTATAGCTGGTATATTTATCTCTAAATTTTTTTGAGTTCTCCAATTAGGACTAGCAAATCCTAATAACCTAGAAGTGGTTGAACAAATATCAATAGTTAATTTATCTAAATAGTCTAAAGCAGAGTTCAAATTAAGTGACAGCTCTTTTGACTGAAAATTATTTGAAGGAACATCGTAATCCTAAAATATTAAATAGTCAATTAATCAAAACAAAAAATTATAATCTTAGAAAATGTATTACTTCATTATTTATTAATAGTTGTTGGAAATCTGAAGGTAATAATTCAGTTTTTCGACTTTTGGGTATATCATATTCAGGAACAACACTAGATCGATTGGATTCCCCTTCACTTACACTACTACAAACTCCACCTGTTGACAATGAACTTATAGAACTGCTAGGAGTTAATTGAATATTTATAGATTTAGGCACATCATAATTTTCTTTTGATACTATCTGGTGTTGACTTGGAATAGGATCATAGTTATCACTACAACAGCTACTATTATAACCATTACTATTAGGCCAATCAATGTTTTCACTAGCTAATCGACCTGTAGAAATTATAAAAATAATTATAAATAATATATTATTTAGAATATTTTTATTATAAATAATTATATATACTATGATTTATTGGTGGTATATTATATCCACAAGATTCAACTGACTTATGCGGGATGTCATACATGAATAGATCTCCTAATTTTTTCTGTGAACAAAAATTTAACTATTATAATCATTGAAAATTTAAAATAATTATATATTAAATTTCTTACTTTAGTTATATGAAAACTTTGGGACTTATTTTCATAGTTCAATTGATTTTGTTCACGATTGCTATTTGGCATTAGTTGATCTACTTCATACATTCCAGGAATTAATCTCAATCTATTTCCTGGACAAATTCCCTAAACATTTTATTTTTAACTCAAATTACAAAAAAATAAATGTTATCTATTTTATCAACTATTACAAATTAAAAAAACCCAGTACAGGGGGGTCGTGGCACAGTGGTCACGTGGCATAGTTGGGTCAAGTATAATGATATCAGACAGTGATTCAAACACTATCATAAAAAACGTTTCCATGCAAATCATTAGTGTTTAATTTTAAAAAATTGGTGGATTATTCCAAAAGCTACATGATCTGCTATTTCCTTATTTATATCCTGATTAAGATAAAGCATGTCGAATGAAAGAGGTATATAAATATTATTTCTCATAAAAAATTGTATTGATCCATACATTTTTCAAAAAGTTATAGCATAATAAAGTTAAAAATGTAAAGTACAAAATCGAGAATTTTCACACAAAAATAGCATTTTCACCGGGAAGACAAAATAAAGTCCAAAATTTTTTTTCCATGATAAAGTATATTACATTAGCTTTAATTTAAGATATATATAAAAGTGTCAGAGTTTCCAAAACACTATCAAAAGTTAAATTGAAAAAGTTAATTTTTGTGAAAAAGTTGTCATTTAAAATCCCCCCCTGTGGGCGGCAGGTAAAGGGTCAGATTTATAAAAAATATATACCAAATGATAGGTAAAGACTTCATGCATCTATAAAAATTTTTTTTATTGATTTGGTAATTTTTAAAAAAGTTATGGCAGTTTTAAGTAAAAAACAACAGCACAGTGGGGTGGCGGCACAATGGGGTCGTGGCATAGTTGGGTCCAGTATAGATGATATCTGACAGTGATTAAAATCACTATCATAAAAAACGTTTCGATGCAAATCTGTAGATAGTGTTTAATTTATAAAAAAAAAATGTGTTAAAATAGCATATTTTTGAATACGGTAGCCTTTTGCGCATAGAAGATAGGTCGTCAGGACAAATTTTTTTTTTTCATTTTATAGTACATGAAATAAGCTTTAATTTGATATATGTTTGAAGGACGCAGTATTTCCGGAACATTTTCAAAAATTAATTTTTGTAAAAAAGTTGCCATTTTAAATCCCCCCCAATGAGCAGGTTAAGTGATAGATTTTCAAAAAAATGATATCAAATGAAAGGTAGATATTTAAGGTTTTAGTATAAAAAAAAATTATGTTGATTTGTTGATTTTTCAAAAAGTTATGGAAGTTTTAAGAAAAAAAAGTGAAAAAATTTCGAAAATTAGCGATTTTTAAATTTGTAATTTTTTGGGGGATTTCCCCCGTTTACAGGGAACGAGGTAATTTTTTTCAATTTTTGAGGGTAATGTCTTCGACTAGATACAATTTGTGTTCTTTTGACGTATCATTGAAAGAAATCGGTTCAGTGAGAGCTGAGTTAAAGTGGTAACAGACAAAAAAAAAAAAAAAAAAACACATCATAGTAAAACCAATACCTTCTCAGCTTCGCATCAAAGCTAAAAAATGTTCTTAGTTTCTCCTGAATTAACAATGGATTTTTAGATCTTCTTAACAACTTTGTTTTGATTAGTTATTTTATTTAAAGTAAATCATTAATATTAATTCAGTTCATATTTCAATTGTAGAATCTTTTTAAATACCAAAAGTTACTATGAAATGATTACAATTATCTATTACAATAAAAATGCAAAAAAATATTGAGATTTTTTAATAAATAATAATTATAAAACTTCCTGACTGCATATTAATCTTAACGATATAATTTTCTTAATTCTCATAATATTTTCTATTTAAAGATGTTAATTTCAAATTTGCAAATTGAGCTAAAAGTTATGGTTAAATTAATTTTTTTTTTACTATAAACTTCACAAAAATCAACTTTAAAGGATTAAAGAAATATGTCATTTTCCTTATTTTTAACATATTAATAATAAAAATCAATATTAATTTAAAAGAATTTTTTTTGTTCGTAATTTTTTTTTTTATATGTAAATATTTATTTTTTAATAATAATAAGTAATAATATTGAAATTTAGAAGTCATAGAAAAAGTCTAATTGCATATTTGAAAACATTGCAAGAAGTATAATTTTGTTTCTGATAAAAGTTTCTTGTAGTCCAGTGTATAAAACTTGTTATAAGTAACAAACATTTTTTATTGAAAAGTATAGCATCAAGCCCTTTTAATTTTTATACGCGTTAAAAGTAAAGAAATATACAACTACTTAAATATTTTTATAATATCTCTGTAAAAATTAATTTTATTAAATTATTGAATATCAATTTCATACTAAATTTAATTATTATAATTATAAATCAAATAACTAATCGGGATATAATTAAGGGAATAAGAGTTATTGTTGCTTTTGAAATAATCTACCAATTTCTTAAAATTAAACACTATCTACAGATTTGCATCAAAGTGTTTCTTATGATAGTGATTTTAATAACTTTTAGATATCATCTATACTTGTACCAACTATGCCATGTCCATACTGTGCCGTGACCCCACTGTGCTACCGTTTTTTTTTAATAAATGTAAATATAAAGATTATCTTCTTCTACTTCTTCTTCCTCTCTTTAACCCCAACTACTTGGAGTCGGCCACCCGTATCCTAATCTTCTACTTGACACAATCTCCCACATCCTTTACGCTCATATCAGCTGTCCTCATATCACATTCAATAACATCTCTCCATCTCCTTTTTTGGCCTTCCTCTACCTCTTCTTTCTTAAACATTCAGTAAATGTAAAGATTATATTTATCATAAATAATAATAAGAACTTAATTACAGTTACATGAATAAAATATTTCTAAATTTATGAATTCAAGTATCTAAATTAATTATACCTGGCGNTCTTCTTTCAAGTATCTAAATTAATTATACCTGGCGTCCTCTTAAAGAACATAACCACCATCCTTCCAAACCAGCAGTATTCTGTTCTAACACAGTAAGTATGTCATCCTTCTTGAACGCTAATTCATCTGGTGCTTCAGCAATATTATCATACATAGCTCTAGCAATACAATTCTATAAAAAAATTAATATTTAAAGTAATACTAGAGATATTTTAAATATGCAACTATTGTTCTTATAATAGGAATTTATTACGTGTGGCTAATATTATTTAAAATATTAATTAAAAACTAAATAATATAAAAAATATTTAACTCATAAGTATTCTGAATTATTTTACTATTAAAAATTTATGAAACAGACTAAATTATTTAGTATAGTTCAAAATCGGTTTTCTTAAAACATTTAAAAAAACTATCTGATTTTAAGTAGTTTTTCAATTAATTTATTTAAAGCAAATAAATAATTATTTACAAGTTTATTGATTGTATGAGGCTTATTTTACACAAAATAGTATAACATATATTATTTAAACTTACAGTAAAACCATTATTAGTTAAATCATTAGAGTGAAATTGCATCATATTTAAAACAGTACTTAATTTGTTTGATTTTCAAAAACAATTATTTTCGCAAATGTTAACGTAAATGCCAGGATTACTGTTTAAAAAATTAATATCACATAATTGTTTATAATTAAAAATTAACTAAATATTATTATTTAAAACTAATAAAATTTAAAAAACAACCAGTCTTTCTTTTTTATAAACATTTTTTTCATACTCCAATGACTCATAACTACTAAAGATGAGTCACGTCGCTACCTATTGATGAATGATAATTTATCATGATTGTTTCTGTACTTCTGTTATCAGCCGAGAAGTGTTTTCACGTCAAAGTTACAAAAAACAATTGTTTTTTTACTAATTATTAATAGTATAATAAACATATTATTAATTTATGCAATAATAATAGTTACAAGTGATGTGAAAAATTTTTCAAAGTGTGATAATTCAAATTTTGGATTTGAAATTACAAATTTTTTCTAAATATTAATATTTATATTCTAAATATTCTAAATTCCGTAGTTAGAATGTGATGTTATATGTCGTCTCTGATATTTCAATTTTGTATTAATATTCAATACCGCGTTCTGAAATTTTGGCATGTGGAACTTATTTTAAAAGAATGCTTGCCTTTCAACCAGTATCCCTTGTTTTATGAGACAAAAATCAAGACAATCTTTGAGTACACTGGAATTCATTTACACGAACTCTTATTGTTTTTTCATTCTTGCTTATGGATGTAACTCAAGCAAAAACTCTGAGGATACTAAAATTTAGTTATGCTTAAAAAACACCCCCAAGTTATTACTTGCCAGGACGACGTGAACAAATATAAAAAAAATTATTTTACTTATAAACCATTATATTTACATTATTTTGTGGTTCATCATATATATTGTATAAAAAATCTGTTCATAAAAAATTTTTTAAATTAAATGTAAAGTTATGTGAATTAAGACTTGGGTACCGAGTTTTGATTGGATGTGCTGCAGTACCCCCTCTAGTTATGCCTATGATTAGACTATCTTAAACTGTATTAGATTCCATTTAAAATTTAACATAAACACAAACCATTTAATTAAAAGAATATTACATTAACTTCAATACCTAAAACATACCACATAGACTTAAATGTAATTGGAATCTTTTCATATAACAAAACAATAACAACAAAATCATAACTAAAATATAATTTTAATTAAGACTAATTAATGTTTCCACCAATAGGTGACTTCTTTCAATAACAATAATGCTATGTAATAAAATATGTAAAAACCTTATTGAAAATTTTTTTGTACAAATTGTTTTTACTATTAAAAAAAACCCAGCACAGTGTAAACATAGCATAGTTGAGTCCAGTATAGATTTAACAGAGTTAAAAAATTAATAAATTACAAAGTAAAATTATTTACTTTTGCTGTTTAATACTTTTATTATATAAAATCTAATTCGACAATAAATACATTAAAAATATTATAAATGAATCATTTTGATTGTTTGTATGGATAAAGCTGTTTAAGGTACTTTTTATTAGATTAAAGGAATTTTTTTTCAATTTTTGAGGGTAATATCTTCAACTTAATACGAATTGTAATCATTTGACATATCGTTGAAAAAAGTAGGTTATTAAATAAAAATATTAAAGGCTTATTAAATTATTTTATCATAAAAAATTCATTAGAAAGTACTGTAATCATTTAGCCAATGTTTTTCTGCTAAACTATTAATTACAATCCTCCTATTATTGTCAAAATTGTTAAATATTAGCCCTATGTATAGTATAACCAACGTTATCACTTTGGTTGTAGAATACAATTGTGTTAATTAATACTTGTCCCATTGTAATATCATTTATATATAAATTTTTTTAATAGGGTAGGGAAACTTATGATTCAACAAAAATGTATCATCTATAAAATTTAAAAATAAACCTGCATCTTAAGCCTTTGACAAAAGTTACCCAATGTCTAGGTATTAAATTCATGAATATTATACTTTAGTAAATACAATAATTAAGAATAAAATATATAAGCAATTTTTTTAATTTATTAATTTGAGTTTTAATTAAATTAAGTAATAATTTATAAAACTACTAAAGAGCGAATTCAACAAATATTAGCATTACATAAATATATCTTAAAAACTTAGAAGTTTAATCACATTATACTTAAATACACAGGACACAATTTGTCCTATTCAAAAGCTATATATATATATATATATCATATAACAAATTATTTGGTTTGAGTAAATATATCTCCATACTGATTAAAAGACTCTCCAGGCGTGGATGAATTTCTTTGATTGCTTTGAGAACTATCCCATATAGGTTGTGAATTTGGTTGTGATGCTCTAAAAAATAATACATATTAGTTAGTATAGCTTTTTATTTAAAAGTGATTAAATAATAAGTTTCAAAATTTCTTTAATAAAAAATAAAGTATTATGATTTATAAAATTTTACTAAAATCAGTCTTGGAATTGAACATTTTTTAAATTTAAGGTATACAATGTTTATGAAAATTATGCATAAATAATTATAGTTATCCATAAATTACAAGGTAAAAAGTTATAGACACTTTTAAATTTAAAGGGATGTTTTTTCAACCATTTAGCTACGCTCTTAATCTCATTTTTATATAAAATTAAATTCATAAATGATTTAAAATTGCTTTATTACAGGTCATAAAATATAATTACATTACAGAAAGTTGAACATTTATCAATTTTTATTTTATGAATATTTGTATTACTAGTAAACATTAACTTAATAGCTCATGAAAAGTATGTTTATATTATTTTTAAAATGTTTTCATAAGAGTTAGTATTGTATAGTGACTAAATAATAAATTTATGGTATTCATGTTAAACATTGGCAGGTAGTAATAAGGGTTATTATTTTTCAAGTATTGCCTACTCAGAGAATTATCACTAAATTTAATTTACAAGACACCTTTTAACTATTTATGACTTTGGAATTTGTTTAAATACCTAATTAAAACTTTATTTTTTTTTAAATCTACACTTAAACATTTTATTATTAAAGAAATTCTCTTAAGAATAATGAACTTCAACTAGATTAATGTAAAGAATTGTTTAAGACATATAAAAAATGTTTTTTGAATTATATTAATATTGATACAACAAACAATATTAATTAATTTTGTTAAGTTTAAATGGAGAAAATATGATGATTGTTTAAAGCTAAATTCACATTAAAAAAAAATAAATATTGCCATAACATAATAATTAAGATAAGTTTTAATTTAGCTCACTTATAATTTGATTTTGAAAATGATCTTTCATATTCTTTTCTATTTTGTGCTCTAAGATCATCATAGGAAGTTGTAACATTAGAGCTTGGAATAGGAATTTCATTCAATCTATCAAATGATACAGCTAAAAAAATGTAATTAAGAATTGAATTAAATTATTGAACACAAAAAAAATGTATATATTTTTAGTAAGTAAAGAAATATGCACAAAATGGACCTATAGGTCCGAGTGTGTGAGCAATTCTTGCCCACCTCTATAACAACTCTTCTTCTTCTTCCTCACCTTAATCGTAACTACTTGGGATCAGTCACCCTTATCCTAAACTTCCATTTGACACAATCTCCCATATCATCTACGTTCAAATCGCATTCAACAACTAAAAAACCTCTATAATAACTAAATAAAAAAATGTGTTTTTTATTCATTAAAAATAAATTATTTTATTTCTATAAATAACTAGTCTTTTTATAGAATACTGAGTGTCCTACCATGTTCTAATATCTTTAATAACTTTCAAATCAGAAAATATTAGTCATTACTTTTTTTTAAAAATAATTTTTACATTTTTAGACTATGATCGAAAAATTTTTTTTTCATTTTTTCGTGCATACTCTGAAGAATTTATTCCTGAAATTTCATGAGTTTCTGTAATGAAAAACCTAAGTTATAGTCGATTATAGCTCGTGTCTCTGATGTTCGATACAACATCCAGAATTGTTTTTTTCTGTTGCTAAGATACAACATATCAACGCAATTCTTTTGTTTTAACAAGAAAACTTGCAAAAAGCCTTTTAGTTCGGTGTAGTGTAGTTTTGAGATTGAAAGAGTGATATCCTCGTTTCGATTGTGGCGGATTGCTACATTAAACTTATACCCAAAACTTTGAACTTGATTATCTGGAAATGTTGTTTTTTGAAAATTGCTATTACGGTGAGCACGTTTTTTCAAACACCATAATCTGATCGATTTGCAACTTTCACGTGATTTTACATAATTACAATAGCTACTTCGTAAAATTTTAAAGAAGTAAAATGAATTCAGACTTGATTAAGTATTTTTTGGGGAAGAATATCTGAATTTTTCATAGCTTAAAAACCCATTTTTTGGACAAAAACATGAACAACTTTTAGGAAATTAAAGGATTGGTGTTTCCTTCATTCACAAAGTTCGTTTTGAGTTTGTTTATCAAAATCTGTTAAAATTTCCAATTTCAGATAAGTATTTCCCAACTTATTAAGCTCACCGGAAGTCAATGTAAAAAAAAGGTGTTTTTGTACAACGGCCATAGTTCTGCCAGATTTCATTGAAAACGAGTGAAAAAAATTGTTCTACATCCTAATTAAATTTCCTAAAAAAGTGTTTTTAATCGATTAAACTAAACCTGTATAAGTTGGAGAAAAAAATGATTGAAAATGCTTTTATTTTCATAACAACAAATAGATATAATCCCTTAATAATAATATTACATACCAATATTGATAGATGTAAACAAATAAAATAAAACTCTATATATTATACAGGTATACTTACATGTGTTAGCTCTTGTGCAGCGTATTCTGTACACATCAACTGTATACAAGTATATACATACATGATTTTATAGTAAAAGGTGCACAGAAAACCTTTTTTTTTTTCTCCGATAGGCTTGGTTGTGGACCGCCCTGGAACTACCGTTAGGTATTACTTCAGGGCGGCCCACGCCATCTTTAAAACTCACACCACCACGTTGTGAATCAGCCCGAAATTAATCAAGAGCTGATTTACAACGTAGTGTGGCCTCCCCCGTTAGCCGGATCCCAGAGTGGGATCCGTTGCCTGGGTTGCACCACGTGGAGGTGGGTACAGGACTTTGCGAAGGGGGCACAGAAAACCTGACGCTTGCATAAATTTTACTCCTCATAAAATTTTCATAGGGAGGCCAAATATGAAAATTAATTCTTAAGGAGTAAACTCCAAAACTTTTTGATAATTTGATAACAACTTAAGAATAAGTACTTATTGAGTTCAAATATTTTAATACATTAATTGAGTATGTAGCATAGGTGGATGGGTATTGTGTAAGCGTGCACTACATACTTATTCACTATATTAAAATGGTTGTAACTTAATACGTATTTAGCTTTAATTGGATATCAATCCATCAAAATATTTTGTTAGACAATGCTAAAAAGACGATTTTTAAATTTCAGAAAGGCAAAAAAATGTAATATCAAAAATTTTCTGATTAAAAAGTTATTAAAGATACCTAACCATGTTCTAAATAAGAAATTATAAAATATAATATATTTAAATACATAGATATATCTGTCAATATTTTAAATAAAATATTATTCCATAAAAGCTTTAACACACTCAAATTATGAAATAGCCATTTCAAAATGTTTAAAAAATTAAAAAAAAAATCTTTAGGGAAATTATTCTTATTGTATGTATTGTTTATTACTTTATTCTTCAGTTGTTAATTATGTTTACAATATAACTAAAGGGTTAAAAAACTTATGGTAATATAAACTGAAATCTTTAATTACTATCATAATCTGGTCTGTAATCTGTATCTAAAGTATTCATAGGCTTTTGAAAATCTGTATCTATATTTTGATTATATTCTGTTAATGAATAGGTATTTCCAGGAATCATATTAGGCGATCCTCCATTTCTTTAAGATTTATAAAGAAATAATTTAATCTAAATATATTTTTAATTAAGTATAGAGTAGGTACAAATTTACCCTTCATTATAATCTCCTCTAATTTGACCTCTGCGCTCTCTTAACAATCTACCAACTTCACTGTCTGGAAGTTGCATCAATTTTTCAGCACATTTATTTTGATAAGAATATTTTCCAACAATATATCCAACTAATCCACCAACAATTACTTTAGGCCATGGGCCCCATTTTGGACTGGCTTTGAAATAACCTTAAAATAAATTATTATCAAGCTAAATGTAAATTTAAATATCATAATTTGACTATTATTATAACATATACAGTACGATTAAATTGAACTATTATTAAATAATTTCATTTACATAAATTGTTTATTTTAGTTTGTGAGAATGAAATGCATTAAAAATAGGTAATTTTAGACAATCTTGAATTCAGACATTTTTTCTAGGGGAGCATTTTTTAGATACATTAAGGCTCTGTGAACATTATTATAACCAAGAAAATTGTTTTATATTAAGTTATTATTTGGTATATTATAAATAAAAATTAATAAAAAATAATTACCCTTATTTACTGCCATGTATGAGCCAACTCCTAGTATGGCGCTCAAAGGTAAACTTCTCTGGAAAAAACTTTCACGATTGCACTCCTTCATTACTCTTTTCTCGTCCGGTGAAAATTGATAAAACTATTAAAATATTCAAAGAATTTGATGTATATTATATTAAAATAAATTCACTCATAATTTCAGATATAAACATTTTACCAATGATTCTGGCGATGGCTTTTGTTGCTGAGGTCTATAGGCGACAGGGCTTGGGTTTTCCATAGTGGTTGTTATATATTATTCTTTCAGAATCTTCTATGATTTAAAAAAAAAATTTTAATAATTAATAAAACTATATATTAAAAATATTATACATAAGACTGTGAAACACAACTGTGTTTATCTAAAAAGAATGATACCTCTAAAAAGAATGATAAAAGATCGTAATAAAATTATTTATTATTTCGGTATACATAAGTCTTAATCAAGATAAGATTAAATCCATGATACTAGTCCTTAAATTATCTATGTAAAAAAGTGATGCTCTTGCCTGTCAAATTACCAATGTTTTACAATTGTGCTGCCACCTAGTAAAATCGAATAATATTCCAGTTAAGATATTGATATTTTTTTTCGATTTTTTAAATTTTTATTTGAATGCATTGTATAAATATATTGAAGTTAAAATTTTTAGATGAAATTGTTTGTTAAAACTACTGTTTCACAGTGAATAAGTATGTTGAATTTTAAATTTGAAAGCTAGACAGCACCACATATACAATTAACTATAAACATATGCTGATTGGGCACCAAATAAAAGCATCATTTTTCTTTTGGAATTGAAGACCCTGTTTAATTGAAGTTGTATACTATATTGTGATAAGCCAATTCTGAACACAACCTATGTTTGTCAAACGTTACCAAATAAATAATCTGATCATCTCCAACACTAAAACACTCCATACACTATTATTTTATGTTCTCCAATACCTTGGTATGTAGTTTCTATACATAAATACTATATCATACAAGTCGTTTTCCTAAATCAGTTAATTAGTTAATGTTTTTACCCAAGCAGTTTATTTAGTCAAAATTATTAGTTTCCGCTGTGAAATAGTTAGGTTTTGGTTTATAAGTAATTTAAATGTATTTCTTATCATTACGTTTTACATTAATGAGCATAAGTTAATTTACAGTGTTTAACTTTATTTATGCTTGTATTTTAAGCCTTTGCTTTTTCCTAAAATGGATCAGTTTTATGTAAGTGTTGAAAATTTGTATAAATCATAATAATTAAAATATATTGTATTTTATTGCTTAAATGGTGAATTTTGAATCTGTAATAATTTTTTGTAATGTGAAGTCAGATAATGCTCTTTGGAGCTATTGAGTATTTTTTATTAGAAATGGAATTCTTTACTATTAAATTTTGTATCTTTATTAAATGAATTTTTTTGTTTTTATTATGAAATATCGATGGAAATAAGTTAAAATTCTCCAAGTACTGTGTTATAATAATATTATTAAAAAATAGGACTTTTTAAATCTTAGTAATGAATTGTAAATATATTAATATTGTAACTGATAAAATTACTGTTAATTATACTATTTAAATTGTTAGACTCATCACTTTCTGACTATTGATATTATTAAGGTATTATACCAACTATATTATTTAATACTTATTATAAATAGGTTCATAGTATAGGAATCACTTATTTTTTAGAAAATTGTCAAATAGAGAAATATAATCCTAATTAATAGTTGGGTTAGGATTTTTAAAAGTGTTTTAACAAAGTATTTTTGGTAATATTAATAAATTATTATTAATGACTTCTATTGTTTATAGTTAAATATCTAAAATGGCATCGAGAGATAAACAACAGTATGTTGATGGGCGGCGGACCTGTCCTAGATTTAATGGACCTACCACAAGTAATACAGATTACGCTTATGCATATTATGAGCATGGTCCACATGGATCAGCAAAGCCCCATTCATGTTCTAAACATAGTTATATCAACCGATATGGCCGCGAAGAAAACATTTATGAAGAAATTGAAACATCTAAACTTGATGCAGAAGTTAGATATGTACATTCTAAACATTTACAGGTATTTTTTTTTACTTACTTTATGATAAGAACACAAACTAGAATCTTAAAAAAACTAGAGTTATGCTTCTAAAATATTATTTTGGATGTCAATCTTGACATTTTCAAGTAAAATTTATATTGTATGTATGTATGATAAAATTTAACTGCAGTTAGAAACTTATGGTTTTATTTTTGAATTTCATAATTAATTGTAAATTAGATATTACTTCAAGAATACAATGTTGTAAATCGTTGTATTTTAGGTTCTTGGTGAGTTAAATTTATCAATGGAAGCAATGATAATGCCTGATAATGGTGCATGTTTAAATAACAATGGTTCTTCTGGCTTAAATTTGGGTGTATCAAGAGATGGTTCACCAGTAAATTTAAGTGTTGATAGTGGCGTTGCTTGTGATGCCAGTAGTTGTGGAACAAACAGTTTAAGTAGGCCTCGTAAATCTCACTTCAGCACAAAACGGTTTTGGAATAAGATGCCTACGCTTATATCACCAAGTCCAAGTAAAACCTCACTTCCAGGTAATTAACTTAAGTATTATTATTTTTCGAAATCTAAAAAAAAAAAAATGTAAGTGTCACAGCAAAGATGTTAAACATATATAAGTAAAATTAGCAATAAAGATTTACATCAATAGATCCTAATGTCTATTAATCGAGAGTAAAATAAAGTTTAACACTTATTTTAAGGCATTGACCAGTTCTATAGTATATTTAATTATTACAATAAAAAAAAAATAATAATAGTAATACCGTAACACTATAAATGTTCCATTAGTTTATAATCTAATTATCGAGTATATTAAAAGTAAAAGAACAAGTTAATTTTCAGTTAAGAGAAAATATAAGATTGCATATAGGAACGCGTAAAGGCACATAAGACATCAGAAACCAGAGAGAGTATTCACCATTAGCGCTCGGTAGTTAACCGCACTTCAGTAGATAGACTTTGCACCCTAGCTAGGTAGCGGGGGTACTCTAACCAGACTTGGCTCTCAATGTACTAAGGTGACTGATCTAGGAAACAAGGTGACCGTGTATTAAACGTATTGCAAAATATATGGTACTGCATCATACTCGCGTATGCAATCAAACTGCAGCAATCAACAATTAAAGTTTATCGAACTTAAAGCTCATATCTTAATCTCAAATGTTTGTTCGCTCTATGGGTATATTTAAGCTAAAGAACTTTAATGTTGTTGCATTTTTAGTGGTGTCTTCAGGGGGGTTAGATGTTGTAATTTTGTATATTAGTTACAAAAAAGAGAAGGATAAGAGAAAGGGAAAAAAAGTTGAATAATTATATGGAAATGTTATTGTTAAATAGGGATGTGGAAAACGATTGGGGAGAGAAGGAATCAGGTCCTGTATTTTGAAATCTAGCATGACAAGTGGTGCTGCATTAAGAACTGCATCATCATCTATCTCTCTAACTGCAGGTGTCTTTGTTGGCTTTTCCAGTCGTTGTTGACTACCACCTTTCTCCTTGCTTTTGCAACTTTTATTTTCTATTTTTCGTACTCCTTCCGACGAATGGCAGATTTGGCCTTCTTAGCAGGAGTATGTAATTTTTTAGGGGTATTCGGTTGGGTTGGAGTGTTAGTGAACGTTTGTTGTTTTGACATTGTTTGTGTCAAAATTTAATGAATAAACAAGTAAAGTCAATACTTTGTCTTTGACCGTAATAAATAAGTATACTTCATCATTTTAATTTCTCTTTATTTGATGGTGATATTTTTAGTTTTAAAAAGCAATCTCAAATCTAAGAAGTTTTCCTTTTTTTTGCGGGTTAATTACAATAATTGTAATTAACTTCTATATAAATTATTTATATAGAAGTTAATTAGCTTTTCAAAAATTTATATAAATGATATGAAAAAGCATTACGGTGCTCCAATTTAATTTGTAAAAAAAAAAAAAAAATTCACCACAATTTGAACATCTTATAATAAAGTCTTCATTATGTTACAAGTCTTATCCTTACAAGATCTCATTACAAAATCGTTCCAAAAATTGTTTACTTAACTGAATTAAAAAATCATAAAGATGATATTTTAATGATATTATATTTTGTTATTTTATTAACTGTTATCATCTATGGTTAACACACTATCAGTTTTATAGTAATTTTAACACAAAAATCCCTTTTTGATCATTATGACTGCCAAAATCAACTAAACAACCAATAACTCTCAATAAATTCTATTATAAAACAAAACTGGTAGTATATGCTGTATTATAATGATCATTATTGATTAATTATTTAAGTTGTAGAATAGGTATAGATTAAAATAATAAAACTATCAGTCAACACAGAAGGTATATTTGGAATTTTTTGTAGGAAGTTATGATAAACACCTTGTGAGTAAAGTTGAAGTCTTAAAAAAGGTAACACTTGAAAAATAGCAAAGGAAATGTCTAGATGGCACATAAGAAGATGTTTTCATATTAATTAAAAATGTTGGATTAAAAATTATTTAATGAAACGTATATAAAAATTATATAAAATATTATTGTAAAATTAAAAAAAATATATTAATGTAAGAATTTTAAAAAACTTTCATTCTATTAACCTTACTCTAGAAAAAGTTTAATTTTTTCCATTATTATGAAAATTACTTGGTATTCACAAAACTTAATTTATGATTTCTTTCTGGTAATCTAAATTATACAAAAAATCAAATTTTATAAAAACTGACTCATAATAGTTCAGAACCCAAACTTCAATAATTTTATTATTATATATATTTTTATATTTAAAACTTAAATTTATTTATTTTTTTAATTAAATGAATTATGAAAAATAAATTTTAAGTATATAATAAGTTATTTATTTGATTTAAACTTAAATTTAAATTTTCTGCTATATATATATTAAAAAGATAATGGAAATATATTTAAGTATTATACTAAAAATAATGTTAAAGGAGAAATCAGTTTGGTGGTGTAAAAATCTTTAAAATAAGTTTTTATGGAGAGTATACGTTTTATCGTTTTCAAGCCATGGTCCTTTATGTTATTCATCTTGTTTTTTAAAATGTCTGGTATTGTCATCATTATTGTTTTTGTCCTCCATTTCTCTGTCTGTCATTTTTTTTAACTTAGTGTAATATTTTAACATAACCTAGTATGATGACATAGTCTTCACTATATTGGCTAGTATATTATATTAAATCTTTATTATAAATTTCAGATGAATCTGTTCGATGGCGACAAAACTCATGGGAAGAAGTTACTCCTCAAATTCTTAATGAACGTCACACTCCATCACAAAAAAGCTCTAGCTCTGATCGAGATCCAGAACTTTCCTCTGAAGAAGAAAGCAATAAGTAAATTTTTGTACATCAAATTTCAATTTGGAGTGTAAATAAAAAACATTATTATTTAATATAGAAGTTATGAAACTAGAAATACTGGTTCAAAAACATTAAGATGGCCAAAAAATCCTCCATCACCAGATCCACCTTCTAGTCCAGGTTTATTGTCTAGATGGTTTTCATTGAGAAGGTGTTCACAATATGACTTAGATGTTCGGCCAAATAGCAAAATGCCTTTATTGCCAGAGGTAAATTATTTTAATTTAATTTTTATAGAAAAATAAATATTTTGTTATTATTTAAAGATAGATTTTACACAATTATATAATATCTAGTATTATAAGACTAGCATTTCTAAGAAAAATTCAGCCAATGAACTTTTATTCAAAAGAAAAATTTCTGGTCTAAATATATTAATTATAATGTAATAAAATTAAACAGATAGATCAGTAATAATAATAATAATTGCTAAGTGTGTAGTTAATTTTTTTTTTATATGATATATATATTTACAATGTCTAAAAATGTAATAAAACAATTATAATATCATTTTTATTACTTTTAGGTAGAAGAAGACTGTTTTTCTAGAAGACTTATTCCTCCTAGTCTTCCACCAGCACCTCCTGATATAACAGAACAAGAACTTAGACGAAGATACATTGTTGATGATATTGTTAGAAGTGAAAATTCATATTTGGCTACTCTACACAGGCTTGTTAATGTTAGTCATACGTAGTAATATTTTTTTAAATATAAATAATTATAAATTAAGTATAAAACAATTGTGTTCATAAGAGTGTCCATTAAGTAGGCCCATATTTAGAATTTTTTCTTGTGAGAGCCCCTAAATATTAGAGGCTCTTATAAATATATTATACCTGCCATTAGGCTATGGTCGACAGTCATTAATTGATGAAGCATATTGTTTACGGATTATATAGTTTTGAAAGATAAGAGTCTTAAATAAGTCAATGGTTAATTAAAGGAAAATAGCTTAAAGGTTAAGGGTGAGAGATAAATAGGATTGAAGTAGAATAAATAGAATATAAATTTGAAGTTTGTATTCTAATACATACATAGTAAAATAATAATGATGTTGATTTATATAAAGGTCTTCAAAAAAAGTTGATAAAGTTTCAACTTTAATTAATGTTTTTTTTAAATTGTATTTGTATATTTATTAACATTTTAATTAAAGTTTAAAAAATAACATTATATTTTAATATTTTTTGTTTACACTTTGTTGTTTTTTAGGATTACAAAAAACCTTTGGAGCAAAGTATGCCTTCAATATTGAGCCAATCAAAGATTTCAATATTATTTCATCGGGTTCCAGAAATACTTCAATGTCATACATTATTTAGAATAGCTTTAGCTGAAGCTGTTGCAAATTGGGATCGAGATCATAGAATAGGCGATGTTTTTGTTGGATCATTTAGTAAAGCTATTGTGTTAGATATTTATAGCGGATTTATTAATAATTTTTTAAATGCTATGGAATTAGCAAAAACAGAAACTAAAAGAAAAGCTGCTCTTGCAGAATTTTTTAAAGTTAGTTTAGTTTTTTTTATTAATTCATCTCAAGAGTAGTGTTAATTCAACATTTGTTCATTTTTTAGAATCGCCAAGAAGCTTCTCATGATCGTCTTTCATTCTATAGTTTAATGGTAAAACCTGTACAAAGATTTCCACAATTTATTCTATTTCTCCAGGTAAGTGTTCTTATTCTAACCCTTTATAACTTATTTGAAAAATTATATTAATAGTATGTACTTTTAGGATTTATTGCATAATACAGCATATGGTCATCCTGATAGGATGTCTTTACAACTAGCTTTGACTCAACTAGAATCATTAGCAGAAATGCTTAATGAAAGGAAACGTGAGAGTGAACAAGCACAAGCTTTCAAAGAAATGTTAAAATCTGTTTCAAGTAAATTAGCTGTACGGCCCATAGCAGATAGTAATAGATGTTTGTTGAGACAAGATGATGTTACTCAAATTGTAAGTTATCTGTTATTTAACTGACAAATCTCATAATTTTTCACTGAAATTTATTGTTAAATAATTTATTTATATATCTTAGGCTAAATTAAAGTTATTTTTATTATTTGTTTTTTATAGTAAAAAAATAAAATAAAAAATATTTTTTTAATTTTTAAGTTTTTCAAACTCATTCTATGTATTAAATGGCTTGTAGTTCAATAAGTATTTATTTTAAAATTTTCATTAAGCCATTAATCAATTTTGTAAAAAAAAAAAACTGTAGCACAGTGGGGTTGGGGCACAGTATGGATGTACCATAGTTAGTTCAAGTATAGATGATATGTGACAGTGAATAAATTCATATGAAACGTTTCGATGCAAATTTTTAGATAGTGTTTAATTTTTAGAAATTAGTGGATTATTCCAAAAGCAAAATTAACTCCTATTTTTTGTTCAATTTCATCTGTCATTTGCACAGAAGATAAGTTGTCGAGACAAATTAATATTTTTCAATTTATAGTATGTAATATAAGCTCTAATTTAATATATATTTAAATGATTTCTGGAAAATTTTCAAAACTTAAGTTCAAAAAGTTGCTTTTTTGAATCCCCTCTGTAGGTAGATAACTAGTTAGAATTTCAAAAAAATTATATCAAATAAAAGGGAAATACCTAAGAATGCTATTACAAAAAAAATTATTTTGGTACATTCATTTTTAAAAAAGTTATGGCAGTTTTAAGAAAAAAATGTCAACATTTACCGATTTTGAAAGTTGTAATATTTTTGGTGATTTCCTCCATTATAGGGAATGAGGGAGATTTTTTCAATTTTTAAATGCAATGTCTACAACTAGACACAATTTGTGATATTTTGGTGTATCGTTGAAATAAATCGATCTGGTGAGAGCTGAGAAAAAGTGGCGACAGAATAAAAAATAAAACAGTAAAATTAATGCCTTCTCAAATTGGCCTCGAAGCTAAAAAAAAAAAAGAAAAAATTAAACAAAATAAAAATAATATAAGTTATAAAAAAATATTTTTTATTTTTTTTATTATTAATATATGATAAAAATAATATAACTTTAACATAGTTAACAATGTAGAATTTATTAAAAAAAAATTTTACTAAAATCTTTAGTGTATCAAAAGTTATAAGGGTTTGTTAGTTAGATTTGTTCCACTCTGTAAAAAAATATTTTATAACAATAAAAAAATAACAAGTTTTTAATTTTTAATTATTATAGGAATTAAATCATGGAGAAGTGATTGGAAAATGCAAATCCCGACGTTTATTATTACTAAACGACCTATTAGTATGTGTTTCAGTTAATAATAAAGATGATTCAAATAACTCATCACAAAAGAGATTGACATTAAAATGGAGTTACCCTATCTCTGAAATTCAAGTAAATAAAATTATCTATGTTTGTACATAAGAATATTTGGATTTTAATTTTGTTGTTAAAATATTATTTTATTTATTTTTAACCAAATATCAATTATAGGTTATTGATACATTATCTTTGACAAGTGCATCATCACATACAATTGGAAGTACAGTATCACAAAATAATATAACAACAGATAATTTGTGCAATGAAATGAATCACCTGATGAATGATTACCAAGTAATAAGTCGTATTGTTGAGTTAGCTTCAACATTAAAAGGCACCTATTTAGTAAGATAATTTTTTTATATTAATATTATTGATTATAATCAAATAAGTAAATAAATTATTTAAAATAATGTTTGTTTTATTAATTTTTTTTTATAACATTAAATATTTATCAAATGTCTTAAATTATATCCAGTTAAAAATTTGAGTTACCTTCAAATTAAAAATAATTAACAATTCTTTTACTAATAATATTTGAAAATATTGGAAAAATGAACACATATTGAAGTAGCCTGACTTAACATTTTTTTTAACTATATTAATCAAGATTGAAGTTGTATAGCTTATAAATAATTTTTTTCTCTTGATATAAATTAAAACTACTTTTCTTAATATCCTGGGCTTCTAAATATATAATATGTATATATCTGAATAAAGAGTTAACATATTAAGTTTAATTATTGACAATACTTTGGAAACCTAATTTTTTTCATTTCTGTTTAAGGATTTAGCCCCAGAACATTTAAAAGGAATTTTGAATGCAATTCAATGTGAAGTTCAATATAAAGGAGATCAAGTTGCATGGATGGATTCATGCTGTCTTCAATTGTTTGTAAACCGACAAGGATATACTTTTCAAATGGAAAATCCAGATATGCGTAAAGCATGGATAACTGGTAAGTAGAAAAATGTGTATGTTTTTCTATGTAATTTTTTTCTTACTATTTTAATTTCTGATTTTTATCTAGAATTGCGGTTAGCACGTTTGGCTCTTGATCCTAACAATTCACCAGCTTGGGAGGTTCCTGACCAAGAGTTAATGCGTCCTATGGCAAAAATGCCCTTATTTGTAGGGGCACATCCAATATCATCCTCTAGTAAAGAATCTGAGGTAAATGTTAAATGATCCTTGATATTTTTGTGCTAAATTATAATATAAAATTTACATTAGAATTTCTAAAATATGTATATTAATTTCTTCTCGTAAATCAATATGTAAATTAAAGTTATAGATTTGTAACTATTTAAAATATTTTAATGATTCAATATAAAAAACTTAACGATTATTAACAGGTTACATGTGGCTGCTATTATTCTTCGGGTTGTGGAAAGTTTTCGTATTTATGGGTTTGTACAACTAGTATACCAATAAATACACATATAGCAATAATGTCTGTGAATAATACTTGTATTCTGAAACAAATCACAACATTAGACTTACCCCAAACTATAGTTAGTGCTATAGAATATGTTAGAGCTTCTGATACTGTTTGGATGGGAACTAATCATAAAAGGTAACTTAGTATTTTATACAATTTTTTTACATTTGAGTACTAATTTTTGTTTATTTATATTTTTTGTAGTATATTAATTTTTAATACAGCTGATATGTCTGAAGAAGCAAGTATTTTATTACCCGGAGAAGATGAAAGTCTTCGAGTTACTGCCATAAAACATCACTGTGATACTGTTTTTGTTGCATTATCAAATGGTTCATTACTGCTGTATAGAAGGGGAAATCAATCAAAAGAACCTGAAGTGGTTATTTTAGGTTCTAATGATCCTATAACATGTATTTTACCAATTAATTTATCGTTGTATGTAGCATGTGGAAAACAAGTATTTGTTATGAGTGCAATAACTGGAGAACTTCAGGTAAATAAAAAATTTTTTGCTCAGTTTAGATATATTCATCAGGTGACTACTTTCATATCCATTCCATTATTGCCAAAGATCTTTGGTTAACTGATATATTTTTTAAATGGTTGTTAAGTAGCATTCATTTTTAGGTGCTCCTCACTTATTTGAAAATTTAAAAGTGAAGGTTAATTACAGCGTAGTTCAGCATGTTCTGTAATTAGATCAATATTTGATTTACTGAATAATTTGTGTTTGTTTACTTTAAAGTTTGATTAAAAGTATAAAAATTACTAGACAGATTTTATTTTCTTTAGTACAATTTTTAAATGTTCATTTTTGTAAAAATAGAAAAATCAAATGAATTTTTTAACTTTTTTTTACAGTGTAAAATGTTTCAATTTATCCCTTTTTATGATTATATTTACGTAATATACATTAACTTCAATAAGTTTCTACAAATAAAGTATTGATTTATACAATTTTTTTTGTTTTTAGAAAAACTTTACTATTCACCATGGAAAAAATGTTAATCTATTAGCTCATTCAGGAGTTGGACTATGGCTATCATTAATGAATTCTACTACTGTTTGTTTATATCATACAGAAACATTCAAACATTTACAGGTATTTCAATTGAATTACTTATGAGAGACTGTAGTCTTATATTTTGAAACACATTAGTTGTCAAAATATTTGTTTATGAAATATTATAATTTTTAGGATATAAACATTGCATCAAATGTAACAAGGCTGAAAGGAACTACGTCTCCAGTTAATGTAACTGCTCTTATGGCCTGCAAAGGTTTACTGTGGGTTGGTACAGATGCTGGTATTAGTTTAACTGTACCGTTGCCTCGACTAGAAGGAGTGCCAATCATTAGTGGAAAAGTCAATGTATCATATCATGGCCATACGGGTCCTATATCAATTCTAGTACCATTACAAAATCCACCAACCGTTTTAAAAAGACCACCATCAAAAACTTTAGCCAGTGATGTATATGATCTTTATGGTAGACTGATGTGTGTTAAAGATTATGATAAGAATGATGATACACTAAATTCAAGCCGATGGTCTTTAAGATCAAATGATGATACATCAGGAATTTCACAACATTCAAGAGCAACGGATGTATCCAAAAAAGATTTTACTTTAGTTACGGTGTCATGTGGTCGTGGATATGTCAATTATCAGCAACCTTGTTGCTCAACTATAGAAAATAATGCATACATTATTTTGTGGGAATTAAAGTTGTAAACAATTTTTTTCCTCTGTTTTATTAAATTTTATCATACAATTGCATAACAGGTTCAAAAAAATATTTTTTATTACTAAAGTAGTAGAACTTTTTATCAAGTATTAAAAACATTATGTTTGTAAGAGGTAACTGAAGTATAATACAGTATTTTAAAAGTATTACTAATAATTTAGAACTAGTATTTAGTTATACTATCTAAAATATGCTTACAAGTTGACGGTTTTAATTATTCATTTTATTTTAATATTTTACAATGTTTTCATTCATAATACAAACTTCTTTCTAAAGATTATTTAATACAGTAGGATTGTATTAACAAATTTTATATTGCTATAACCAAAATTTTTGTTTAAATTAATGTTATAGGGAATTACCTTTAAGTGAGATTATTAATATTAATTTATTAAAAAAAAAAAAATGAAAATATGTAATATCAAAAGATTATTATAAGTCTATTATATTATAGATCACGAGTGTATTAAACAATTAAAAATGTCTTATTCAAAATTGTCATAATAACTTTATTTATAATAAAAGTTTTCCCATTATTACCTTTAATTTAACTTAAAACAGTGTTATTAATAACAATTATTTTTAAACATGGTATTAATACATATAGCTATATGGAAAAACTTAATTATTTTAATATTGTATTAAATATTTAACAAAAAATATATTAATAAATTATAATAATTTTTTTTTGTTCAAATAAAATTTTTAAACTGTGTATATTATTTTATTTGCTAAAATAATAAAATTTATTTGTAATTATAGTATTAGTAATAATGCAATGTATCAAATCAGTTTGTACAACCAAATATTTTGTATTCATACATGCTTATAAGTGTATATAATTAATAATGTATCATTGGATGAGTATTTTTCAAACAAAAAAAGTATTATTATATTTGGTAAAATTGTATAATTTTTCACCATTTGGTTTATTTGTTATAATCATATTAATTTTACCTCTGTCTTTGTATCTATGTACCTGTGTAATTATTATTAGTATGACATTTTAAAATTATTTTTTACAAAGTAATTCAATAAAATTAAGTACTGCTTTTTACATTCTTTAAAACTGCAATATTAAACAATTATTTTTATATATTCCTTGCATTTAAATGTTTGATTATTTTATATTGGTTTTAATAAAATACTGTGATAATTTTACTACTGCTAAAATTTTGTTTAATTTTTAAAATTATTTTGGCCATTTATTTTGTATCATATATCAATAAAATATGTATATTTATTCTTTTATATTATAATATTAAATTGATAATGAAATGAAATTCTTATGTTACTAAATGTGACAAATTCTAAGTAATGTTTATGTCAATATTTTGGATAATTTTTTTTTTTAGTTTGCATACTATATAGAATTAAATGTAGAAATGAACCAAGAAATCTCTTAAAATACAATTTTAAGGATATTTCTTAATTCAAAGAGAAAATTTTTTTATTACATGAAAGTGTCCCTTGTAAAAAATTGGCATAATTATCATCAGTTATTATGTTTCTAAAATTAAAAAAATGTTCTAAACATAGTTTAAACGAAGTTTAAGTTCTATTTAAGTTTAGCAGTTCATATGTATGCATTGATCTTATTGCTCATTTAATAAATTTGATTAACTTAAATATATATGTATCTTAATATAAAGATATAATATATCTTTATTATACTATGGTTTCATATCAAACATTTTTTTAAAAAAATTAATAAAGTTTTATCAATTTAAAGTATTTCATCTATTTTAGCTCTATTATACGAGTATATATCAGCACTTAAGCCACAAATGCACTAACATTATAGCTAACTTTATTATTGAAATTGTGTATTAAATGTCATAGTCAGTTAATATGGCGGTACTAACATTTTATAGTACTAAAGTTTTTACTTACCTTGTTTCTTAAGCTGCCAAAATGTATACCTTTATAAACAATATTATTGTGTTACGTTTCTACAATGTAAAGTATATTTATTTATTATTAAACACTGTTAAATATCACTAAGAGTTTTATTTTCTTTATTAAAATTAATTAAGTTATTTAATTTTATTTCTTAAGTTTAAATTGGAAAAAATTTAGAAAGTCAAAATATCCATCACTTGTTATTACAGCTAATGTCATATAAAAACTATTTTTGTTATTTTTGGCTAACTTAGAACAATATAACAAAAAAATTATTAAGTAACTGCATACAAATTAAATTTTTCATTTATTTATTAGGTAGCTTAAACATTTATAAACATATTTATTTTGTTTTGATATAATTGGTAAACAATATTTAATTTCGTTTACAAACTTGGAAGTAATATTTCGAGGTCCGATATAAAAACTATTAATGAAGTTTTATTTAATAGGTTGTTATGTTCAATAAAAAAAAAATCTGAAATCTAGCCGTCATGGCCCTCTTTTTATTCGGGTCTGATGATATGCCTTAACAAGTAGAATAAACTATATATTACTCAGTGTAGAAAGAAAAATATGGATAAGTAATAAATTGCTAACATTTCTATTAATCGTGGGAAACCTTAGGATTTGTATCTCTCGTAAAGTAGAAAATAATAAATTAATTTTATCATTGGTCTTACAAACTTCTAATATAATAAGATAATTTATGGTGCTAAATTATATTATGTCATTATATGGCCTGAAATTTTTTTAAATTTCCGTTATAAAACTAAGAAAAAGCATAGTTTACTATGCTATTCATTTCTCAAATTTTTTTTCTCAAATGTCTTAAATTAAAAAACAAAAATTTATTTTACATCGTACTACCACGTAATTTTTAAGTTTTATATTTATTTGTATAAATAATAATTTTAAATATAAAAATTATTGTAAAACATTATCAAATCGGCTATTTTTAAGCTCCGAGGTTACGTTTCATTTATATTAAGATAACTTTATTAAGATAGATTATATCGTTTTTCTAAATACGTACATTTTTGAAACTATTATAATATAAATATTAGAACAGCGGTTTAACTGGGTTTGTTTAATGATCCTTTTTTGGTCCTTCATGCAAAATTATATGATATAACTTTGCGATAATTCAACATTTTTGATGTAACTTATATCGTAAAGGTTAAGTGGGTTTTTGTAATCAATAAAAATATTATTTTTATGATAATGATATATTGCCTTTTTAAAATAAAATTTAGTTCATCAATAAGACGTAAGGATTATTTTATTTTTTGATCAACAATAATTAAAACATAAAACATTATATAAATATTGACCAGTTTAAACCACTCTACTATTTATTTTAATAGCCCTAAAATTTGTGGAGAATAAATTACCAAAAACTATTTTAGATATTCGAATAAGAAATGTCGGACTGGCGTCTTGAATAATTATTATCTATTTCTGTCGCGTCATTACCTGTAGATGAATACTCTTAATGGACACATCATTTCTCGTAGAATGTTTTTGTTGAACGTATAAATAGTATTTTGTTTTTAAAAAAAAATTATTTTATTTCAACCTAATAAAAACTTTAAATATTCATTTAATGTTAAACATATACTGTGAACTTTTCTCACTGGGTAGTTAGTCTTAGAGCATAATATCTTTGTTTTAAAGGATATCGCGCAAATATTTAGACAAAGCTAAGGGTCACAATTTTTTTAGTTTAAATTGAAGTCTAAATTAATTTAATAAATAATAATTTTATTGGACTAATTGTATTGCAGTTCTATACTTATTGGGTAGCTAGTTTTAGATATTAATGTTTTTTCAGAATTTGTAAGATTAATAATTGTAGTAATCAAAAGTACTACGAAATCGCTCTTTATACCTTAACCAAACTTAATATTAGACCTTATAAAGTTTAAGTTCTAATTAAGATTTCAAAGGCGGTTTCATATTTTTGGTTTTTGTATTATTTTTTTTCAATATGTACTACAAAATAATTTGACGTAGATGAACTAATTTACTAGATATAAGAAAAATTGCCAAAAACGGAAATAATTTTGGCTCCTAGCTCTAACTTAATGCGGGGGGGGGGGGCAATGATAATCAGTTTACCAAATTCTAGTAACTGTTAACAGGCTAACCAAACCTTTTAAAGATTTACTCCTACCATTAGTCCTTTCTGTATTTTTTGCTTTTATAAACCCTGCACTAAATGCCCATATATATTTTTTGTATAATAAAAAATTATTTTCTATAAATATCTTAGTAATAATAGATTTATTGACTTATCAAATGTGTTTCTTTACATCTTTAAAATTTTGCAATTTAAAAAGTTTGTTCTTTTTCTATATAACGTTACCTATTTTCTATAGTTAATAAAATTATAAAAAACTTAAATCCTAATGACTATTTTTACTTTGAAAGTATATTTAGTTACACGATATTCAGTAAAATATAATTTAAGTGCCACACTTAAAAAATGAAAATAAGTCTATACTTTCTACATCTTAAAATGCAAATATACACACTTAAGTAAACCGTTAAAAAAGTAGGCCAGTGGGTGGTATTTTCTTGACCCTGCGATAACTTGGTTGTTTTCGGCGTGTTTTCAGGGGAGTAATGCCCTACAGAATGCGTCACTACCGGTCCTGGTCACGAAAGCTCGTTTATCAATTTCAATTCACTTCGAATCATATTTTTATGTAAATGATATTATACAAATTTTTGAAATTTAGGTCGGACAGATATGGTTTAAAATAAATTGTGATTATACGGAAGTATGACAATTTTGGGGAACTCGAAAGGAGTCTTGATCAACATATAACTTAAATATAAATTGTAATGATTATTTGCATTAAAAAAATAAACCGTTCAATTTAACTTTAGACCTAATGCTCGAGAAAGGAAAATAAAGAACAATGTAATACTAGACTTAACTTTTCATTAATGATAGGACTATGTCATTTTTAAAAAAATAAAGGTCTATATTTTTCTTAGTTTTGATATATAGACGCCCCATTAATTAATCATGTTTTGAGGATAGGCGTTTATACTAAACTTTCATTTTTCCATGTTTTGATTCTTATTATTTGCATAATATTTATGTGTATCGGAAATTAGTTATTTAGTTTTAATGATGGAAATAATGTTTAAGTACTTCCATAAACGATATATTATAAAACAAAAAGATGCATTCATTTAAAAATAAAATATGACATTTTATCACCCATGAATTTATTTCTATTTCCATTACAAATATTGTAATTTTTCGTTGGTTTTTTACTGAATGTATTGTTTTACGATTAAAGGTAGCGTGCCGATTAAACACTGTAATTGGGTTAAAAGGAAAATTTAGGAAGTCAAATCACAAACTGTTCTTGTGTATAAAACTTTCATTGAATTTAAATTTATATAGTTTTATTTAACGTTGAAAGTGAATTTTATGGTATTAATTATTTATAATTTATTAAAATAATTCTAATGAAAAAACATTGCGTAACAATCACACGTTTTATAATATCTAATGAGTGAATACATGTATTGCTGTATTTCTAGTTATTGTAACCGTTTTATAAAACCCCAAAACACTTGATAGTATTTACAATTTTTATTGTAATATATTAGCATAGCAAAGTAATAATAATAATTTTTTTCTTATCTGATTACTCCAAATAAATTAAATTCAAATAAAACAATTATTAAAAGAGTGACCTATAAAATTATTTAAATCGTAATTTGTATTCTGATGAAACGTGAACTTATTCTAATATGATGTAAATAACTTCATAAAGTATTTAAATATTTATTAATCTTATTATTTAAGTAAAATTTTACTATTTTACGACCTATTTTTTGAAATTTTTTGTATTACACACTTTTTTTAGGAAGCTCACAATTCTAACACGATGAAATTCTAAAATCTGTAATACCAAACTAGACACTAAATTTTTTTTAAAATTTTAAAATACACACATTTGATTTTGTATTACATGAATTAAAATGGGCAACATGACCCTTATGACACATTATGTGTCATAAAATACTCATTAATTGGCTTTAACTATTTAGAATACATTATTATTTTAATTATCATCTTAATTTTTTTTATTAAATTATGGTACAAAAGTCATACTTTAAACTCTTTTTCTTTCGTGGACAATAATTAAAAGAAATTATTTTATAATCTTAAATATATGTGAAACATAATTTCATGTTATAAAAAACAATAATTACAATAGTCCTTAAGGTCGACCCATTTGTACTTTGCTTGAGTCATCTTTACAAACTTCGAATTGAAGTTTTTAATTTAAGGCAAGTTGATGTAGTTTAGTTTTATACTGTAACACATTATATTTTATTTTATGGAAATTCCATAATGGAATTGTATCTTTTGAGTATATTTATGTACTTAATTTAAGAACATTATTAAGTTTTAAATAAAAATTATAAGTGCTATTATTAATTATTAATTTTCACATGATAGCATAAAAATGCCAATTATAGTTTCAAATACCTGGTTTATTTATTTAATAATTTTACACAGTAAGGAATACAAATTTCCAGTTTTATTTTTGGAAGTGTATATTAATAAGAATCAGAAATTTGTCTATATTCCACCTCAGTAATTTTTTCTTATTATTTAGCTACACTAACGGTGTAGTAATGTAGCATAATTTAAAAAATATATTTTCAATATAAACAAAAAATAATTCAGTCTCTTCAAATATTCGCATTAGGTAGATGACGTGTGCATGTTGATTAAGTGTGTTGCACACTATTGCCACTAAAACTACCCTTTATAAATATAATAGCCATACAATTGCTATAGAGCTTAAGGCGATGGTTGGTTAAGAATTGCGTGACCCACCGGTCAGTCAACAGTCGCCAGCCAGTAGCGCACGGGGTGTGCTTCTACAGCCTTCCAAACTCTAATAAGACTTTGACTACACATAGTGTCCGATTTAAGACGTAGACGTATTAATTTTTCTGTACAGATTTATTTTTTTTATGAATGTAGTGATTTCATTAAGGTTTCTTTATTAACTCACGTGTTATATAAAATAACAACTTAATTCAAAATGCTGAATCACTATTAAGGTATAGCATTGACTGATATCAATTATTTGATTTTACTATAAAAATCATTTATTAAAATAATATACATAAAATTAAAAACATCAAAAAATAGTAATATTATTAATGTTATTAATAATGATAAAAAATATAGTTTGTTAAATTTTGAGATGTGCTTGTTGCAGTATAAGCAATGATATATCTATTACCTAAATTAAAAAAAAATAAAACATATATCCGTGGTTATATAAAATGTGAAAAATATTAATTAATATATTTGTCAAAGATTTTTATGTAAAATTTTTCCTGTTATTGCTCTTTTATAAAATTAATGTATAAAATTTGCAGGTAATATATTATAATTAACGCTTACACTTAAATTCATAATTTTACAATTTATTTGTTTTTAAGGCCGATTGTTTTAAAATTTAGGATAATGTTAAGTGAATCAGGAATATCACTGTAAATTAATGTAAATTTATAATTATAAATACTGTAATTGAGCATAGAAAATTTTATTAGCGACTGTTAATTTATATTAAGTGTTGAAAATAGTATTATTATTTTATAGATAATTTGTTTGATGATCCTACAATATGTTAGCGCCGACGGTTATTGTTCAGTCGACATCTCGGCCCTCCAGTTCTATGGGAGAAAGAGATAGAGAACGAGAGCGAGAACCAATTATTTCTTCTGATCCCAGTGAAGAAAAACATGAACCTAATGTAAAGGAAATTGTAGCTCCAGTTCGTCCAAATGTTCCTCAACAAGAAAAATTTGAGAGTGAAGACGAAGAAGATCGAGAAGTAATTAGTTCCATTACAAATTCTTATTATAAATTTATATTTCAAAATGATTTAAAAGTAAATGGATAAGAATAATTTATTGTATTATTTTTTAATATTTTGTAATTAGTTAATTCAATAAATTTAAAAAATTATTTTAATTTAAACGATAGCTAGTTATAATTGTAGTAAACGATAAGAAAATGGTGATTATTAAATCTAATAACAAAGAAACTTGTTATTTAAGATGTTAATAAGTTCACTATATAATTAAAAAAGAAAAGTTGATTCGTTTATAAACTGCGTTAATAATAATTTTTTTATTTTATTTAAAGGTATCACAACACACACAGCAAATGGGTCGACTTGGCCCTGCAGGATATTGGCAAGGGGTACCAAGTAGCAGAGGAGCTAGTCCAGGTATGGACAATGGTAGTGAAACCTCTTCAGTAATGCCTGCTCCTGTTCCTGGCTTAGCGGCTTCTAGGATTTCTAAAGATAAATATAATCATCTCTCGTATTGGAAAGCTAGAAAGGTAAGTTTATTCCAAATGATATACAAAAGTATATTTATAGTTTGTTTAATGAGTTATTTTAACAATAAATATCTTTTTTAGTTTATCCATTTTTTTAACGCTATTATACTATGAATTATGTTCTCTATCAAGTTGAAAATTTAAACTAAAATATAAAACATATATAAATTAAAATATGTATTCAACATTGTAACAAATCAAATATTTTGAATGTGCTTAATATAAACTAAATGGATAAATATTCTTTGTTCTTAAACTATTATTTTATTATGTTTAGGTAACTTTTTATAAAAATGGTGATACATACTTTCCGGGATTAGAGTTACGGTTTCGACCTGGAAGAGATATAGGGAATTTGGAGGCATTATTTGATAAATTAACTAGTAGAATGGACTTGCCACGTGGTGCAAGGTACTTGTTTTCTATGGATGGCAGCAGGGTTATTAGTTTAGATCAGTTAGAAGATGATCAATCATATGTGGTTTCATCTTATAAAAATTTTAAGGTATTTTTATGATTGCTTTAAAAAATTTAAAGCTACATGATTAGAATTATTTATCTGATTGTGTTTAGAAGTAAAATAAAAATTGATTATCTACAAAAAGAAATATAATTTAACAAACTCAATTTGATGTGTTTATTTAAGTTTGATAAGTTAAGTTTTGCAAATTTGTTCAACTTTTTAAAGACTATAATGTTTACTGTTATAGTGGAACTCCGATTCGAGTTTTTTACATATTAGCATACCTAAATATGTAAAATAATATTGAAGACGAGTACTGTAGGAGATTTTTCCACGGAATTCAATCTATAAAAATTACATTTAAATTTAGTCGAATATACAACACTAAATTGGCGTGAGCTCCGATTATTTTTTTAAATAAAATATTTTAATACTTAGTTCGTAATACAATTTATGATATACTTACTATTTGATAATTACTTAAAGTATCGAGTTATTAGAAAAATATCACACAGTATGTGACTGTTTGAGCATTCATTATACTTTTTACTACTCATAATTAATTTTATTACTACTTCAAGTTTGACTATTAAGTTGTTGCATAGAGAGCGCCACGTTAACCGCGTAAAATTTAAAGTTGACTTAGTAAGTCATAATATTATATTTTTGTGACAATATCATTTACGTTATTCATAATTTTTTGTTTTTTTTTGTTTGGGTATTGATTCGAATCATAATAGATTAGTTCAGAAAATTAACATTTATTTATTTTTATTTTAACATTTAAAATTTTAATTTTACTTTACCAACTTTCCTACTATTTTAATTTTTACTTAAATATTCATAAAAATAATCAAAATAATACTAGATTAAACTATCATTTTTTAGAAAATTCGTACATTATTTCTGTAATTTATGATGAAACTTAAAAATTATTGGCACCTATAGTGGACAATTTATATTATACGTAATATTGTATGAGCATTGTCCAATTAAAATATTTCCTTTAAAAATATTTTAGTTACTCTTTAAGTATTTCTTAAGTACTTATTTTGATATTAGTTTTATATTTATAATCTAACTAAAGTTAGCGTTTGAACTCAAATTTATTTTTTGTGAGTGAGGTAAGTGTTATAAACAAATTTTCTAGCTTATTTCTCATTATAAAAAGAGGGGTTTTAACTTGTAAATATTTACTGGAAATAAATCTTTAACTATATTAATTTAAATAGTAGTTACACCTTTTTTACTATCCTAAGATTCAGCTTTGAATATGAGAAAAAAATGATATTGTTATTTAACATAAAAAGATATTATGTTTACATGGAGTTAAATGTGGATCAACGAATGATAAAATAAACTACACAATTAGTTACATTTAAATAATAAGTAATATATTCAGAGTCCCATTAAGGAAATGTACGACCCAGGGTACTAAATGCTGTCGCTCCAAACGACCATTTTATTTTGCTCGTTAAAAAAAATGTTCTCCATTTTTTATGCATCACTATATTTTTAAATTTGAATAAGCAAAAAAAAAGATCTTCAACTCTAATATTTATATTGCTTCAAATTTTAATTTATTTATTTTTCAATATGAACTTAATATCAATTAATGTGTATATTACCCATCATATTGCATTTTTGGATGTTGAAAAAAAATTATTTTAGATTAATACAGTACTAAGTATTAAATAAATGTTTATTTTCTTAAAAATGCTATTGTGGTATCATTTTAATGAGATTAAAAAGTTTTTTTTGAAGTTTTAAAACTTTTTGTTTATGAAAAAAGAACTTTTGGTTGTATTTTATGCTAAATAATTTTATGATTTGTACTTGAAATGTTTGAATACATTTAACTACTATTATTTAAAAAAAAAATATTATTATAGGTTATAAATGACATTTTTTAAAGTTTTTAAAATTATTCTATGTTCTATAAAATTATTTATTTTTTAGGAAAATCATAGGTATAAATTATTAAAAATTATACAGTAGTATATGTCACATAAATATTCAAAGGTTATTAACAACTACTTCCTAATCGTACAAACAAAACGTTTTTTTTTTTAGAAAAATAAACAATGTTAAGCATAATAATTGTAACTAAAGTATACGTATATTAAATATAATAGATTCAAAATATGACCTAAAAAAGTCAGTTTTGGCTGTTTAGATTTTTATTGCTTTATCGACACCACGATCTTAGTGTAAGAATTCTAACATTTCTTTAACTGATGTTTCCTTTTCAAACGTCATTGGAAAACCAATTGCTTAGCAATTTATAAAAAATTAAACCTTAAAATAATGGCCATCATTATTTAAACTTGGGTTAATTACTTTTGGTTCGTGCTTCACCGGACGCTTGTCGTAGAAAGTATAAAATATCAAAAGCCAACATTACTAGTGTGTGTTATAGTTACTTGTTAGTTCGTGTCGGTAGTCATTTCATAATGACCTTCGGATTAACTTTTATATTTTTGTAGGAGATGTCGGGTTTTTCATATAAACTTGTATTTATTATTATGAACTATGTGTTTGGGTGCGGTCAAGGACTTCCAATGGTTCCGGTTGACGGGACTTGGGTCAGATGATGTAAATAATGTTGTAACTCCAATCTAACACTCAGAATTGAAATATAAATTGTACTTAAATTGATAATCATTGTAACAAATAATAACTTAGATAGAGTTTCTTTTTTCCACTTGGTAATATTTAGTTAAAGAAAACTAAATTTACAACTTAAATTTAAAATAAATCACAAGTTAACACGCGTTCAGATCTCCGAAGTTCATTATATACTGTATTATGACTAGTTACACTTCACGTTTGAGTTGTCTTGTTTGAAGATATCATTTATGTCTCTATATCAAAGATTACAATGATTATAATTTTTTTAATGTAACAATTATGATATTTTAATAGTTATAGTTAAATAACGTTCTAAAAACATTATATTTTAACATCCTGGACGCTGTGAAACTGCTAGTCTGGAATGGTCTAATAGAGTTCACGACTTCCTGTCGTAAGGCGTAGTGATGTTAGCTCTTTAACACGCACCTTAAATGTGCAATATAACGCCGTTGCATGCCAAAATAGTTATAATAATTACTGCTATTGTTTTAAAAAGATAATAAGAGTAATAATATTACTATAATAAACGATTGCAACACAAAAGCTAAGGTTTGGGTGTTATAATGTGTTATTATTGTGGTCGTAAAATTTGCGAAGATGGTCAAGGGCTCCGTCTTGAAAATTTAGTCTTGTGGCTCTGAGTCGGACACCTAGTAGCCAGTAACCTTGAAATGAATAGTTCCGCTTTTTCGTATCACGTTCGTGAGCGTCAACGGTCCTTTGCCCTTTTGCAGTCGTCAACAAACTTTCGTAAAGACCACGAGCGTTGTGATGTTTATTTTAACTTGAACTTTTTTTTTTTTTTTTTAATACATTTATAATTTTATTAGAAACTATAAGTATACCGATTGCTTATAGTCGTACACCAATGGAATGGCAGCCGCGTTTTCCGTGTTACACACGTCCATCTCTACTAACGTTAAACAGGTACTGTAATATTTGGTGAATCATCAACCTATTTGCATTGGCGTAATTCTTCAATTAATATATTTAATTATATATATGAACTATTAAAAAAAATAAATAAATTGGTAAATAAAATTAATTATACACGTGACAAGTACTTTTGGTAGTAAGGTTGGGTATCAACTCTTCAAAAAGGTTAAATTAAATTAAAACAATAAATTGATGACTAGTTAAATTTTTGGGGAGTTTAACTTTAAATTTAACGAGTTTCTTTTTTAACTCGAATAATGTATTACTTTTCAAATATGTTACCACAATATAAAATTTAAGTTAAATTTTTTTTTAGATTCTTTTTATTTAACTAAGTTATAAAATATACATAAGGTAACTTATAACTTAAAGTAGTATTTCCAAAATTAATTAAGCCTAAAAAATTTAAAAAGGTGTGCCTTTGCTAGATAAATACATATTTAATGTTCTGTGTCGATATAAATCACTGAAGATTAATGTGGACACAATATCTTAATCTAATAACATTAATAATTTTTTCGAAAAGGTGCTCTATTTAATTGTTGTTTAATTTTTGAAAATTTTCTTTTAATAAATTTCAGAGCACAAGTTATGGTAAAAAGACTGGTGGTTGGAACTCGACGACCACGCCAGGTTGGTCAAGACAAGCTTCTCTGAGCAGAAAACCTTCAGTTATTGATACTAATGATTTAAGTACAGCGACTTCTGGACTAAACATATCAAAGACATCTACAACTAGAGTAATACGGATCATCAATAACTTTGATCACACTGTTCAGGTTATTAAAATATTTATATAAAATTTGTGTTGATAAACAGTAAATTGAACAACGTAAAATAATTGATAATTTTTAATTACACACAAATAAATGATAAAATAAATAATTTTAAAGATTTAAAAAATTAGCTATCAAAGACAATTTTATCTCTAGAAATAAAGATAGCAATTTAATTAAATATTATAAACTAATTATTTGGATAAATGTTACGAATGGGAATTGCATTTATAAGAGTATTTAATTAAAAATCATAATATATAATTATGAGTGAAATTTTTAGAAATATTTAAAATAAATTTGATCTTTTTTTTAGTTAAAGAGATAAAAAGCTTTAAACTTTCGAGATTTATTTGCTGTATAAAATTATTTACTTAAGTGTTTAAAAAATTGACTGGTTAATATTTTTGTATTCAATTTTTATAAATTTAACAGTTAATTATAAATATATTATTAATGGTTTTATTTAAATTTGATTAGATTATCAACAATTTCGGACATAATTTAGAAATAATGGACAACACATTGGGGGGTACGTTATTATATATATAATTAAGTATGTGACCTTGTGATATAATATTTGGTAAAAAATAAAAAATAAAGGGCCTTAAAATTAAACCCTGCATATTAAATAGGCTGCATACCAATAAGAAACCGTCGGCACGCATGTACCTGTTTTGCATACCTGGAGCGCCTGCAGTAATTTATATGATATTAAAAAATACTATATCGTGTAATACGTATTATAAGGGAGTAATATTTTTTTCTTATGTATAAAGATTTGTATAGAACCCAATAATTTAAATAACCTTTTTTTTTTAGTACTTTTCTATTCGTGTTATTAAGTAGTCATATAAAATAGTTTCTCTCAAATAAATTGAAATCATAGTTGAACGAGATTGGTTCAACTATTTAAGTGGAGACTTGGTGTCCACTTAAAGAATATTTTATAATGTTTTTTTAATTATTCATTTTTAGTGTCGTGTACTTCTAAATCTCAGAACGACTCAACCTTTCGAGGAAGTTATTGAAGATTTAGGGCAAGTTTTGAAAATGAATAACGCTAAACGCATGCTAACTGTATCCAACCAAGAGGTACTTTTATTTATACAAAATGATCGTTTTCGGGTAAAACACTTAATTCACTTAATTTCAATTAAAAAATTGTTTCAAATCTATAATAGTTTGCATCAACAATTCTTATCGTCATATCTGTTACTTATTACATTAAGAATAAAATATATTTTGTTAATTTTATACATTTTATTTAATGACAATAATAATTTATGACCTATTAAAATAGGTTGCCTCTAGTATTACGAAAATTAAATTAAAGATGAATTTTCATTTAAAAACCAAATCTTTAAACAATTTTAAAACGCAATCGGTAGATCGGNACATTTTATTTAATGACAATAATAATTTATGACCTATTAAAATAGGTTGCCTCTGGTATTACGAAAATTAAATTAAAGATGAATTTTCATTTAAAAACCAAATCTTTAAACAATTTTAAAACGCAATCGGTAGATCGGATAAAAAAATTATAAGATCGAAAACGTTTGGTATATTTTTTATATTATATCATCAAACGAAAAATATCCATTAAAAAAAATTAGAGTTTAGGTTTATATCACCGAAAGGATGAAAAAAGTGAGTTTACTCCATATTATTGTAGAATTTTTTAAATAACATTTTTCTTTACAAAAATGGAAAATATTTAAAAATTTTTGAGTAAATGAGTGTCTTATTCTTAACCAATGACTCTTTATTTTAAAATAAACATTATTTTTGAAATCTTACGTGTATATTTAATATTTTAAAGGTTCGGAGCTTCTCTCAATTAAGAAATGAGTACTCTGACGTTGATACATTTTACATAACATCTGAATCTCGATTGTTATCGCCACCTTTTAGAAGATCTCGTTCTAGAGGAGCTATAGCAGTTGAACCAATTATAGCAAACCCATCAAATAAAATGGATAGACAAAGAAGAGCTCGTAGTAAAAGTCGACCTCGAGCTTTGTATGCGGCCGATAGCGATATTGTTAAAGTTCCACCCGGTAATTTACAAAAAATATATAAAATTTATTAAATAAAAGGTGGAAATGAAAATAATTCGTCGGTATTTTTAAGATTACTCCGTTTTGGATGTAATGAAGGAGGATCCTATTCGTCTTCAAATAAGAGGCATGAGGAGAACTTATTTTCCGCCAATTGTACATCCACCAGCAGATGATTCACCGCCAGATAAAAGGCTAACTTTGAGTTGGGTGTATCCTTTTATATAAAATGACAGTACCATATTTGAATTAAATCGTGAATTATTGATACTTTTGTAATGAATTTTTTTAAATAGTAAAATAATTTAGTATCACAAAATAAAACTTTATTTTCTTCTTTATTTAAAATATTGTACTACAAATAATATAAATTAAAAAAATGAATAATATCTATACCTTTACAATATAATAGATGTATAATAATTACTAGATTCGAATTACGTCATCATCAGGTAAAACATATATAAAATATTCGAAAATCTTAATTAGTAAAGTAAAATTTTGTTAATAATATTGTTAAAAAGATAAAAATGATTGTAAATACATAGATAAACAAAACAATTTACTTAGAGTTTCTTAAAAATTGAAATAGAATATTATTTTTATTTTGTATAACATTACATTTATTTATATTTTATCTGATAAGTCGAGACTAGTAATTATTATACAATTTATTTCGTACAAGGCAGCTAGACCGTAGGACGGCAATTGTGCACCGCACTAGAATGCCCTTTTACCTTAAGTTTGTTTAGAATCGCTATTATTGAAGCGGGAAGGGGTCACCTGGAAGGATGACGGCTAACCACGCATCCAATAAGTAACGAGAATAGACAATAATTAAATAAAAAATAACCACTTATATTAGAAGTTCTGCAAAGAGTATCTTAAATTTAAGGGGTAACGGAGGGCCCTTAAATATTAATGGCCCGTGAAGCGGCATAAAACAAAATAATTAAACTCAATTAAAACATTAAAAAATAATATAAAACTCAGCTGAATAGATGAAATTGTTGAGTGTGATGAGTGGACTGTATGAGACCTTGTGGTAATGGTGTCGAACATCTGAGTATCATCAGTCAGAATGTAGATCCAGGCACGTAATGTCAGATGAAAACAGACGCTGGAAAAGCGACTACGGCAATGAAGTTATTTAGTGATGGCCAGGGCCCAATCACTGGTGGTGTGCAAGGACACGAGAACTTTGAGGGTATAATAGTATAATAAAGGGTATAATAAACAAATAATAAGAATAACGGGGTACAATGGCCGAACAATTTACCATTCAAGCGAAGGCGCTTGCTACTAAAAAAATGACACATAAAACAATTGACTTATAGACTGACGACGATGTACTGTACACGGATAACAATTGACACGGAGACCATTGATTTGCCGTACTGGGTGGGCAAGGGGATGAGAAAAGCAAAGACACTAGAGATTAGCTGTCACACGATATAATATAACTAACGGTGTTTGTGACAACTGGTCCACTAGGTCTTTGCTAAAGGCGTTCTCTACCAAACACAATTATTATATACTCAAGGTATAGCTGTTATTCATTTTTTCCAATTTATATTATTTGTAATATTTTATTTTAAGTAATTTATATCATTAACATTTTATCACTGATTTTGACTCAAATTATACATATTTGGCTCGTCATTACTTTTTTTAAGTCAAATAATATCTAATTTTAGACATATATGTGTATTGTTTACTTTTGTAATTTTTTTAATTATGTGTGTATGTTTACAACTTAAAAAAAAATATTCCTTAAGCTTTAATATATTATAGTTACGGTTATAGAGGTGTAGACGCTAAAAGAAATCTTTGGGTGTTGCCTACTGGAGAATTATTGTACTATGTGGCTGCAATTGCAGTTTTATACGATAGAGACGAAGATTCTCAAAGACATTATATTGGACACACAGAAGATATTCAATGGTAGTTGAAATAAATTTTGGAAGTTTTATTATTTTAAATTCTAAATGTTATTATTGTGGTTTGGTTATTAGTATGGATATTCATCCTTCAAAAGAAATGATAGCATCGGCTCAAAAAGGAGGGAAAACTCGTAAAACACAAGCCCACATACGAATATGGAGTCCAGAAACATTGTATACTTTATACATTGTCGGGAATGGAGAATTCGAAGAAGGCGTTAGCGCACTAGCATTTTCCCAACTTGTAAGTATGTGCTGTCAAAAATTTTACAGTAATAACTAACTTTCTTTTTAATGTAAAATGATAAAAAATGTCAATAGAAATTTAGCGATAATATATTTTTTGACATGAACTTGTGTTCATTAGTATGACTTTTATATCGAATTAATAAAAAATTAAGTGAATAACGTATTTTATTTGTACATTTTTTAGACGGGTGGAAACTACTTACTAGCTGTTGACTGTGGTCGAGAAAAAATGTTGTCTGTATGGCAATGGCAATGGGGTCATCTGCTTGGAAAAGTTGCGGTTGGTTTCAGTATTTTTTAAATTTATTCTTAAATTGTTCGATTATTTGTAAAAATGAATTGTTTAAAATTATAGACAATGCAAACAGAGGATGTCTTGGGTGCTGCTTTTCATCCATTAGATGATAATTTAATGATAACACACGGAAAAGGTCACTTGACATTTTGGACCAGGCGAAAGGATGGATTTTTTGAAAAAATCGATATCATAAAAGCAGTAATTTACTAGAATAGTCAAATCATTTAAAATAAGGTACAATACATTCTAAAAATATAATTACACTTGCTTTATAGCCATCAAGGACCATTATCACTAGTTTACAATTTGAACAAGAAGGAGATGTCATTACAGCCGATGGCGATGGGTTTATTACAGTCTATTCTGTAGACAGTGATGGTGCCTACTATGTTAGAATGGAGTTTGAAGTACATATTTCTTATATCAAATAAACTTTCAAAATACTTAAATAAAAAGTTCGTTTTATTTTTCAGGCTCACAATAAAGGTATAAATGCTTTAATAATGTTACCAGAAGGAACTTTGTTGTCTGGAGGCGATAAGGACCGAAAAATTATTGCTTGGGACTCTTTACAAAACTATAATAAAATTACTGAAACAAAAGTATAGATAAATGTTAAAATTTATATAATATTTGATCACTAAAATCAATTTGTTTTAAATTAGCTTGCTGAAATATTTGGTGGAGTAAGAAGCTTGTGTCCCCAACGTCCGGGAAGAAATGATGGTAATATTTATGTAGGAACAATTAAAAATAACGTTCTAGAAGGGTCTATGCAAAGGAGATTTAATAGAGTAAAATTAATTAAAAACATTTTAATTATGAAAAATTATAATTGTTAATTTTGTGTAGATTATTTTTGGACATAATAAACAATTATTGGGCTTAGCAGCTCATCCAGACGACGATCTTTTTGCCACTGCCGGTTGTGATAAAAATATAGCTTTATGGAAAAGACATGCTTTGTTGTGGAGTACTCAGGTAACTATAACATTTTAATAATATGCAATTGATTGCGTATTATAGAGTTAATCTTATTAAATTATAATTAGTTTTTCATTAAATATTGTAAAATATAGTAAATATATTAGAATAGTCAGTCATTACTAATTTATAAATATTGATTGATTGCTCTATAATTATTTAATTTTGTGTACCTAATAGCAATTTTATACAATATCGTTTTGTTTAGTTAACATATGAATGCGTGTCGCTCACTTTTCATCCATTTGGGGCTGCTCTTGTAGTTGGTTCGGTTGAAGGATATTTAATAATATTAAATGTCGAATCAGGAGCAGTAGTTTCCAGTGTTAGAGTTTGTGGTTCTGCTTTAACATGCATGGGATTTAATCCAGGTTATTAAAACATAGTTACGACGATTCACCTGTAGATATATGTTTAATTATGAAATTATTTCAGCTGGTGATACTGTAGCAGTCGGGTCACAAAATGGTAGCTTATACTTGTATAGAGTGAGTAGAGACGGTCTCACTTTCAAAAAATCTAATAAAATTAGAGGACTTCAACCACTCGCACACTTAGATTGGAGTACAGATGGTCAATACATACAGAGTGTAACCGCTGAGTATGACCTTGTATATTGTAAGAAAAATTAAAAATAAAATTTGATAGTCTTTAAAATACATAAAAATTTTAAAAATTTTAGGGGATGTCAAAGGAATGATACAAGAAAAAAGTGCACCGGCTATGAAAGATGTTAAATGGTATACATACAGCGCTCCTGTCGGATATTTAATTTCAGGTATAAATTCAATTAAAAAATAATTTTTAATTATTTGTCGAGAATATAATTTGATTATTAATATTGGGAAAAATAGCAATATTATTTTATTAGCTTGGAAAACATTTTGAGGTATTTGGTTATAACTTCTTAATCGTTATTATTTTACTTTTTAAAATAATAATTTGTATTGTACAGTAAACCACTTGAAACTAAATTCTTAATTTTAATTTTTCATTCATTATTTTAGGAATTTGGCACAACAGATTTTACCCAACAACGTCATTAATAAGCACTGCCAATAGATCAGCTGCTCATGATCTTTTTGTAACTGGTGATACAGATGGATATTTAAGATTATTCAGGTAAAATTTAAATAATATCTTGAGGAATGAGGAATAATTTTTTTGAACAATTTCTATAAATTAAATCAAATTATATTAATAGACACTAATGAAATTTTATTTCTATTCTAATATCTAATAAACATTAGAACAAAAATAGTCTGTTACAAGTTTAATTTAGGCTAAAAAATAACATAATACTTCTAAATGTGTCTAATTTAGCAATTCGATTGCTACAAATCATTTAAAATCTATAAAAATCAAAAAAATTATTTTCTCTATCTATTTTTAAAAAATATTCCATAGGTGTAAACTTCTATTTTTTAGCGGAATAAATATTGACATTTATGTTTTCAGGTTAGGAAAATTTTTTTTGAATCAAGTTTTCATTTAATATACTAATTTGGTATATAAAACTATACAGTAAAAACCTTCCTAAGAATTATTTATTTATTTAAGGATATGACAGTTAAAAATAAAATAAAATATATGATAGTCTCTAATATTCTTCGCTAAAAAATGTTTTCTCTATCTAACAATTAAGACTACAAAGCAAAAGAATTTTGGTTTTTAGTATTTTTACTTATATTTAGTAGATTAGTTCATCTATATCAAGGTATTTTAGTATACGTTCAAAAATTCATTTCAGAAAATGAAAATATTTCGAGATTGCCTATGAATACACAATCAAACTTATTATTTGATTTAAAAAAAAATTTAAAAACCGAAATTAACTGAAAAAATATATATTGGTTGATTGCAGTTTTTAAACTTTATGTCAAATTTCCAGGTCTGGTTTAGGCTTAAAAAGTAAATTTGTAATACTTACGTTTTCTACTATTATTGAAAAAAATCTTGACGAAAACAACAAAATCAATGCACTTCAAAAAGTGTATTTTAACATAAAACAATATTTCTTATTATATTAACAAGATTTTATAGAAATTGATCAATTATTGATAAATTTTTCATTTTCCAACAAAAAATGTGTAAATAACTATGGTATTATAAACAAAACAAAAAAATTGTTTTTTGGATAATGTTAGGTTTTTTGGGTTTTTCCAGTGAAACATTTAATCTAAAATTCTGTATAAATTATTCTAAAACAAAATAAAATTTATTATATGTTTAGATATCCATGCATTCAAAATAAATCTGAATACAACGAAGAAAAAGTTTACAGCGGTCAAATATCTTGTGTAAGATTTTTATACAACGATCGGAATGTAGTAACAGTCGGTGGAATAGACGCATCTCTTATGTTGTGGGACGTAGTGGAGGATTGATATTTTTATAGTTCCAAAATACTTTTTAAAAAATTTTAATGTTTCATTATTTTGAATCTTGCACAAATGATATTTATTTGAATAATTTTTTACAATCTTGTTTTTAATGGACGTTTATAGATAGAAATATTATGACTTACCAGCATTTTAAAACCTGCCTATTATATAACATCGTCTATAATATAATTTTACATAGAAAACGTTTCAGGTTATCTTGGGACACATTAAGAGTATTATATGTGACGAAGTCAAACACCACTTTTATTCTGATTATTCTTGTTATGTATTATTCTATTCTTTTAAAAATCACTGCTTACCTTTTAGTGATTTTATTTAAATTATGTTAAAATCTTATCGATAAAGCAATTACATAATTTTTATTTAGCATGTGGATGAGTCTTAGAGAAATGTAAATCGTTAACCAAAAACAAAAATAAAACCTTTTATATTTTGACCCAGCGTTACCTAATATCCAATAAACTGTATTGGCAACTATAAAAGCTCATTTTAGTGATCAGAAAATTATATACTTCCTATAATATTGCCACGTTTTTATTAAAATTATTTACTATTACACTAACTGGTATTTTTATCATGTCAGTTGATGTTTAAATTTGTAATTTTTTAATAGTATTAGTTGTAAAAGTAAATAAATTTAACAATTTATTTGCATGTATTTTTATCTTTTTGTGATAATAGCCTATTAATTGTACTTAGATGGAAATAAATAATATTATATAGATTAGATAAAATTTATCAATATTTAAAATATGTTCAAATAATGATACAAAAAAAACATTTTATTTTTGATCAGATACGAAAGTTTACTTTGAGTTTAACATATCGATGTATAGAATGAAAATTTTCTCTTAAAATAAACTGCTTATTCATTTACAAGGCTGTCATTATAGATTTGAATATTTTATTTTATGAAAAAAAAATACGAAATGTGTTATAGTATTTAAATTAAAATCATTAGTTAAAACAATAATATTAAAATATATAAAGTTTAAACTTGAGCGTGACATAATTTGACGAACAATTTACATTACCAACGATATTACTATCTATAAATATACATAAAATGGATTAAAACAAATAAAAAAATAAAATAAAAAAAGAATAACATATTTTATAATAGATGAGCAAATATATAGTTAAAACACAAAGAGTTTTTTATTAACAAAATTTGGTAATAAAAAATTTTTTTGGGATCTTATTCAAAGCACGGAATGTTTCATTGATGTTGATAAATTTTAAAATAATTTTAATAACAATTTGTATTTTACAATTACACTATAATACACAATGATTTTTTTTTTTGGTGACACAAATGTTTATATTAAATTAAAATAACTATTTTATAAAAGGCAATGCAATATTACCCACATATCCGTACAGATACATTGTAAAAGTGTTATTATAAAATCAAAATAAAATAAAGCATTTTATCAGTTCTACCATTAAGTAAAATATATTTAACGCCTTACATATGTTCATGGACCGATTATTTTTACAAATAAAAGCTGTGTCAAATTGGTACCACAGTAGTAGCACTAATAAAATATTCTATAAACTGAATCACCTTGTCTTAATAATAGACGTATAAATAATTTTATCACGTGTTACTGGTTTTGATTACTCATTGAGCGCAGAGCTTTTTTGTTAACAAGAACACTTCAAGCAATACATATTCTTAATGGTATGACTAATCGCTAAAAAGTTGTACAGAATATTTCAAGATGCTTATAAAATATATATGTATAGAGTACAATGACCATGGTAACATCCAAACATGTTTGGTAGAGAGCTTTGGAAAGTACAAGCCGATAACTTAAATATTAGTAACACAGTTAGGAAATTGACTGACTAATGACTGTTAGTCTTCACCAGGGCCTCCACATGTTTGGGTCTCTAGGGCTTTCACACCTCGAAGTCCGTGGTCTCTCTACAGTTACGGCCCTTTGGCCGCTTTCAACTAAATCTTGATTTTCCGCTTTGCCGCCGTGCAATGACGACGAAGCATTAGGAACATTCACCGGTATATCATTTAGTGGCCTTTTTGACGGACCCGTTGGTATTTTTTTTAGGGAAAAGTCCAATGGGTTTCGAACACCGTGAGCGTCTTCGGCCGACGTACTAGTAGAGGAAACCGGTTCGTCTACGTATATGTAAGGCACCGAAGAGGTTTGTGGGGGTAGTAGAGACAAACGGTCGTCTTGGTGGACGGGCGTGAAGGCACTGATGCGACGCGCAGTTGACGCCGGCAAGATCAGTGCTAATTCTCCCGTGGGCAGCAGTCGACTACTGCAGTTGGGCACTAATGCTGCAGCCGCCGCCGCAGTGGTGTCTAAGTGTAAATTTTGGTATGAAGGCGGCGACGAGGTGTATTGAATTTTAGCCACACACGAATCTAAATGCGATATTAACCTTTTTTTAATATCTTCGTCTACGCCGTCCAAACGGTCCACAAACCGATTCACCTCACCCACACATTCTTGATAGCCGGTTTGAAATTTTTGAACTATCATTGTGGAAGGGTCGGTAGGTTGAGATGTATTGACAGAAGTCGAGGATTGTCGATTGCCATGCAGCGATTGAAGATGGCGCACAGTCATTTCTAGGATATCCGCTTTTTCCAGCTTAGTGTGTCTTGCAGGCTTAAAAAAATACATTTGCTTATTTATTCATTACTACTGTTAAAATATGAGTGATTTACAACATTGATGGACCGAATTCAAATAGAAATAAGAGTTCAACAGGAAAAGATAAAAATAAAAATAATCCATACGCGGCTATTCAAAGTTTTAACTATGTATTTTTTAAGTAAATATAACCGACTGATATTAAAATTACGTCTTGTTGTTTCGTTACGTGACTTCTTTGAAACTCGATCATTTCACCGTAGAATAATATAATTATTTATTTATTGAGATTCGAATGTTTTGACGTAGTTCATTAGAGTAGTGTTGTCTAAAGAAATAGAATGACTTGGAAATTTATAAATTCACTGTGTGATTTATTTTATATGAAAAGTTTATGTAATCTTATTGATCTAAAGAATTTATACTGAATAAATTTTACTACTCTAGATTATACTAATAAATTACAGTTAATGATTTGAATTATAGTTATTGTTATGATGATGATGATTCTAGTACTTTCAATGTAAATCAGACATTTAGTTTATGCATGTACATAATTTAACTAAGTAATACGTTATTTAATCACTATTCACTAAATTATCTATTCACTAAATTATGTCATCGCGGAAGGCAATGACTAAAAATTAAGCTTAACTATGGCAATGTGAAAATTGTGTTATCTTACATCTTTTTTTAATGCATCTAATATCAATGTCTTTAGCTCGTTCAAACACTGGTTGATTCTTGCTCGCCTTTTTTTTTCCATAATAGGTTTGTTATTCTAAAAAAAAAACAATTAAACTTTGTATAAACATTTGAATAACTATTTACAAAGTCATTAGGTTTACAAATTGTACGAACGTTATACCTAATTAACTAATATTGATTTTTTGCTTCTTTCTTTATAAATTTTCAATTTAACAATATGTAATATATATTTTTTAAATACATATTAGTAAAAAATACAATTTATTATATTATCTAGAATAAATTGTATTAATTTACTAGTTTACAACTTTAAATTTATATTTTGTTGTATACACAGTGATTAAAATTACTTAAGAAACGCTTCGATGCAAATCTATAGATAGTGTTTAATTTTAAGAAATTGGTGGATTATTCCAAAAGCAAAATGAATTCTTTTTTCCTTTATTATTCCTGATTAGTAGTTTTTTGATTAAGAAGTGTAATATATGAATAAATATTTATTATAGCAATTAAATATAGTATGATATTGATAATTTGATTATCTAAATTAATTAATAATTTAGCATTGTAATTTTTTCGGAGAATTAATAAAAAAAATATTAAGTAGTTATTATTTTTATGTCGAACATGTATAAAAATTGAAAGGTTTGATACAAAACTTTTTAGATAATAATGAGTTGTTAATTATGAATAAATGGTCTGTAAAATATTTTCATTAGAGTCAAAAATGTACTTTTATTATTCAATTTTTCGTGCAAATTTCAAATCAGCGATTATATTTTTTCTATCACCAATAATTTTTAATATTGTTACTAATTAGTTAAAAACTATAGGAAATAACTATAAGGAAAATAGTTCTGAATATTTCAATTGTATCATCGATTTTAACATCAAAAGTTACACAGAAATGATTAATATATCTTTTAAGATGATTTATTATGATTAAAAAAAATTGTTTTAAACTATTACAGTATTTGATTTTTAATATGTTAAAAATAATCAGTACGAAATATAATTTTTAACCTATTTTTTTTTACTATCTTAAAATTTAATTTTTGAAAGTTTATAATAAAAAAAAAGTTGAATTTGTTACTATAACTTTTATTACAACTTTAAGTTTGAATTTTACATAATTAAATAGAAAATTTTATGAGAATTAGAAAAATAGTATTATTAAGATTAATATGTAATCAGGAAATCGTATAATTACTATTTACTGTAAATAGATCACTTAAATAGAAATCATAGTAATCATTTGTAAGGAACTTTTGGTGTTTAAAAAGATTCTACTATTGAAATATTCAGAACTTAATGAATTTTAATGATTTACTTTAACTAAAAAAACCAATAAAATGTTGTTAAAAAAATCTACTCAATTGAGTGTATTATAAAATTTTTTTTATTAAATTCAGGTGAAACTAAAAATAATTTTTTTTTAAATTTATAATTTATATAGCATTATGTTACCAAAAAATTTGGAATATTATAGATAAGTAACTTTTTAATTGATAAAGTGGAAATGTTTTCAATGTTAAAGGGTAATAACTTTAACTAGATAATTCTAGTTAAAGATATTACCCTTAAAAATTGATAGTTGTGATCATTTGATGTATCGTTATTTAGTATTTCTGGAACACTTTCAAAATTTATGTTGAGAAAGTTAATTTTTTGCGAAATAGTTGTCATTTTGAATCCCCCTCTATGAGTAGGTGAAGGGGTCAGATTAAAAAAATATATATACCAAATGTAAATAAATATCTAATTTATGTGTTAAAAAAAAAAAATTGTTTCTATTCATCAATTTTTCAAAAGGATATGGTAGTTTTAAGTAAAAGAAATTGAAAAAATGTCGAAAATTAGTGATATTTAAATTTATAATTTTTTTCAATTTTTGTGGGTTATGTGTTCGACTAGATACGATTTGTGAACTTTTGACGTATTGTTGAAAAAAATCGGATCGGCGAGAGCTGAGAAAAAGTGGTAACAGCACATAAAAAAAAAATAAATAAATAAAAAACACATCATAGTAAAATGAATACCTTCTTAGCTTCGCATCGAAGATAATATAATAATAATAAATAATTTCATGTTTAAAACATCATCATATTTTGCGTTAAAATGTTTTTACCGTTTTACCTGTTTTGTTAAAAATTTAAAGTGGACATTGAACCATTACTTAAGTCCAACATTTAGATATAGTTTTTAAACAGTTTATTTATTATGTAAAATCAGTTATTAAGAAATGAATATCTAGAGGAGGACCTATCATTGGGATAAGGAGACAATTGCCCCGTGGACCGCTGTTTATAGACCAACGAAGGTTACTATGAATAGCGCAGTCGGGCCGGCTACATCTAATAAAAAATTAAGTATAACATTTTATAAGTATGTAATATTTATTATAAATATTTGTGTATGTATTGAATTAATATATTTAAAAATATAAGAATATGGATTTTTAATTATAATAGGAAATTAAAATATTAATTACAGAGTGTTACACAAATTTTTTAATTATTTTTTTTCGTTCATCACTTTTTTTCAGACGATGCAAAAAATGTTTGGTGCGAACATGACCGCCACAATCGTAGTGTCCCCTAGGCCGATAATCTCCAATTTCGCCTTTGTACCCATCCGTCTAACTCATTCGTTTTGACCTCATACAAAAGGGAACTAAATGAAAAAATCTGAAATCTAGTGGCTATTTATTGTAATATATCCTAAGAAGCTTCATATATTTTTGATGATTTAGAAATCCGTTGAATACGGAACAGCTGTTTCTATGGTACCATAATAAATAGTGTACTTACTTTTCGCAGTTCGGTTTTTGAAATTTNCTTCATATATTTTTGATGATTTAGCAATCCGTTGAATACGGAACAGCTGTTTCTATGGTACCATAATAAATAGTGTACTTACTTTTCGCAGTTCGGTTTTTGAAATTTCATAGCGTCTGACTTGACCCGGAGATGACATGTCCGAAGAATGTACCCTCGGATCATCGTCTTCGGAATCGTTGTTGGTCGACGACATCATAAGTAACACCGTCAAACGTTTCACGCGGTTTTAAAAATTCAAAAAATAAAGGAAAACAATTTATAAAATCTACTAAAATCAACACACAGCTTTAATGTCTTAGTAAGTCACTTATTTGTGGGCCTCCGTTTCGCGTTCAACATACTTTTTTCCGTTTGTTACGAGCACAGTAATCCGAAATGCCCATACAAGCGAACCGGTTCATACTGCCGGGTAATTTCACAACCTAATGGCACGGGGCGCGAGTTCCCACGTTGCACACGAGGGCCACGACTACTACGAATATCGATAGTGCAGCACAATCGTCACGATTTTCCATGTGCGCGTTTCTCCCAACCGTTTGTTTTTTATGCTTATAATACATTACTGTGTTGTGATGCAATTATTGTTTTTACATTCAAACGAGTCCATGTGTAGACCAATTACAACGTGTACATTAAATTTTCTTAAGAAATACATACAAATGAGTTGTGGATTTAATTGATATTCAAACGTTTAATTTATCTGGAATGATAGAAATATTATTTTATTTTTTAGTGATATTTTTAAAAATATAAATACCATAATTTTCATTAAAAAAAAACGTCACTTTCTGAACAGTTTAACTTGGTTAATTTAACGGTGGCATTGTTTACACGACAATACTCTTAAATATGCCTTTTACATTTTCCATAAGTAGAGAGGTTAATTTGATGTAAGTATATTAATATTCAGTAATCATGTTTTCGGAGACAAACCATCAAAATAAACATTTTTGGGTCTGTTTGTGTTTTTCGCCTATCTTAAATACTTAAAAGTTGTAATACATTGTTTAAACTCCTGTTAACAATCAACTATGAAAAAGATTATTGGACTTGAAATGGCTGATAAATGTTGTTAAGTACTTTTTTATTTTAATAAAAAAATTTAAGTGTTTTTACCATTTGAAACTGTACAAAAAAAACATCTTGGACACTTTCAAATTCATATTTTTTATTTCCACGTGGAATTAAAAACAATTCGACACTGTTGTTTTCAATACAGTTGCCCTTTTCATACCGTTTGTACAAACATTGTTATTAATTGACAATACCATATTTTATAAAACTGTAGAAAAAATTAGTCAGATCCTCTTATATTAACACCACTCCTGGTATGCCTTTGAATAATACATGTGTGAATATTTTCAACTAATTACATTTATAATAACGGCTCTCTCCGGTCCATGTGAAGTTCCAGCAACCATGAATCCGCTCGAGATGAACTTTTGACAACGCAGATACTGTAGAGCCTACGCAGTTAACGATTTCAAACGACGTGTAGAACAGCAACGGTTAGGGGTATCCGATCTCTTCCAGTGGATTTTCTCAGCTCTCTTACAGAGGGTTCCGTTCCGGTGTGGAGTCAACGTGAGAGATCCGCGAGTGGTTTCCGGTCCACGGCGTTTTCCCTCTACTGCAGTCCGACAATTTTGTCGGTCGGTCAACCGATTCTTGTGTTTGTGTGTGTGCCTCCGGATGCCACAATGTGTTTTACACGGGCCTGTGTGATGTGCGGCGGCGCTTTGGGTGGGCGGAAAGAGAGTCGATAGGTTAATTACTGTCATCGGTTAGGGTGTGTGTTTTTTAACGCATATATCGATTGGGTTGCGGGTACCTTGACTGCATGTCGAGTAGCAGTTGCGTATGCAATGTTAATTGCCGTTAATCCATAAACTTACTTACGTCTATAGAATATACATACACTCGATATGCGTTATAAAATATGATGGAGCGATAACGGAATAGCGTTGTAGTGTGTTGTGTAGCAACAACAACAGTAGTAGTAGTAGTAGTTGTAGTTGAGTTGTAATGGTGGTAGTAGCTGTGGGCCGTGGGAACGGGATTGACCTATCTAGTGGTTGGGTGGAGGGGGAGGCTGAGGGGCGAACACGAATGGTAATGATATTATTATGTGCTACTGCGCAACACGTAGTTATACGTTCATTCAGTCACCTGTTCCACGTTATCATCCGGCCATCCCTTTAACCGCGAGTTATACGGCCCGTAGGTTGCTTCTGTGCGACTAGCCGTGTAAGCAAATTGATTTGTCTTTTTATGAGATAATTTTTACCCCGTCTACCCTAATAAACACGATTGTTTTCTCTTAAACCCGTCTATTACACATCCTTCCCGGCGTAATCATTTCCGTTATCCTTCATATTTTACAAGTCGAGAGAACGCTCGTCTCAGATTTCCGGTTATCTGTTCTTTCATAGAAAAACCACCACAACCCATCTGACGCTCTTTCTCTAAATACTTAGTATATTTGAGGAAATTTCAGATAAATAATGTGTATTTTATCTCAAATGTTGTGCATCAATGTTGTAATTAAAGTTGTCGTATAAAATTTATAATAAAAAATGGAATTGAATAATATTTTTTGACGATTTTTCAATGCGAATATTTTTTTTAATTATAATTTAGGTAATGTTAACACAAAATGTATTTTTATTCATACAATTTTTTTAAATCGCATTTTGAACGTCGACTGCTTATTATCAAGTTTTTTGGATGTTCAATTGATTAAGATAATTTATAATAGAAATTAATATTTTATTTCTTAAAAAAGATTTCAATTTAAAAAAATTTTTAGTTAATATAAATGGCTGTATATTTTTTTTATTAATTTGACTTCTTGAATAAATTTCTCTATTTTCAATAAGATCGTTTTTAATTTTGAGTACTAATTATAGAACGTTATAATATATAATAAGTAATTGAGTATTTTATAATATAAAATACTAAATAATAGTATTATGAAATAACTTGGAATAAAATTTAAATTTAACTACTTAACTCTCATAAGGATTTTGGAAATTATTACTGCAGACAAACTTATTTTAAATTGTATTTTTTTATTATTTTTTTTATTAGAGGAAAATATTTATAAATAAAGTAAAAACATTTGTTTTTGTGGAAAATATTAATATATTTCATTTTCTTGTATTTATTGAAATTTTTAGATCAAGTAATTTGAAAAGAACCTACATTTTGTTGAATTTCTCATTTCTCTACTCAACTTTACTGTTTAAAAAATTATCATTGTTAATTTAATAAATTAAAAATACCGTGTTGTTTTTGTAATTAAAATTTAACAGACCGCACTGTTATTATAAAAGAACTTATATATACCGATTAGTGTAAATTTTTAAAGAAAATTTAAAAATTAAAATAAAGACTTAAAGAAAATTTAACATGAAAAATTAGAATTGTTTATTTTTAATTCATCTAACAAATATTTAAAATATTTTGTATGGATTGTGGAAAATTTGATTTTATGTCACAGAAAATAATATTTTGCTTAAAAATCATGAGATAGTCATATAATTATAATTTAGAGGCATTAAAATTGGTAGATAATTTTGCTATCTTAAAATATAGAATATTAACATAAATGTTAAACGAATTTGAAGTGCAAATATTAATATAGTTTCTTTTTTCCATTTATGGCGATGAAGTGCTTGTACCATGAAGTCATCTTTTGCACGTTAGATTTTTAAACAATATTAATAATGTAAAAATAAACGCATTCGTGACTAAATTTATAATATTTTTAAGAAACGATTGCAATTTAAGATTTTACGTTTTGGTTGGATTACAGGAAACATTTATGTTTCTATTAACGATTAAATTGATCACGGAATGATCACATAATGGATTCCATTTTCATAAACGGTATTATTGGGATTAAAAAAAAGGTTTACAAAGGATTAAATGTAGACCAAGGACGTTTTTTTTATTCATATGGTGAATACTATAGGTTTCCGGTATCTTCTACTGTACTAAAGATGGTTATGATCCTATAGAAGCATCCTCAAATCCCCGTTTTTGTTTATTATAATATGGCATTGGCATATTCAAAAGACCGGAATAGATAACAAAAGGTTAATGATTCCCTTATAATATTGTCGCAGACCAGACAGTGACAATCATTACGTCATACGTTTCAGATATTAAAATGGAATATTTGAAAAATTGACATCTTTAAAACTTGAACAAATTTAACTATTTTAAATTCATTTATTTTGATTAATATTATCTTTTTCTTAATTTACTTTTTAACTTTAATTTGATTCAGTTTACATAGGGTTTTAAATAAATATATTATCTGACTTTTAATGAATTGTATGTAATTAGACTTTGAGCTTGAGATCAGAATTTATAAATATAAAAAATGAATTTTGATATAAATTGTGAAAATTGAAAAAATAAATTATACTTGGTGTTGCGTGCAGGGCAAAAAATTGCTCTACAAAAACACATTAAAAATTGGAAAATTCCTATTTGTAAAGTAAATGAATTTTAAAGATATGTTTACATATCTTTACAGATTACAAAAATCTGTCAATAATATTTTATGGTTTTATTTTCAATATTTTGATTGTGCAAGGATATAAAATCGGAATAATAATGCTTATAAATTTAAATTAAACTAACCCTACAAACTAACCTTAAAATATTTGCATTTAACATATCCTTTTTTGCATTGAGAGTAACTTGAGTTTAGGAAAGCAATTTTAACCTCATCTAAGATGTCCAGGCATTCTGCAACAAAGTTACTGACAAATAACATAAAAATAATAAATTTTAAATGCTGATATTAAATTAGCTAATAAAACATTAGATAAATAATGTAACACATAATGATTACCAAAATACCTACTCAACAAAAAACATGAAAATTCAAAATTTGAATAAATGAAAATTATCATTTGAATAATTCTATCAATTAGTGGACAAATTTCCAATTAGCATAAGCATTTATTTCAAAAATAAAAAAAACATTCACAATATCGAATTTCGCATTTTAATTTATGGTGCTAATTCAATAATTTTGATAAATATACGTACAAGTGTGCCTTTGTGGTCACTGCGCGTGAAAATAGAGGTTCTTTTACAAACGTGGGAATATTGATATGCATGAAATTTGTGATATCATTGTAAGTCAAGACTTTTGTAACCATTGTAAATCGTGTGCAACCATTATATCAGACACTGACCGTTTTACTGAATAATTTTATGTACTAATCACTCGAAACAATAGTCAGAATCAATTAAAACTGTTTGTCTGATATTTGTTATACTAACAATTAATTCACTTAAACAATATGTAGTCATTTATCTTTTAATACATTGCGCTACAATATTTATTTTAATGATAAAATCTTTAATATTTTGACTATATATGAAAAATTTTATAGACCATAGCAAAGCAAAAATGAAATAAAGCCATAAAAATGCATAAAATTTTAAAAAGCCATAGAAATGTACAAATAATAAGAAGCCATAAAAATGTATTAAATTTTAAGAAGCTATAATAATGTATAAATTTTAGGAAGCCATAAAAATGCATAAAATTTTAGAAGCTATAGAAATGCACAAATTTTAGGAAACCATAGAAATGTATAAATTTACGAAGCCATAGAAATGTATAAAATTTTAAGAAGCCATAATAATGTATAAATTTTAGGAAGCCATAATAATGTATAAATTTTAAGAAGCCATAAATATGTTTAAATTTTTAAGAAGCCATAGAAATGCACAAATTTTAAGAAACCATAGAAATGTATAAATATTATGAAGCCATAGAAATGAATAAAATTTTAAGAAGCCATAATAATGGATAAATTTTAAGAGGCCATAAAAATATATAACTTTTAGAAGCCATAGAAATATCACAAATTTTAAGAAACCCAAAAAATGCACAAAATATAAGATAGAAATTGTTTCATAAAATTTAAACATAAATTCACCAAAATGGGACTGTGGCATATATTGGACTAGTATATATGATATCTGACATTCATCAATATCACTATCATAATAAAGGCTCGAAAAGAATCTGTTAAATTTTACAAAATATTAGAGGCTTGTTAAATTATTGTACCAAACCTAATTCAATATGAAATAAGCATAAAATATGCTATGTTTATATCAGGGGTGGTATTAGAATGTACTGTCACACCTCCTGATTTTTTTGGTGGCCCGCAAAAATACATCACAGCACCAAAATACCAGTCGTTAATGTATTTATATTTTATTGATAAAATTCTAATCTTTTATAAAATCTTATCATTTATTAATACTGTGTTACGAATGACAACACACAAAATAGTTATCTAAACAGAAATATCTTTAATGGTATATGTTCTATGTTTACTATATACATTATGAAAAAATATCGTTGTTTATGACCATATACAAGTGACTACAAAGAGCAACTGAAATTATTGTATCAGTTTTATCCATATCATTTTAATAATACTTGTTAATTAGTCCAAGCTATTATTGATAGTATATTTCCTTATTAATTAAAGTATTTAACCATTCAATAAAAATTTGATTAAACTTAGACATGATATTGATAAATTGTTAAAAAAGGGTAACGTAGTAATAAATTACTTTAATTGTACAAATAATATTATGAAATATTGTTAAATATCAAACGAAAATTAATTACTGCCTGGTTTAAACACAAAAATAAAAAATTGTTAGCTGCAGCTTCATTATTAAATGCAATTTTTAATTACATAATTAATAAACTAAAAAATTTGATAATGAATTAGAAATAAATCAAAACGTAAGCTATAAAATAAATTTAAATATTAAAATTACAAATTATAAGTTTTAATATTTTAATAATTATAAAAATTTAGGTGAATTAAATAATGCAGTTGAAAAAACATATATCAAATAATATTGATTTATTAAAAGCTGTGAATGTCTTCGCTAAAATGAAAAATAGTAGATATTCTTTAATTTTAATGTTTTATTAGCTATATTTTTAGTGTTTTGACTTATTTATTTTAATATAATATAATTTTTTTTTTTTGTATAATAACTTACAAGTATATTTTATACTCAAGGAATGTGATATTTAATGACAATTTTTTTTTATTATATAATTTACTTTGAAATTTGATCTCTAAATATTAGAGTTTTTTTAAAATAATAAAATGTATATGAAAATAAATATACTTCATTTGTATCATTTAAATACCCTTCATAAAACATAAAAGTAAAAAAAAAATCTTTGGTGATGTTTGTTTTACTCAAAAACCAGTATAATCGTAAAATAACCCAAAAATATAACAAGGTGGTTCACTTTAAAGATTTCACCCTTTTAAAAAATCTGAAATGATCCCACTGGTTATAATATTATGAAGCTATAAGTTATACATAAATGGATAGACTAAAATGTTTATAATGTTATAAGAAATTAATATGACTATGTAAATTTAAGGGTCAACAAAACATATTGAATGTGCTTTCATACAATTTTATCTGAAGTGCTCAAATTCATATCAAAAGTTTCTACAAGTAAATATTATGGAATTTGTAGTAAATTTTGGCAAAGTTTTTAGTTATTATAAAAGTACATGACCTCGGAAGAATACAAAAATGTTTAAAATATATAATCATTACATGTTATAATTTAATGTTTATAATGTAAAATTATTACGCTATGAAGCATAAGCTAATTCTTTAAAAGAGACACAGTGTTCAATTTTGTGGAATAATCATCACCTGTTGATGTTTTGTTTTAAATCATATAAATGTGTTGAAAGGTTGAAAAAAATTGTAGTACGAATATTAGAGTTTAAATATCCAATATTCGTTTGGAAATATTTACCGCAGATATCATAAACTAAAATCATTAACCTTTTTAGCAACGCAACGAAATTAAATTTTTTTTTAACTAGACATTTAATAAGCTGAATTTTTCGAAAGCTTTAAATATAGTTTCTAAATTAAAAAAAAATATCAATTCATTAAAAATATTTATTAATCAAAATAAAAAATATATAACATTTTTATTAAGTATTTCAATCAGAAAAAATCGATTAAATTAAACTACATATATTTTGTTGGAAATTAATTTAGAGAGATATCTATTAAAACTTTTTAAGCAAATTTGTTTTTGGTATAGTTTTTAAATTAAAGCAAATTTCGTTACGTAATAAGAAATAATAAATAAAAACTTTTAAAATCTTATCAATAAATATCACTAATTCAATTGTTCTTTTACATAAAAAGGTAAGGCAACACAATACTCCCGTAAAATAATACTTTAGCTTGACACGGACTTATGTGTGAAGGACATTTTATTTTTAATATAAAGCATACTTTAGATTTTCAAATAGATTAATTAACAGTCATCAGCATTATTTGTATTTTAAATATGCTCTCAAGTATAGGAAATGTTAACGCGACCTCATTAGAGTGTATAAATAAGCCAGTTTTCCAAGACTACGATATCCGTTAACATACTTAAACGAGATTTCAGACATCGATAGTTGTTTTTTTATTTTTTATATTATATAATATGTACAAAAAATTGATTAATAATTATTAATCAGTTTCTATAAAATATTAAAAACTAGTTGCAACTCAATTTTATTTAAAATTAATATAATATTACACAAATAAGGAGGTAAATACACAAAGAACAGGTGTTTTTATTCTTGTCGTAAGTTACAAAATAAAAAAATACGCTAATGAATTTTATGTTGTGCGGTTCTCTGTACTTTGTTTAAACAAAACGCTTACGAAGACGGTTCATTAGGGTCCGCGAGGAAGTGTTTTGGAGCAAATAACTATACAAATACATGCACGAAACCAAGCAACTGTCTACTATTTAATAAACTATATGTAACTATAGTCTACAACAATTGTTAACCTGTTCTGAGTTCAATAACAAGTACCTATGTACACGTTTCTTTATCTTGTTTCACAGGCAGCTGCTACATATTACTAATAAAACAATTCACACGTATAAACGAAAATGCATGACAAGGCACTTAGATTTTAAATTTTAAGTCAATTGATACCACCTTTGGTTTTTATAAAAAAACAATTGTTGTCTTTCTCCGCATGGTATCATCGTCATTCAACTGATGACAGTTGTTTAAGTTTGTGACTTAAACACATTTACACGTTAGGTTTAAACTGTACCGTCTAAAATCTTTGATTAGAAGACAAAGTAATTATAATTATTTCATGGCAGTTGTGTGCTTGTTTAGTACTTTTTATAATTTTAGAGAATGTCACTTATTATTTCAACAGTCTCGCATTGAATGAAACTTAGTGTAAATACTCAATACGTACACTTCACACTGTTGATTGAATCATGTTCGACTTTCGCTGTGTATAAACTACGGGAAGTAAAAAGAGTATGATTACTACCTTTAGCTATTATTATAATTCGACTCCCTTCGTTATACTCTGAACAAAAATAAAAAAAATAAGTGTGCAGACTAAGACGCGCGGTGGCGATTGTTGGTAAAAATCAACGAAGCAGCTGCTCCCCACAAGTAACACACATAAATGTTATGGCGACGAGCCTTGGCCGAAAAAGGGTGAGGGACTAAACTATATACTAGTCGTGTGACGGTATGTGAGAAAACGATCGACCTATGGTTCCCACCTATATAAACATGTCGCAATATGTACAGTCAAAATACGCACACGGGGTTTTAAACGCGAATAAAGGCAAAACTGACCCTCCTATATGGAAAGATGACCCCTGTTTCTAGTTGGTATAAAGATATAAAGAAAGATCTGAACAGTTCAGCATCCTCGCTTCATCGATGTTCATGGCAAATAGGAGTAATCATGAATTTTAAGTAGGGAATACTTATGTATTTAAATAAAATAAAATCACAAAAAAAAAAAAAAAATGAAGATTTTTTTATTTTTAGAAAATATCATCAATCATAGATTAGTATAAAAGTATCTTACATCTATTTTACCTAATATTAAGATACAAAGGGTACACCGTTTTTAGGAAGATTTCATACATATTTGTAATTACACAATACTTGAACGCCTAATATTAAAGTAAACATAAGTAAAAAAAAATATTATAAAATACAATAGAGTTAGAGCGCTGCAAAACACCCCTCAACTCAATACATGCGATGGGTATAAAGTGGTTTTTAGTCGTCTTACAATTATTAAAGTGCATTTAATAGAAAATATGTAACTTAATATTGTACCATGTATTTAGAAGTTTTATGATAATTTATTTAAATGTGCTCTAATAACAAAACATGTAAACGACACTAGGTGGAAAGCAGCAAACAGCCATGTCATTCTATAAATGTTTGGCATTAGATTAGACGAATCAAAATCGTATTTGTCTAATACTTCAGTACCGTCTGTTAAACAAGGCACATCAAGATCTTGATTTTTGCAAGCTGTAAATGAGATATAATTGCAACATAATTAAAAAAGAAAATTTATACATAAACAATGTACATTTTGTGAAAATTGTATTTTAACGTGTTATAATTATTACTTAATAATTTTTTTAAACTGACCAATGAACGAAACATTTTGCCATTGTAAGATTGTTAGACTTTCAAATCCGAGTTCAAACCACGATATATTGACCACCCAATGTAAGTACCACGGTATACTCCTGCGTACAATCGAATTCATTTACATTTGATTATAATTGTATGATATTAACATTTGAAGTAATGCTTTGAAAATATATTGCTAACCTAATATTTAAAAAAATGCCGGACAACATCATGATTACGTTGTCAAATGGTTGGACGAACGTTAACGCCAGTGGCATTGATCCAAAAATATTGTTGAACATGTAACCTGTATAAATAGTTCAGTTTTCGTTTAATCGTATGTTTTTAGGTAATAACAATTCAAGTCGTATTGAAAATTAGTGAAATTACTGACCACAAGACGTGGAAACGGCCATAACTAGAATCGTGATGACGACCGTGAGAAAAAATGTGTATAAATCATTTTGCAGACCAGCCATGCAATAGACAATGGTCGTGTACACAGTCGGTTCGATGATCAGTGTCGGGATCTACAAAGGAGTTTAGAGAAAGTATGAGTTCTGTATGCCAATTTAATACACTTGTCGAACTAAGTCTTACGGTGGATAACATGTTTGCGATGTAGAATGTTGAAGGACCATACAATCCAGAAGTATGTTCTCTGATGAACAGAGGCAGTTGCGTGGGTAGATGGCTCATCACCGAGTACATAGGCGTAAAGAAGTTTTCCGTGATAAGGATAAAGAATACCCCTTGAAACGATTGGATACCTTCTTGTGTCTGTTGAACCGTACCCAAGTAACAGAGTCCAACCAGTAGAGAAATGGTCTGATTTTTTAAAAAGTTCATTATTTCTTTAATTAATGTTCATAAAGTTACATAAACCCAACCCAACAAATGTTAGTTAGAAAATCAATATCAATTGATTATCGACAAATTCTGTTTTATGAGGTTTATAGTGTAAAAGAAAATATTAACATTAATTTGTATATGAGTTGTATTCAAAATAATTAAAATAGATTAGTTACATTACTAATTTCAATTATTTTAAATATCCTTGTTTGATGTTATTAAAAGAAAAGTTAATGTTAAACAAAGTATAAAATTTAGTTAGCAAAAAATAAATATCCTGAAATAGTAGAATAATTATTACTCACAATGTATTTAACAAAATTAACATTAATGAACAATAGCATTAATTTGAAATAATCCAAAGTAAATATAGTACACTATATATATAATATATATATATATATATATATATCATAAATATATACAGTGTGATTTATTAAGTTTTCTAACTTCTCATTTTTTTGTTCAATAATGATATTTTCAAAAAAATGTACAAATTAAAATTAAATTTATTTTTATAAATCATAGTAAATATTAAGATTAAGAAATAACAATAATATTAAATAATTTTAAAGAAATAATAATATTAAGAAAAAATTATTTGTAAGGGTAGTTTTATGGGTAAATTTCAAAATTAAATGGGAACATATTATTATTTTTTGAGTTAATATAATTTTTAGTTATAGGGAAATGGGTTGTGCAACGTAAAATAATTCTTAAAGTAGAGAGTCGCCAAACACGATGCCGCTCTTCACCTTTTCTGAATCATTAAATGCTAATATCTTAAAAATGAATATTACAAAACTGATAATCGATCAATCTACTTTTTATCTATCTATCCTTTAGAAATAATTTTTCTTACAATAAACTTATTATTTACTATGGTTTATAAAAATAAAAAATTGTACATTCTTATGAAAAAATCATTATTTGACGGAACAAGGGGGGTAGTGTTTTTGATAAATCGCACTGTATGTATATTTATTAATAAATGAAATTGATAAAGGCTTGTAGTTGTTTTTACCTCTGATAATATTATAGGTAATTAAATTGGATGAAAGTTTTTCTTTCAAGGTTAAAACATTTAATTTGAATGAAAATTCACACTTTAAATTTATTTTGTTGAATATTCATCAAACATTTGAAAAATTAACATCCCAATAAAAAAACAATTTAAAATAAACCTTAGTATAGCATGGAAAAAATGGCGATAATTTTGTTTGTTCTTGTGCTCAGTTTTATTGGACAAGGTCATTGTTCATAACGAATACTGTAAATATATGTGATGCCAACAACGTCTTCGATGTTTCAAAACGTATAATTATGTTTGGTGGACCAGGTAAGTAAATTCCACAACTTCACGATAGATGACCGAGTTGCGTGAGTTTATCAGCTTATCAGACTCTATTAGAACGAATCGCGTGTTCAGTGTTAATATAAAATTGTCGATGTCTAGAGTCAAAACAAGGGCTGGTCATTGTAGAAAAAAAACTACGTCGAGTTTTGGAGTCGACCTCAATTTTATTTAGTTAACGTTGTCTCCCTTTGGTTGGTTGATAATTTTGATAATGTTTTTTATGTTTATATTTATTATATTTTGATGAAATTAAATAAACTATTGTAACAAATTTTCTTATTGTCGGGAAATTTTTTAATTTTTAAAAGTTGTTTAATTTTTTGATTATTTAGATAAATGTTAAGAATTAAATTTTTATTGATTAGCAATAATATAAATAAGTCTTTTATATATGAATTAATTTTTTTTTTTTATGGTTTCAAAAATGTAAAATCTTTTGTTTAAATAGCATAAGTACCTTCTTACCTTTTTTTATTGTTACTTAGTGATTTATGACTATACACAATTTTTTTTTATAACTTTATAGCTCAGGTACTGTTAAAAATATTTTATAGTTTATTTATAGAAATGCTTAGATACTTACAACTTTTTGCAAGAATCTGTGAATGTCAATTGTTGGATCACGAACTTTTTCTAAAAAATAACGTTTCGTCAAGTGATACAATTTTACAGGCCAAAATGGAGATAAGCTGCAAGATCAAAGTTTGCTTATTATTATAAAAATAAATGAGGCATAATATTCATACTATGTATGTATAGCTAAAAAAAAATAAAGCTTTTATGTTAAATTTTTACTTTAGACTGTACTATTTTGACTATACTATACTAATAGTTTGAAGAGAATATGACATAATGAATTTTTTTAAGAAAATTATAAAGCATTCATTGTACGTATAAAAACTGAATACTATTTTTTAGAGAATCATTAGATTAAATATCAATCATCAATTCTATCAAAACAATAAAATTCTATTCAATTGCAAGTAGAGTTAGTAATTTATTTTTTTTTATTTTTTCGGGGAGTGGTCTAGTGAAGGCCCACGATCTCGAAATCATCTGCAGCTGTATTAAATCAACTAAATATACATATGAATATCTTATACATTTTTAGTCATTCATATTTACATATATTTTATTATATTTACATTAGAATTTCAATAGTTAAAAAATGGTAGTAACGTGTATATACAATTTTAGATAAATTAAAATTTTACTTACTGATTACGAGCTATAGATTGATTTGATTCGTCCTAAAATATTATATTATAAAACATTTTTAAAACGTATTTATTTCATTGTTTGTTTTTAATTTGATATTAACAAAGTATACCCTTTATAAACAATCTATTCATTCACTTACAAAGTATGTTTCATTTAAAATTGCATTTCTGATTTGTTGTGATTGTTTACTCTTTGCGAATTCATCACATACCATTTCCACTGAACTATTACCATCTGATAAAATTTTTATTATAAAATCAGCTGAATTGTAGTTTTCTGGACATCGATAACCAATTATACTGACATGAAGTAAAAAATATATTTAAAATGAGTTCTATTTTTGAATACTGATTTAGATTAATAGATTATTTTTACAAATAAAAGATTTATATACCTTTCATAGAATGAAATGGCTTTATTAGCTGGACCCGAATAAGCTATTCGGCCGTCTGCTACTAATATTAGTTGATGAAACATATTTAAAAGTTCAGAACTTGGCTGATGAATGATAGAAACAACGGTTTTTTTATTACTTGTCACTAGTTCTTTCATTATGTTGACAACTTTAAGCGCACTGTACGAGTCTAATCCTGTTCGATTAAAATAACTAATATATAATAATAAAAAATTACTTTTATAAGAAATTAGCTAATATTTCTCAATAAAAAATTCTAGATACCTGTTGTTGGTTCATCGCAGAACAAAAATGGTGGATCTGTTAGAAGTTCTGTCGCAAATGCTAAGATTTTTTTTTCTCCGCCAGATAATGTAATCTATAATAGACATTAATGATATAATTTTTTTTTTATATTGATAATAAGTGGTTTCATAAAAATCAATAAACCTAAAGAAGAAAACGAAGATAAGAATATTAAAAGAGTAAGATTCAATATATACTTCATGAAACATAATAAGAAACTAGAAATGAAGAATTTTAATACAAATCTCATAAACGTTGAAAAATTGCTAGAAAAATTATTTACTTTTTCGTGGCCGCTAGTTGCACCGATTCTTGTATTTGCACAATAACTAAGCCCTAGTCTATCGATAATTGTTGAAACACGGGCACTTAGTTTTTTTGAACTTGTTCTTCTATCCATTTTAAGTTTAGCCTAAAATTTTATTAAATAAACCCACGATGTAGTGTTGATTTTTGTTCAATATTTTATTTAATACTTTATTTAAATCAAAACTACCATAAAATAGAGGTGTTCTTTTACTGTAAAAACACCACTAAATAAGTTATGCTGGTACATAAACCCAGAATTATGTTTCATAAAGTCATTGATAGAGCAAGATCCAATTTTTATACTGCCTTCGACACGTAGTTGAGCTATAAATGACCAACACTCATATCATAATAATAATCATTTAATATTATACTCAGGGAAATAAATAATAATATAGTTAATAAAATATGTTAATTACCTGGAAGTTTATTAGCTAAGGCGCTCATTAATGTACTTTTACCGGCACCACTAAAATAAACAAGGGGCATAAACATTTCGTTAAATATTAAATATTAAAAAATATTTATTCAACTATTGTAAAAAATATATTGTTAAATGTGATTTATGTTGATGATAAACAATTTTTTATAAAGTATATTATGATCAAATATATCATAATTTTAATTAACATCATTTAATATTATTTAATTTAACTTACCTAGGACCCATTATTGCCACTAGCGAACATGGAGAAATATAGCCTTCCACTAATAAAAAAAAAAATCAATTATTNTGTTAGACTTCATAAATAACTCAAATTTTGTTTAAATGTCCCCTTGTAATTAAGACGCCTAATTCATAGTTAGTTTAAAGTTCTAGATGCTCTGAATTTTGAGTTAGAGATAAATCATAACTGAGTATTAATATAGTAATACATTCGTTAAAATTTTCATCTAGTATCTTGATTAATGTATTCATAACAAATGCCAATAATATTTATTATAAATTAATTTTTATATTTATTTATGATAAAGTATAGATAAATAAAGATTAAACATATTTTTTATATAATTTTATATAAGTAGTATTCATTAATTTTAATATATTAACGATGCTTTTAAATTGAAAAAAAGGAACTCAGGAAAAGAGACAACAATTTACTAGTTATCTAAAAAAAATACCGTGATCTCCTACTATTCTATTAGTTTATTTAATTCTAACAACCAGCTTGATATCATTAATTAATTGATTAATCAAGGTAAAAAATAAAAATGTTTCCAAATTACATTTAGAAATAAGAAAACCAGAATAATATGATTAAATTCTGAAAATTTTGTTATTTATGAAGGTTGTCCAAAAAATTTTAAATTATAAAATATGACTATATCTTATCGGTAATATAAGATTTAAAAAAAAAAAGTAATCGATAAATTTCTAAGAAGAATCATGTAAATCTTTATTATAAATCTTAATTTTAATATTATTATTATTATTATAAATATTATTTCAATTACTGTAGAGACAATTATATTGTAAATAAATGAACATTCATTTAGATGGTCTAATAATAATTATTAGTTAAGTTAACTAAATTTTAATTATTTAATAATTGCAGGGAAATTATTGATCGGATGGTTTTGATTTATCAATAATATCAAGTTTATGAGTTAAAATTATTATTCTGAATGAGTATTCAGAATAATATTTCGTTAAAAATTTTTAATTTTTAATTTTGAGCAACAAAAAAATTACGATATTCTCGATTCGTTTTTATTTTACGTTAAAGGAACGTCATAAAAAAGCTTAGATAATGCCCTAAATAAAATTTTATTTTTATTTTAGTATATAATTTTTATGCATTTAAACAAGCGAACCGAAGTTGTTGTTTAATAATGATACGTTCACTTAGTAAAAGGATTTATCTTAAAAATGAATAATATGTAAAGAATTTAGATCTGTTGGCGCGCGTATGAAAAGGAATAGCAGAGAGGCAGTAGTGACTTGGTCAGCTGTATGTTCACCGAAGAAATGATAAGTTGTAATTGTGATGATTGCTGTTATACATTTTTTTGGGGTTAAGACAAAAAAAAAAGTTGGTTTTTATTGTTCATATTGCCGATTTGTCATTTTTGGTTTTTTTCCTTTATATTCATAATACTACAGTTGGTTTATTTTATTCTTGTTGCTCATATTAAATCATCGCACATAAATTTGGTAAGTCATTAATTGTTTAATAGCAGTCGTTCTGTTAAATATTGCTCTAAGAGACTACATTTGATATTGTAGTCAAAATAATATGTTTTTCGAGGAGTCAACTTTAACAACAGTATAGTTGAATATTTTCCATTATGGAAAAACATGTGTATTTATTATTAAGTAAATCTATTAAGTTAGTTGATAAGTGTTGTGTTGTGTTGTGTTATGTAATATTAGCACACCTTATAATTATTGCATAAAATTAATCTATTATTAAATCATTTCTATGATAATATTAATATGTTCGCTGAAATAAATTTTTAATAGAAAATTGGTATACGTTAATTTTTTGTCTTGGAAATCCTTATTATTTTCAATTTAATATCAATGGTTAGAGTAAATTAATTTGCCTATCTTTCACCTCGTACGGCTCATTATTGGTAATAGGTACAGCCTAATCGGTAACAGTTGTTGATTACTGATTTCATAAACATTTTAGGTTATTCAAATATAGATAATTAATGTTTTTTATTACTTTATGCTTTAAAAAATGCAGTCCACTTAACAAGCATTAAAAATTCTTCAATCAAACCATTATTTGCTAAACAAGAGCAAAAATACCTAACTTAAAAAAAGATATCTATGCTTCTTACCATTTTTTAGTAATAATTTCTCAGTGACCAAACTTGTTTGGAACCATCGGTCTTTTCTATTAACTGCATAAACGCTCAAATTGTCCCAATAGAGTGGTGTCGAATGAATTTTTTTTTCGTACTATTCGTTTTGTTAATTAACAAAAAAAAACAGTGATCTGATTAAATGTAATAGTTATTTATAATGATGACTAAATCACTCAAAGTAATAATTTAAAAACAATTTTTTTTTATTTTGTTTACTAGTATTTATTTTTCTATTTTTGAATGGTTATTTTTTAGTTCTATACCTTATAAAGATATTAATTTTATTATTTTCTAATTGCAACATGTTTAATTAGTTAATGTTATAGAAATAGATCTAACTAAGAAATTGATTGGTCGATAACAATTTTTGAACCAGTATTTCGGGAGTTATCAGTATTTTTAAATGTTGACTAGATGCGAGGTGCAGGTGTTATTTTTATCAAGACGCATCATTCTGCCGCGCTACTCCTCCCACCCAGAAATAAAAATATTCATAATTCTTAAACTACTTGTTGCAAATTTGTTATTGTCCGATCATTTTTTAGTTGGATCACTTTCAATTATATAAACTAATTAAATAAATGATGCCATTTTCAAAAATAAAGTTGTTACTATTACAATGGATAAAAGATAAATAATAAAAAAATATTCAACCATTCGATTTTTGAATAATAAATACTACTTAAAAAAACCCCCAAAAAATTCCCTAAATTATATTTATTATAAAATAAGTTTAATAGTCAATGATAAATTAATCACTGTATATTTTTAATAATAGTCATAATTATAACATCAAACTTACCTTATCTGTAGACGTCAACTGAAATGGAGTTTCAGAAATATTCGATTCACGAGAGTTAAAAAATACTGTATATGTTGATGATAAATCCATTTTCAGATCAATTACTAAATTGACTAATATTATTGGTTTTTTTTTATTATAACGCCTAGCGTTTATTAAACAAGAAACAACTGAAGTCAAGTCACATCGATTTGAAACGACAAAAATAAAGCCGTACATGTGTATATTATATAAATGTGTGATACAAGTATCGATTCCATCACCTATCTTTAGGTTTATAGAAATTATATAATGTTTATTAATCCATATCCATGTACATATTCGTTTTGGATTCGATTGAAAGGTCCATTATAATTTAGCCTAAGATAAAATTAAAATATTAAAATTAGCTTATTTTTTAAGATCCTACGTATAGTAAAATATTGTAGTTTTAATAAACATTTTTAATAAACAATTTATAAAAAAAAGAACTACTATTTAAATATTTGAAGTCATTATTTAAAAATATTTAGTTGACACTTTCAGCGTTAAACTCCTTTATTTTGGCACTTCTCAAGTACTATTGAATACTCTGATCATCCCCAATCCCTCCAGTTAGTGAAGCATTAAGAAAATAGATTTTAGACCAGTCAGCACGATCTAGCTCAAAAGTAGTAGACTAAAGGATGACTCCTTGTCAACCACCAGCACAACTACCGCCATTTATTAAAAGATAGTTAAACCTAAAAACTAGCCAGCATACACACACAATTTTAGAAACACGGCGGATATGAAATTATATTATATAAATTAAAAAAAAATCTTTAAGTGGATCAAAAATCACTCCATGAAATAAAATAGTTTTCGTCTGTATAATTAACACCTGTAAAAATGTTAAAATATACTTAATTTAAAATGAAAAATTTATACTAGCATTATATGAAATATAATGATAAAAGAGATACATTTTTAAACATAGAGAAATTAATAAATAAATGAAAGCCCTTTAATAAAAAATAAGTATTTTAAATTTATAATTATTAACAAAAAAACATATTTATCAAAGAATAAAATTTTATATTTTATATAAGATAACATACTATAATTAATTTTAAATTTATAACAAAATTAATAATATATTAAAAAAATTATAAAAAAATTTGTAAATATATATATAATATTATGCCTGTAAACACTTTTTGAGTATTAGTGTAAACGGTAGTCTATCAACAAATTTTGAATCAACGACATCATACATAAGATTTAATATTTCTTCCCTATGTAATTGTTGTGATAAAGTAATTTTTCTATAAGATCATTTAAAGTAAGTAATAGAAGTTTATGCTCTTCAATTTTTTTGAGAATTTCAAATAATATGCATTTGTTAATCTTATTAATAGTAGAATCATTTTGAATTTTATTGATACATTTACGATAATTGTGAATAGCTACAAAAATTCGATTTTTAAATTTTTTAATATATAATCCCTGTTTTTCTTGATATGCTGTATTCTATGTGTTATTTAAACTATTGTAAGATATAATTTACTCAAAATTTTATAATTTTCAGTCAATGAATTAATTCTTGTTAATAGCTTACGGTTTTTAACATTGATTATATTACATTAATCATCCCAAATAATACAATGGCTATCTCCAACGATTTTCAGAATATTAGAATCAAAAAAAGAAAAGATCATATAAAATGTTATGAATTCAATCTTTTCCCTTTTTTCTTATTATGAATTTCAGTACTCAGTGACGATCACTTATTAAAGGCCGAAGACAAATGCAATGTCTTAAACATGTTATTCAAATTAAAAAAGATCTGGACTATACGGAGGATGTGACAGCAATTCAAAGCCCAAATCATGCATTTTTGCCATTGATTTAATAATTTGTGACATGGTGCATTGTATTAGTGAAACAAAATATTTTTCTTCGCCATATGCGGTCTTTTTTGTGGTTTCGGCCTTCAAATGCTCTAATAACACAATATAGTAATCGCTATTGATTGTTTTATAAAATTCGAGATTATTAATGAATATAATTTAATGCTCATCCTAAAATACTGAGGCCATATCCTCGCCTGCTGATTATTCCATTTTTGGCTGCTTCGGACCACTTTTACCGGGTCCAGTCCACTCACTTAGGAATGCGTTGTTGAAATTTCATGATTTTTTGACACGTTTCTTTTGAAGGTTGGTTAAAAATCATTAGGATATATTATTGAAGTCATCTTATATATGCGTCAGTCCCGAAACTTTTCAAACAACCTATTCCTCTTTTTTTTCCTCACCTTAATCCCAACTATTTGGGGTCGGCTACCCTTATCCTAAACTTCCACTTGACACGATCTCCCACATCAGCTGTCCTCATATCGCATTCAATAACATTACTCTATCTTTTTTTTGGTCTTCTTCTATCTCTTCTTCCTTCAACAATCAATTCTATAACTGTTCTTACAGCTTCCAATTTTTCTCTCCTCATAACATGACCAAACCATCTAAGTCTATTTTCTCTCATCTTATCAACGATTGGTGCATCACCTATACTCCCTCTTATATGTTCGTTCCTTATCCTATCTTCTCTAGTCACTCCACTCGTCCATCTAAGCATTCTCATCTCTGCTACACTCATTCACTGTTCTACTTTCTTATTAACTGTCCTACACTCTGAATCATTCATCATAACTGGTCTCACTATAGTCTTGTAGAATTTATCTTTTAGCCTCATTGGAATTATTTTATCGAATAAGACACCAGATGCTTCCTACACTTCAACCACCCACACTTAATTCCTACTCTTACCCGAAAACCTTCTGTTACTCCTCCTACACTTTTTATCCTAGTACAAGTGCCATCATACATATCCTTTATTATATTAACGTACCTTTTCGGGACTCCTTTTCTCATTAATGCCCACTTTAAAACCTCTCAGTACTCTATCATACGATTTCTCCAAATCTATGAATATGCTTTTTCATCTTTTGCCTAAACTTTTCTATAAGTTGCCTCACACAAAATAATGGCTCCATTGTTAACTTTTCAGGCATAAATCCAGACTAGTTTTTAGATACTTTTGTCTTATTCTCTTATTTATTACCTTTTCCCAAATTTACATACTATGATTCATAAGGTTTATGCCTCTATAACTTTCACACTCTTGTATGTCTCCTTTACATTTAAATATCGGCACCACAATACTGGTATTCTTCCATTCATTTGGCATTTTCCCCTCTAATCCTGTGGATGAGGATTTTCGAACGACCTGTTATATATTAAATATTTATCAAACTTAATACATTGATAATTATTACTTGGATGTAATTTATTACCATTAGATACCAAAAGAAGAAAAAAAAATCAGAATAGGTTCAACGCAAAAATGTTTACCTTAAAAATACTCAATATCACATCATTGATATATTAATATCCGAGTAAATTGAAATAAATTGAAAATTCTGTATGCGAATTTATAAAAATGAAAAACATTTATAAAAAAAAGTATAAGACTAGAGTTGTAGTTTTAAAAAGTATATGTTTCTTAATCTACTTATTATTAATTTTACAAAATATATGAATATCTGTTTCATTAAGATGTGAATTTAAAGCAATAATTATATTTGTATAGTAAAAGTAGCTGTGGTGATAATTTTATTACAAGTAAATTGTGGTAATTCGCTCAACACTGAATACAAGAAAAATCAACTAATGTCTGTTGAGAGTAGTCAACTTTTAAAGTGTTCTTAATTAATGTATGCTTTGAACTATATGCAAATGGCTTAATTAAAAATATATCATTTGAATTTTGAATTAAATCATGCATTTTACCTATAAATAAGAAATTTTTTTTTGCAAAAAATTATGAATACGTTATTTGGTTTTGGAGGTATTGAAATAGGTACTCTGTGGTTATTAATCATTTATTTAAGTGTTGTTAGTCAGCATATAAGTCAAAATGATCAATAACAATCAAAATCTGTTGAGTATCTAAACATCTTAAAGATACTCATGATTATGTCATGAAAAATCATGCACAAATTTTGGAGAATACGGATTTATTTACAATACACTCTGAAACGTTTACAAAAAAAAAATATTTTAATTAAAGATATCGTAATTAACGCTTATAAAATAATTCGTTTAATAAATTTGTACAACGTACAAGTTAATTGGGAAGCAACCATTATAAATACTATTCAGCAATTGCATGAAAACTATAAAAATGCACATTATATTGATTGGAGGAAAATGGTTAATATTATTTAGTGAGCTTGCGACTTTCTTTAATTTAAAAGATGAAGACTTTGTTTACGAGGTAAAAAAAACAATTGAAAAACAGAATGTCATCCATGATGATCTCATCAAATCATATTTGAACACCTTATGTTTAGATTTGCAATGCGTTAAAAGAAATGAAATTAGACAGAAAATAAATGTCCTTTAATACAGAATAACCCGTTCACAACGAAACAAAGCTGGAAACTATTGCATATTATAGTTTAGGCAATGCAGAAAAATTTATCAATCATTTAAAGTATTTATTTGTAAAACGAAACTTTTTTTTCAAATTAAAAAAAAATCCTATATTTATTTTCATTATATGATATTTAATAATTTCATTGACATTACTCGGTTATTTCAAGTTATAAAACCACTCCAAGATTAAATATAGTATTTATTAAATATTACTTTATTTGTTGGGTATTATATGATTTTTTATGAATGAACACAAAAAAAAAATATGAAAAATGTCATTGTGAACATAAGATGTAGTGTTGTATTTAAAATTTTAACAATGTTAAGAAAAAAATGCTCAGCATTGTTACTATAGATTATTGAACAATAAAAAATGAATTTATTTCTTTTAATAAATGAACATAAAAGTCGATTATTTCAACATTTAAAATTTATCTTAATAGTAAATGTGTAGTTTTATTATCACCAATACATATAAATAATTAAAGTTCATTTTGTTATCTTATCATTAAGTTTGTTATTTTTCATTTTTATTAGATTCTTTAACAAAATATTGACAGGTTTATAATATTAAAATAAATTTTTACAAAATTTGCAAAACAAGTATTATATTTTTTAATTTAATTGAAAGTACAAATTTAAAGTAAAACAATTATATTTTGGTTTTTTCTAAAATGATCAGACCATCCACTAATGCCACTAAATAATTAACAAAATTATTGGTAGTCTAAAGAAATGTAATAAAATTTATAAACAAACATTGGAAAATACAAATTATAGTTTTGCCTCATTTAAATTTATTATGAGTTTATAATATAATATATGCAAAAAAATAACCAATCATATACTTTTACATAAAAAGTATTTCAATTTCATGATCACGTAACAGTTTGGTTAATAACAGGCATGACTGACTGTGGAATAATTGGTGCCTGAAAAAATTGTAAAAATAGAATATTGTAAACATGTTTAAAAATTTGATACATAAAAAAAATTATCAAAAGTCCCAAACACCCTCCTCCTCACCATTTAAAAATCATTTAGCTCTAATCACCTTTCCACTATCATCATGGCCTTGATATTTCGGTTTACTATGAGTGAATGGTAAGTATCTGTATCTAATCATGTGCTAAAAAAATAATAAAATATTGGTTTTAATAATACAATAAAGCTATTGAATAAGAAAGCTTTTTTCTCATTAAAAATTACCATGATTTGACGTTTCATTGTAATGCAGAAAAGAACAATGAAATACAAAACTAGAATTGGCCAAAACACAGGAATGTCAAAGAATTGAAAAAACGTAAGACCTATTGATATTAAAGTAGACTTAACTACCGAATACCAAAACTTAAATTCTGGTAGTCGTCGAATAAATGGTCGAAATTCTTCATTTGCTCGTGTGGGTAATGATGGACCAGAATCATCTATAATAAAATAAAAAACACATTTATTATATTTTTTAATCCTAATAATTAAGAATAAAATTTTATTTCAAGTTCTTCTTGAGTATAATATCTAAGTTTTTTTGAGAAAAGATATAGATAAATAAAATTTTAAATATATATCTTTAAGTACTAAAAAAATTAATTTTATATGAATGTTTTAATAGAATACTTTCTTAAGAGGAATAATAAGTGTAAATTTTTAAACATAATATAGAATTACCAAACAAATTTCCATATATAAATAAAATCTTTATTAATAAAGGGTACTCCTGTGAAAAATTTTCACTAGATTAAATAATGATCACTGAAAAAATAGAAAAGTAATATTATTTTTAACTTTAAATAAATAACTTAGGAGAATCTTTGATAGACTTTTCTCAATCTCTGGTCATTAAAAAAATATAAAATAATTTAAAATACTCAAATCAGTAAAATTGATGCACGCAATTATTCTTTACTTCATATAAAAAATTTGCTAACATTATAATCAGCGTCGAATTAGGGGATAAAATATGACAGGGAAAATTACACACTACGTGGCTTTTTTAAATTTACAGTGTTCCACCTGGTTTTGACATCTTAAATAAATTTTGAACCAGTAAAAATTATGCATTACTTTTTATTTTTAATTTATTTTTCAGTTAAGGACTATGTTTAAGCAATTTTTTTAAATATTTTGTCTCTAAAAAGAAAAATGTTTTATTTTATAATTTTTTCTTATTAAAATTAAAAAATATAATAAATGCATTTAACATAGTTCAAAACTATATAAAAATAATTTCAAAAAAAAATTAACACAAAATATTAACTGGATCTTTAATTATTAAAGATGTCAAAACTTGGTAGGACATTTTATATATGTGTTCGTATCATGTGTAAGGGAGAGTTTCATTAACTTATTTGTAAATGTACCCATTGTATCTCAATAAAGATCAGATACATGGAGAGCAAAGGTGCAATGGTCACTCTGAATTTATAATTTTTATGAATAATTGATAATCAAAAAGTTTTCTATTAAAAAAAAAAATATTAATGCTATCAGAATTAGTGAAATGGTCTCATCAACATTTTTCTTAGATCTATGCCTATCTAAATAGCAAAAATTTAGAATAGCTAATTCAGTATTATTCTAAAAATATAGAGTATTTATAATATAAATGTGTAATTTTCAGTATTAAAACGTGATGATTTTCTTGTTTTTATCAATGATGATAATATCAATGTACACTAAATTAATAAGTTTTATACAAGAAAGTACTTGAAAATTAAAAAATTTACAATTATTACATAACAGTTATACAATACTTGGAAATTTTTAGACGAGTTACTCATCTATGACCAACTTTGTCACACCCCCAGTGTGCTGGGTTCTTTTTAATTGTTAACATTATTTTTAAATTTGATCAATGATAAACGAATCACATTGTAATGATTTTGATAATTTAACATAAATTCTGGTAATAAACTCAAACTAATCAAGATATGTAATCCTATGAATATGAATAGATAAACTTCTAGGTTGGGTTTGTTATATTTATCCATTGTTCCTTATATTCATCATTTTATATATTATTACAATAATAAATGTTTGATTTTAATATAATAACATTTTTCTCTGTAGGTCTAAATTGAATATACTAATCATTGTTTGGTAAGATACGACTATTAGTTTTATTACTTTAAAAAAAAAAATGTAGTCAGGTTTAAAAAAGTTGTCATAAATAAGCTACCATATATTATACAAAGTAAAAAACAAAATATATTTCCATCATCGAATAGTAATAAATTATTGATGAATTTTTAGTTTAAATTAGTAAACTAAATATTTTGTTTAATTTTTAAATATTTAGTAAATAAAAATTTACCTTCAAACTCTTCCATTGCTGGATCAATTTTTGGGGTAAGAAAAGCAATGAACAGGTTTAAATGATAAATACCTAATGCATATGTGACTATGTACCATCCCTGAAAATTTAATAAAGCGTTTTACAAAAAATAGCAATAAAATATGTTAATAATAGAAGTTAAATGTATTACCTGTAACAATATTATTCTTAACATGAATAAAATAATAAATACTAATGCTGCTATCCATCTTGCTGTTTTAAAAGGTGTTATATCATCCAGAAATTTTTGCTGTCTCTGCAATTATTTTTGAATTAATGTAACAAACAAAAATATAATAATAAAGCAAAATTAATGTGATAATTGATGCACTAAAAATGTACTTGAAATGTACTTGAAATTAAATTATAATTTATGCTATGTAAAATATAGAAATTGTTTAAACCTAAATTAATTAAAAAAAAATTTGATATTTGAAAATATTATCTATTTTTGCAGAAGAAGATTTTTATTACTCAGATATTCAAGTTTTAATAACGTTCTTATTTTTAACAAAAATATTTTAATTTAAATTTTTAAGCTTGTTGAAATAGTTTGTAGTAATGTTAGTATTTGCACATACCTGTGATAAACGAAGAAAAGCAAGAGATATTGTGCTACGTTGATTAATAGAATCATTTGTAAAGTCTTGCATAATTATGCAAATATTACCACAACTTTTTAAAATCTAAAAAATAAATATGATCATATATCAATATATAGTCAGCTATTTTATTTATTTACTATTAAATATTAAGATAATGTTTTAAAAATTGATATAATTATAGATATTTTACAAACAAATTTGAATAAATATTAATTTTAAAATTGAAATTTTTTAATTAATTTAAAAATTATATTTAATAGCTATACAATTTTATCTTAACCTGGAATATAACTACATTATAATAATGAAACATTACTTTGTATACTATAAACAGGTATACAAGGTGTATACCTGTTTATAGTAAGAGTACATTTTTAATTATTTAAAACACCTAGTAGTCTGTATTAACAATCCATTAAATTTAATCTGATAATGTCAAAAAAATAATATAATATTTGAAGTGGTTGGTGCTGATTTTTTACTTAGAAAAATGTGAAAACAATTTTCTTTATAATTCTTGACCGTTAAATTCATTTTTATCAAAGAATATTAACATATCATGTGAAATATCGAACTTAAAGAACCATGCAACTATTTTATACAATTTTTCATAACAAATAGTGTAAAGAATTTTTAATATACAAGTAAATTAAATTTATGATAGAAAAACATAAGTATAGGCATTTATTGACTCAAATTCAGTAAAAATACTAATCGTTTTAAAAGAGTCACAAGATTGATACTTACAGTTAATAAAATTTCACGTCACGTAGATTCTTTAAAACTCAAGAGTAACTATAAACATTTTTATAAACAAAACCCTCATCACAAAAAAATAAATGTGTAATTAGTAATATTTTTCAATAATGTACATCAGCGACGCTCCACATTCCTAATTAAGACTAAACCGGAAATCGTTCTATTTTGAAAGGATTAAAAACGTTATCACAATTAATAAATTTCAATTATTTATTAGAAAGATGAGCTAAATTTTTTGGGAGTCGGCAGAAGTCATAAATTCGTTTGATACATTTTCATCTGATAAGAAGTGATAAGATTCCGGTTGCGTGGACTGTTGTGAGTGTACGAGCGCCATACTAATATTGATATATCTTTACTTATTCTGCCATGAAAATAGTACCAAATTAGCGCAAATATTCAAAATATCAAATATCCTAGTAATTCCGATAATACTATCTGTTTAAATAAAATTGTGCAGAAGGGTATTAATTTTGATTATACAAAAAATTGCCATGTTGTATGTCTGATGTTTAGAAAATTTTCATGGGTCAGTGGAGGGCAATGTGATGCACCAAACACGGTGCTTTTACCATAAATATAAGATTAATAAAACATATGAGATAAAAATATTTATAATTTTTATTTTATTTTGTCTTAACCTGTAAAAAAACAGTGGGTAAAAGATTATTGAATTAATAAAAAGCTAAATGTTAGTTATTAGAATTGTAAATGACCAAACAAAGTCTTCTGAAATCATAGAATATTTTATAGAATTTATGAATATCCTAGTTTGGATTTATAAAATGTTTTAATTAATAATTTTAAAGTATACGTATTTAATTTAAAAAATTGTTGAGGCCAAGACAAAATAATATTATATTGTAATTAGCCAATTTAAAGGTGTTCACGCTAGAATATTAATTTACAATTCTAGACCATTTTTTGTTCCATGAGCGTCCGTGGGTGCAATTTCTTATTAAAAGATGCTGCAGAAACTATGGTTTTAAAAAACATGTTTAAAATGTAAGAAAATAATTTATAATATTTAAAATATCCCACAAGATCTATGTGAATTTTGCAATTTTTGGTCTTTAAACACTTCCGGCTTAAAACATAACAACCCTTGCACAACTTCATCCATGGGTACGCTTTTTATGAAATTATTGAGTGAGTTTACACATTGTTTTCAGCTTCAAAAAACAGATGAAACATTTAAAAAATACATTATAGTAAGTCAATAAAGTAGGATGAAAAGATTAGAGATAGAATGATTTAGAGTCAGAAAATTTGTACCAAAACATATTATTCCAACTGTTATTACAGAAGAATAGTTAAAAAAACCCAGCACAGGGGGATCGCTGTATAGTGGTGATATGGCATAATTGAATCAAGTATAATGATACCTGACAGTGATTAAAATCACTATCATATAAAACGCTTCCATGCAAATCTTTAGATAGTGAATAATTTTAAAAAATTGGTGGATTATTCCAAAAGCTACAAGATCAGCTATTTTCTTATTTATATTATGATTAAGATAAAGTATGTCAAATGAAAAAGGGATATAAATTTGATTTCTCATAAAAAAAATTGTGTTGATCCATACATTTTTAAATAAGTTATAGCATTATAAAGTTAAAAATATAAAAAATAAAATCGAGAATTTTCATACAAAAATAGCATTCGGTAGCCATTTTGGTTTTCGGTAGAGATTTGGGAAGTTGAACATAAATTTTGTTTTTAGCTTTTCCACTTTTTCTCAGCTATCACTGGATCAATTACTTTAAACGATACGTCAAAAGATCACAAATCATATCTAGTCGAACACATCACCCACAAAAATTGAAAAAAATTTACCTCGTTCGCCATAAATGGGGGAAATCTCCAAAAAAATTATAAATTTAAATATCAATAATTTTCGACACTTTTTCAATTTCTTTTACTTAAAACTGCCATAACTTTTTGAATAATACATGAATAGAAACGATTTTTTTTTAACATATAAATTAGATATTTATTTACATTTGGTATATATATTTTTTTAATCTGAACTTTCGCCTACTCAAACCTTACTATGATGTGTTTTTTTTTATAGATGTTTAATGTCTTTACCTATCATTTGATATATTTTTTTATAAATTTGACCCTCTACCTGCCCACAGGGAGGGAAATAAAAATGACAACTTTTCACAAAAAAATGACATTTTCAACTTAACTTTTGACAGTGCTCCGAAAGGTCTGACACTTTTATCTTAAATTAAAGCTATTTTAATATACTTTATTATGGAATAATAAAATTTCGGACTTAATTTTGTCTTCACGGTGAAAATGACTACCGAATGCTATTTTTGTGTGAAAATTCTTGATTTTATTTTTTACATTTTTAACTTTATAATGCTATAACTTATTGAAAAATTTATGGATCAAGACAATTTTTTTATGAGAAATCAAATTTATATCCCTTTTCATTTGACATACTTTATCTTAATGAGGATATAAATAAGGAAATAACAGATCATGTAGGTTTTGGAATAATACACCAATTTTTTAAAATTAAATACTATCTAAAGATTTGCATGGAAGCATTTTTTATGATAGAGGTTTTATTTATGATAGGATTTGATTTGGAAAAATGTTTAAATAATTTTAATTATTTATTACATTTTTTAATTCATGTGTGAAATGATATGAAAAAATTCCTCGAAAAGAGGTATCCACCAAGTGGCCTACGGACCACTTTCTTCAAATTTAATGCAAAATGCGTGGCGAAAAAATAATTTTTACTAAGCCCCGCATATTCTTCCACTGCTTTTAACCATATGCTATTTAATTGAAAACAAATTATAAATTGTATATATATATATATATGTAGACAAAATATAGAATTATGGAAAATTTAAATTAATAGTATCCGAATTAATTCAGATATTGTTTATCTAAATTAATGGAATAAATTATTTTATTCAATTAAGTAAAAACATGTTTTAAATACAAAATATACGTTTAATTATAATAGAAATGTATGTCAAATAATTACCAAAAAAGGTATAACCACTGAAATGTAGCGAATTACACAATACAGCGTTTGAGATAGTAATATACATAGCTACATAAAAGTATAAAACCGACGTATTATATTAAATAATTAATATTAATATTAATTAATAATATCCTTCATTTAAAATAAAATTTAGTTTTAATGTATAAAAAGTATACAATAATAAATTTTGAGAAATGATATTTTAAAAAACATTTTTATATTGCACTCAAACCTTAGGTTAGTTTTAAAAACTTTAAATGTATAATTAAGACACAAACAAAATATTTTATAGATATGAAAGAATGGCAAATTAATTTTGTCCAAATTTATACTAACTAGTGTAACAAAAAAAAAAAATTAACAAAACTACTTAATAACAAATAAAAACAAAAACACTTTTGGAAGTGGGTTTTAACACATCAGTCATTTATTTTTATATTCATCTTATTAATAAAATAATAAATATAGTTAAAACTTATCATTTTATTATCATCAAATTTTTAATTTGTGATTGAATGTGAAATGTAACTGACATTTTATTAAGAACACATATTAAAGAAATACATTTAAATATTAATATTATAACGTCAATTTAATAATTTATTAATTAAGTGATATAAATATATTGCACTTTGAAAATAGTAAAAGTTAAAATATCAACACTAACAGCAATAACACGACATTAAGACTACACTGGAAAAAAATATAGCCGATTAAAATAAAATATATTATTGTTAAATCAATGAAATATTTTATTCTCTTTTATTAAATTTTTGTTTAACTATCAAAAAATTATTATTGGCTGTATTCGTACATTAACAATAATTTTTTGTTAATTTATCAAATATTTTTGTTTAAAAAAATATCCTATAGCGTGTTTTTTAAATATTATACAATATAACTTTGTGTCATTAAATAAATAATTAATCATATAATAGCATTTATAATATAAATTTGATTGTAATTATACAAATAATTATTAATTCAATCAATGTTAATAAAAAAAGTTTATATTATAATCATTGAAAATTAAATAAAAGTATTAGAGAAAAATAAATTAATTTACAGTTTTAATGAAAAAATTCTTTGATGTTTTTTTTAATTATTGCCATAAAATCATTACATTTTCAGCTATCTATTTGTTAACTGTGAAATATTTGATTTAAATAATACCTTAAAATTTGAAATTATGATAGTATAAAATGTTTTAATTACACTTAGTTCATGACAAAACTTATTAATTAATTTCCAAAAATGAATAACATATATTTGATATCTATTAATTCAGTACCAGTTAATCAATTATTGTAAAATAGTCACAAAAAACATTTTTATTCACTCATATACAATGTAATTATTTAATTAATTCTTTATATGTATATCTTTTCTTAACTTGAAAGAACAAATGCAGTAATTTTTAGGGTTTTTATTCTTCTAATGTCATTTTACATAACTAAATAAATTTTTTTTTAAATTTACCATCGTGAATTTGTAATATAATTAGGACTCAAATAGTATTCAAAAATAAATTAAGCTTTTAATCGTATAAAATTGAAAGTGATAATATAAAATATCTGACAAAGTAAAGAATAATAACTACTTACAAAAGTTTCCAGTAATTAAATTATTTTACTAAATTAAATAAAAAATTAAAGTATAATTTAATAATAAGAATTTTTGAAATCTCTTTCTTAGTAATTATTTATCACATTTCATAATATAATAATACTTATAAACGTTATAAATTTCGTTTATTTTAATTTGCCACATGCGTAAAAATATTTAAGAGTTTATAACAGAACTGAAATAATTTCGGTTCTGGCAATTTTTCTTACATCTAGTAAATAAGTTTATTTATATTGAAATATTTTTAGTACATCTTGAAAAGAGATTAAAGATTAAACAAAAATATTATATGACCATCTTTGAATCATTAATTGAACTTAAAATTTGACTTTTAAAAAGTTTAAGTATTAGGTTTGGTTAAGGTTTTAAAAGTGATTTAATATTATTTAAATTTTTTTAAATTATTAACCGTGAATTTTTCTAAAAAAATTCGATGTTGGTAAACTAACTTACTAGATATAGAAAAAAATTTCTTAGATCAGAAATCATTCTGGATCCTAGTACTGGTTTATAGAATATAGTAAATATTAAACTATACATCATAATGTTTATTGTAAAATTAATATGCAAAATGTTATATATATTTAAATTTAAAAATTCTTACAAATCATTGTATTTATATAAGCAAAATGCGGATTGTATTGTCGGTGGTTATTGTTTGTTAATATTCACTTATTTGTTGGTGGACGGAAAAACAAGTAAGTGAAACACCGGACGGACTCTACATTTTTTGTAGGTAATAGAAGTACTAAAATAATTGTTTTAATAAATGAAGTATTTTAGTCAGAAAAATAACATAAAACAATAAAAACTTATATGACAATTATTAAAAATATTGGAGGGAACCAAAGTTAAATAAATCAATTATTACGTCGCACAAAGCTTAATAAGGTATTCTTAGCAACATTTGCATCTTCAACTTTTTGTTCTAGCAATATATTTCAATTAGAAAACTAAAACTTTTTGGAATTCTGTCAATGATATCTAAACATTTCGGAAGAACATACTGAGTTTCCACATTATCATTGGTTTCTTAAATACCGTTACTGATCCATCTTGTTCATTTCCTCCTAACAGGAAAACTGTGCATTCTTTCACTTGTTGTTGATCACGATCAGTACGGCTGGCACTGACAGCTCGGGCCTTTAGTGGAGGACCACGAACGTCTGAGATAGATTGAGCATAAACTTTAGAAGAATTAAACGCCGTAGATGAATTCAGTGCCAATGTTTTAGGAGGTACAGGTCTGTTCATTTCTCGCATTTCAAACGTATTATCACTATCTTCCAATAAACTATCTGGAGGACTGTTTAGTTTGACATAATCACCTTTAAAACATAAAATATTTATTATATGGTATTGACAATATATTCACTATTAGCAGAATTAACTACTAAATTATGTGTTAAGTATAAAATTAAACATAACTTACCTTTCGAAATAGCATTTTGTATATCAGCTTGCACAACGTAATTCGGGTTGGAAAAACACATTGGTCCTTCGCTGTTAGGCGACAAGTGCATGGTCTCAATACTTGCGTAACCAGAAGTTATATCACCAGGTTCTTCTGGAGTACTATATGGATTGCCAAATCTGGAAGATGCCGAGTTAGTTAATGGATAACTGCGACGGTTTAATACTTTATTAAGAGACATGGCCGATGAAGGTCCGTTTGGATGAAACCTCATGTGTACCGACCCAAAATCATTGTCAATTTCTACTCTTGGACTAGGTGCTTCTTCGTCTTCTAAATATACAAGCTTTGCAGCCTCAACAGGCGTGAGAGCGGCACCAAAATTAGGAACGGAAATGTGGTCTCTAGGCATCCGAAATGATTTGGGAGGCGAATTGTTAGGTATAACTGGCGATATTAATGATCTGGCAATAACATTCACACTTTGTGACTTGACCATATTCTGTTGATGAGTTTCTCCGTTATCTTTACTACTTAACATACTGTAAGCATTATTATTGGAAAACTTATACAAATTGAGTTGAGATAGCTTTGAAAGTTCTCTAAGGATGTTCACATTCGAACCTCTTGTTCTTGACTCAGGTCTAGATTGATGTTGATGTTGAATATGAATCTGATCCCTATCGCTACAGCTCAATCTATCAACTGATCGACCACATCTCGGTCGTCGTGCTAATGGACTTTGAACACCATTTTCTCGACCCTGTTTCACTGATGTAAATTCTGTTTTCTCTGCCGTAGCTACTGCTATAGCTTCACAAATTGGTGGAGGTTGTGGATACATATTTTGAATTTTCTCCCAAGTTTCACTAGCTAAATTATTTAATAATAATTTTTATAGAAGTTATATGTTGTGTAGATCATTATTATTATTTTGTACAGAACACACATATTTACGTATGTCATTTTATCATTTTTTTTTTATTCAAAATATATAAGAAACTAGTTAATTATTATTTTTTAGTTTATGTTTAAAAACAATTAGTTTTAATAATTAAAAAAAATTATATTAATAAATATTATTTTAGAAAAATTTAAAAGTAAACATTGAATATTGAGCAAATTATTTAATGATTAAACCATTGATTTTATCTGAATATCACTAAAATACAATTTTATACTTTTAAAAGTTAAATCAAAACCTCAATTAAAGTTAACACTAACTGTTAAAAATAAAGCGCACGAAATCTTCGAAAGTTAAAATATAAATTTTAGTTTTTAAATGTATAAACTGATAGTATTAGAATTAATGAAAATTCAAATAAGTAATAATTTATTTAGTTTTGCCCTCGTTTGTAAAAAATGTGTTCTGTATATGTTTTAAGTTTAGGTTCGATTGTTTAATCTTGATTTGATTAGAAAAAGACATTACCAAAATAAAACTTCCACAAATCGTTGCTTATTTGTCCTCCTTTTTTACCACCAAAAATAACCATGGACCCCATCACTTTACAGGTGCTATGACCTTGTAATGGTCCGGGATTAACTTTACTTTTAACGATGCTCCACTTTTTTCTAACTAAAAGAAAAAGAAAAATGTAGTATAAAATTGTTTAGGACGTATGAGTTATTCGAAGAAAGTTTTACTATTCACTTTATTCAAAATTGTTTACTTAGAGTTCATTTATAACTGAAAAAGAAGTTGAATACATTTTTTTTTTTTTAATTATGTTTAAATTTCTGTTTTTGATGAACAATAAATGTTCTTTTTTAATAATTTTTTTTTATAACATATAAAAACATATGCTAAAATAAAAGTAAATATTTCGCCTAATATATCAAAGCCATAAAATTTGAATTTAAAAAAGGAAATTTCTTTAAAATTATTTTGATTATAATCATGATTAATTATACTGAATAATCAAATCTTTAAATTGATATTATTTTTCATAATTATAATAAAGTTGAGAGGAATTCCATTATGAATACTTAATAATAAAATTTTAAACCATTTTCATACCAAAATCAAATTTCCATAAATCTGATCTCTCTTGCAAATCTGTCATTCCGCCGTATACCCACATGACATCTCCGTATATAATAGCTGAATGTTTGTGTCTTGCGGGAGGTGTAGTTTTTCCTTGGGAGAGGAGATGCCAAGTCTGAGAATCTGAAAATATTAATAAAAAAAACTATAGAATATTTAATAGAGTAGAAACGAATAAATTTATTCTTAATCCGTCACGTACAAATGTAATGGTGCGAAAATAAGGGATACCATTTGCATTATATTTTATTTTTTTAAACACAATTTATCTCTGATATTTTTTACTTTTAAATAAATTAAATTTTCCCTAAAAATACATAGTGATTTGTTAGAAATAAAATATTTTGGAATTATAAAAATTAAGTTTAACTATAGATGATAAAATTTTTAATATTTATCACATCATTAGTTCATAGAACTAATATAGAATGAAAATGATGTCAGATGAAAAAATGTTTTGACAACCATTATTTATTTATTCAGACTACTAATTTGATTTTAAGTAAAATATTAAACATAAAGTGTGATATAAACTATGAGCAAGTAGTATATTTTTTTTTATGTGCGTAATTTCTATTCGGTTATTTAATTTGAACAAAATATTTGCTGAAACAAAACTAACAGATATGATCATTGTGTTTGTAAAACGCATGTTTTTGTTTACCCATTATTAAATACTAATTTTTTTATTATAAAATTAATGCTCATTAAACTGCTATTCTGTTAATACCTTTTAATTTTAGTTTACAGAACAATTTAAATTAATAATAGAATTGATATAATTTTTCATAAAATCGTAATCATGTTTCATTTAAAAATACTTGGAAGATGTTTTAAAACAAAGTATTAGCCAAGGATATTAAATAATTCACTTAGAAAAATATTTAATGAAATACTTTATAGCTTTCTAATTAACTTTACTTAACTTAAGTGCTCGATTTGAATCCATTTTTCAAAAACTAGTGTCTTACGATTAAGCTTAGCCTTCTAATTCATTAATTACAATGCCTAGACAGTTTTTTAGGGTATAAATGAAATTACATTAATGGTTATACGATGGTTCGAGTAATTTAAAAATGCCAGACGTACCACTGTTTGAACATTTTTTTGTATTGTTTGTTAGTTTTGATAACTATTAGTAAGACAATAAACGTCAAACAACAAGAAAAAATGAATGTTTATATGTTTTAAAAAGTCTTTATAGTTATTTGAGTAATAGTACACTATAAACTGTATGGAAATATTTACTAATATTGATACAAACCACGTCCTTAGAGTATATCAAAGAGAATATTTTATTAAACAAAAAAATTTATAAGCTCTATAACCAAGAATATAAATTTCTATATATGTAAAATATATAGGATATATTTTTTGAATTCGCGAGTATTATATAAAAAATAATACTAATAGTTGTAGGATTAAAAAATAAAATTATCTACAAAAGTTATGTGAGATTGGCTGACAGAATTATTCAAAGTTGGACAAGTTTGAGAGAGCTTCATCGAAAAAAAAATTTATTTAATATCCTTAATCATAATGAATTTTCCAGTGTATTTATTTATAATATTACATTTGACAGAAAAATACATTAAAAAAAAACTTAAAAATGTTGAAGTAGAACAATTATTTTTTTATACTAATTTAAGTAATAAAATTTTAATATTACCAAATACCTATGTCATAAAACTTATAGAGATAACAAGACTTGAGTCGCATTAACCTACTACAGAAAACTTTTATTTTGATAACTCTAATTAAAAAACTTACCAAAGTGAAATGCCCACATCTCGCCGCTGGATCCTTTTAGGTCTCTGTAACCACCGTAAATAATCATGGAATTTCTGTATACAAGAGCAGTATGCCCTCTTCTGCCTTTTGGAACGTTGGTGCCAGATGCGCATTTGACTTTATTCCATTGGTTATCCTGAAACAAAAGCACATCTAGTAAAATATCATACATTCCGTCAGTCAATAACTTTTGATGTAGTGAGCTGATATATTTTTTGATGTGCCGTAGATGTAAATACATACCAAGGCGTTACACATTACATAATTCAACCGCCTGGGTATTGTATTATATCTATAATAATAATTTCATCCCCTTTTTAGCAAAGGGCACTACACCGCGATCGAGGGTTCGTTTATTAATAAATACCGTTTCGCTTTATGGTTTTAAAAACGTGTTTGTTATAAAAGGGAAGAAAAACACCTCACAGTTCATCCACCATTCGTTTCTAACTTTTTGAATTGTTTTTGTAAACTTCGCAAGTCTGAAGTCAGTGCGATTTAAAAAAGATACTTCAAGAGTTTATTTTTTTAAGATTTTCGCTACTAATTTATATTTTCTAAAATTAATTTATTATAATTTAAATAAATCGAATACTTATAAATTTTCATAACAAGTAAAAACAACATCTGGAAGTTAAAGTGCGCATAAACCAAATATGAAGTACTCTTGAGGTTTACAAAAAAAAATTATTTTTGCAGTAAAAGCGTTTATGTTGATTACTTCTCATTTCAAAGATAATATTCCAAATTACTAGCTAAATACAATTTTTATGAAAACTCAGCTAAGAAATACGTCTTTAATTTAAAACAAAATTTTAATAAATAAATATATAGATAATCACTACATGAGTCATCTTATACGAGTATGATTAAATTTGAAATATTGAGACATAATTTAACAATTAATATTAAATATATTCAATTAAAATGTTTCAAATGTCATAGAAATTTTAATTTGAGTTTTGATTAGTTTATACTACAATACATGTCAATGTACTTTGGTATAAGTGACCTATATTCATAATGATAACTACAACCTGTATGTTATTGATATATTGCATTTGTACGGATTGACATATTATTTTACAAATGAAATAATATATATTTTTATTTCGTATGATTTTGAAATTAATGGTACATATATTCAAAACATTTTTATAGGCAATAAGTATCTATTTCCCAGAGCTTGAATACATAAGAAAATTAAAGAGACTAATATTTATTTAAAAGTATACTTTTTGAGATTTATTTGTTTGTTTTATACTACGAAAGTACAAGAACTTTCTGGAGTATAGTAATTTCCTTCTGTATGCATTAAAGAGGAGGCTACAGCAAATAAAACGTATGACTATATATTTGTTCAGAAATATATTGAGTGTTCAAAGGTTTTTTTTATCTAGACGTAGGCAATTTAAAGTATAAGCTACTATATTTTAAATTTTATATAAAACTGCTCTTACTATAATTGGTATATGTATATCAAATTTGTTTTAGATTAAAGGAAAATAAAATATGTAACCCATATTTTACTCAAATGTCATTTAATATTTACCATCAAATTCAATTGAATTGAATTCTGTCAGTTTACATACTATAATATCATACTTCATATGAAATTAAATTTTATATCACGTGTTTCATTTGTATCTAGTTATAAGATAGTATTATTGTGCACTTGAAATTTAAGGGTAAATTAATTGTATGATATTTGTGATAGTATAATTAAATATAATTATGCAATTTCTAATATAATAATGTCTTGTAAAACGAAAAAGGTTCGAAAATATTTTTGCCCTAAGACATACATTATGTCAGATAAATTAAAAGTTGTTATGTAAGATTAAAAAAAAAAAAAATTGAAATTCTCTCTGTGTCATAATAATTTTCATTTTTTTCAAACACAAATGACTTTATTTAGCCTTACATTTTTAGATAAATAATAAAAACAAGCTGTGGTCTTCTTTCTAATTTGTCTGATCTACCAACACAAGTAAGTCATGATAAACATTTAGACGGACCCTTATTTTTATATTAATGAAAAAGTAAGAGATGTTTTTTTGGTATTAGCCTGAGCCTAACGAAGGCTCTTCCGGTTATTGCTTTTTATCTGACATTGAGTAATCGTTTATTTTTCTTAGGCTATAAAAGATTTTAAAAGCATTGTTCTTATTTGTTTTATTAATATTGTCAATAAAGCGTACACAGGTATTGCTGTAAAAATAAAGAATGCTCAGTGGAGCTTAAATTAAAAATAAATGTCAAGTAGAAACGTGACTTGTCTACTGTCAACATACAGCCACTTTTCCATCGCGGCCTTCCAGTACAATAAATGATGAAGTGCATTGATGTACAAAAGTGAGACATACTAGACAAAGCAATAATATCGGTATTTCGTAGCTGACATTTTGCAAAGGTGGAGAATACTATATCACCTCGTTAGAGCGAAGCATACACACGCCATTTTTGCGGCTACCCACCGCCGCTGTGTGTTTACCTCAATTTGTCAAAAAACTTGAAAAAAAAAACCGTACGTGTCCTAAAACATTGCAGATATAAACGAATTTCAATTGAGTTACTTGGTGTGTTTGGTACAGGTTTTCACGCCAAATCATCATCAATTTTTTACGGCGATCCAACGATGGTATACGATGGTGTATATTTGATACGGAGCCAAAGTCAAACTCGACTCTATATTATTATTAGTCCTGCCAGAGCTTTTACCGAATGTGTGTACGTACACACAACAAATAATGGCGCACCCCTCGTTTTGTATTACCCATTCCCCTGTGGGGATAAAAATGAATTGAGCCACCCGTGTTCCTTATACTCTCTGTCTCTTTCGCGTGTACACTTGGTCGTCTCTCTTTTTATTCTCTCTGTTTCACTATCTATTGCTCTCTAGTAATTTATAAAACACCCTTTGGCAGAACAAGGGACCCTTGCGTCTTTTCCTCTCTGTAGCCACTGCCGTCGCCACAGGGTCAAATTAAACGGACTGTCTACGTCGTCGGCCGGTGTGGTTTTAGCTACAAGCACGGAACACCGAGTCTAGTAGTAGGATCGCAATTAACAGAGTCTCGGATGCGTGAATGGTTATAATTTCCAGACGTCGACAGAACAAAATTTAGAGAGAAAAATTAAACGTACTTCAACTAAAAGCCGTATGTGACACGAGGGGAAGACGCACATTTGACAACACATCCGAGAATCACGCTAAGGTGAACGTGTCGTTCATTGTACGCGCGTTTGAATGACATGTGAATTTTAACACCACTCTCTAACGTTTAATTTTGTAGGAATTACAATGACAACTTTTCATATAAGTTATGAATGTGAATTTTTTAACATTAAATCAATTTATTCACAGATCATTCAAAAGTTAATTCAAAATATAACAAATTAAATAATATTGATAAATTCAATACTTATAAGAATCATATTATTAGGCTTTAACGAGAAGATAGTTCATTTTGACAAATGTGTTAAAAATTCTAAAAGTTTAAAAGGTTTTACGTGTGGTTATAATAAATGAAATACAATCCATGAAAATATTGCTTCAACTTTGAAATCGTGCTGACAAAATAATATATCTGTATACATATTTCAAACATTTTTGCACCATAAATCAAACACAATGTTTAAATCATTGGGTTCAGCATAATAATACCTGGTCACTTCGACGGTGTAGATACACCGGCGGTTTTACGACAGGCAAAATATATTCTGGAATCTTCATTCATAAATAAATAACATCCCTTCGAAACCTTACAATTCTCATGAAAATCTAATTCCGTCAGTTAGATTATATCGGCAATGGTAAGACACATAAATAAACTAGACTAGTGCCTAATTGTATCCCTGATTTTATAAATCTCTACTTCCGTAAATGAACTACTGTAATTTCTTACTATTTAACTGAAAATTATGTATAATATCTATACATCAACCATTATTGTATTTAACCAATAATTTTATAAATAAAAATATATTTGATAACTAAGTCTACTGAGATATATGTTGTGTTTTAATATTTCGGACAGAACAACAAATTTCACCAATCGGGTATTTTTGTCTTATATCTGATTATTTGTTAAAGAATATATAACTCCCCTATTTTTAAGTTAAAACGTGTGCAGAATATAATTCCTTTATAAAATATTACGGCGACTTAATTTAAAATGTAATACGTTTCGCAAACTTTACTTTCTTGCTTATAAAAAATGAATTTTGTAAGATTTGTGTGCCAGTATATCAATACTAATCCAATATTAAGCCTGGTTATGATATAAAAAAAAAAAGCTTTTATATTTTAAAATAATAATTTTATGTTATATGAACTTTGTTGTGATTTTTTACTTCTTTAAGTTGTTTTTGTATGTTTTTCTTAAAATAAAGTCGTAAACTGAGTTATTATTTGCATTATACTAATTGTATTCACAAAATTATTTTTAACTTTCTTTTAATTAATTATGGATAAAATTTAAAGAATAGTAGCGGTATTAACCTTTTTTATTGAAGTAACTAAGTACGTAGATATTTTAATAAATATATATTTTTCTAATAAAATAATTATGAGGTAAGTTTTGCAATACCAATTTGATAAAATTACTTCCATTCACAATATACAATAGAATTACGATTCTACTTGCTTTCTCTTAACGTAAATTTATCTCTAAAAAAAACATTATGTTTACTATTAAAACCGTTAGTAATAATAAAATTTTATATCTAATTCAACTGCACGTAGGAATAATGTTAGAGGCACGAAACATTGTATACTTCTGAAGGTATTATTAGTGTCAGGTTTTCTTAAGAATCAAAACTTTTCTATTTTTATGTTTTTCTCGGCCACGCATGTTAACTTTTATCGACAAGAATATGGACTATTCGATAAACCTCAACATTACATACAATAATCGTAAATATACTAGTTGCACAAAATTTATCACTTTAATTTTAAAATAAAACTTTGAAAACATTACTAGTTATTTTAACTAGAATATTGAATTGTTGATGGGAACATTCAGAAAACATTTTATTGATGTTGAATTGTGAAACATCAGACTCAAGTAATCCTATTGAATTTTGTGAATGCCCGTAAGTCTAAACATGTGACAGTTATATGAAAATATAACGTTGTGTGACGTGAATATGCCCAAGACTGTTAGCAACGTCGTAAAAGCAAATCGATTTGACCGTCGTATGGAAGCAAAGAAAATCCGCTTCCGTTCTTCTCAGACATGAAATGCCATCGAGTGCAATTTTTATTGCTTTCCAAGTTATAGAGGGAGAGGTAACGACAAATCCAGTTGAGGGTGAAAAAAAATAGGGGCAAAAACTGCAAAAATATTACTGAAATGGAATAATACGCCAGAGACATTATAAACGACAAGCGTTTTATGATGGATTTTAAGAGTATGGGTTGTTTTGATGTTATTTTGTCACTTACAGTAGACATGTTTTACATAGACCTAATTTAAACGTTAGAGAAAGTTATTTTTTAACAGTATATCTAGTAAGCATTCAGTTATTTTTACTGAACGACAAAGATAACACAATAAATTTTCGCTTCAAACTAAGAGGATATTGTTTTATTACGATGTTAAATTTTCATTCATCACGCGCTTCTAACCCAAATCTTCTAAGTTTACTTGTCTATTAATATCATTGAATTTCAAAGTATTAGTTTTAATAGACTTCATTACTTAAACTCAAGCATGTAGTCTTATTTCTCTTACACTTAAAAAAAACATGCAAACACGCTACTAAAATTGTTTAGCTGAAACTTACACCTATTTATATTTCAATAAAATGCATGTGAAAACATAATCGAAACATACTTTTTATTTAAATTGTTTCAATTATAATCTTTAAATTTATTTTAATATCTGGCTGAAAAATAATATAATTTTCTTAACTCTATACTTGGTAAAGTATTCGCGTATTTGCGTAGCGATTTTATTAAATAAACAATACTTTTTGATTCACTTTTTTGACGACGTATTTCACCAAACACAAAATATGATTGATAAAATGGTACAAGTGTAATCTAACGGTGAATTTTGAAGTCAGTGTTCTCATTTTTTATTATGCGGTCATAATGTAAACACAATGAGTGAAATGGAGGTAAGAATATTATTATTTTACCCAATTTAAACTGTCTCATTCAAATTAATTGTTTTCTATTTCCTTAATCAGTTATTTTGATTTATTTGTTTGCTTCGACTTTTACAAAACATAAATATTTTAAATCTCTACGTGGTTTTATTTTTGTATACAACGATGTAAAATACTGCCTTCATAGTAAATCAACAATGTATCCACAGTGCACGTTGCTTTATACATAGATTATCAATTATAAATCTTAGGAGATTCGTAGTCATAATTTAGACCCAAATATATAACATTATTTTATAATTTTAAAATATTTTCTTAATCATTTTCTTACCCTAATTTTATGAATTATGATTTTTTTTTTTTTTTTTGGAACGGTTAAAACGTCACAGAGATACAAAGTTATTCACTAAAGTTACTTTATTACTAAATCCTACGTGTAAATCTGATGTAAAAGATATAAAATATGATTAAACTATTTTAATCGATAACAATAATTTATTGTAGTTATTTCTAAGCATCTTTACAAACACATGCGATTTAAATTCATTATTTTAGAATATTTTAAATATATATTCATTATATTAATTGTTATGAGAACAATAAAAGGAAATATTTTTTTTGAATAATAAGTATATATTTTTGACAGGCAACTTGAGAATGTTGACAATACATTGGGGTCGCGTCACAGTGTAAACATGACATAGTTGAGACAAGTATATATTTAATCTGACAGTCATTAAACTCACTATCATGAAAAAAGCTTCGATGCAAGTCTGTAGATAGTGTTTAATTTTAAGAAATTTGTGGATTATTCCGAAAGCAATATCAACTCCTATTTCTTTAACCATATCCTAATTAATAGTTCATTGTTTTATAAGTATAATATATTAATAAATACTAATTATATTAATTAAATTTAGTATAAATTGATATTTAATAATTTAATATTGTAATTTTATGGAGTACCCAACCTTTTTTCACGACTTCGGAAAACGTACAAGATTAAAATTAAATAAATTCCTTTTTAAAAATGTTTTGAATTTTTTCGAATTTTGCATTTTTTACACAAAAAACGTATTTTTTTATTTATCTCAATGTACGTTTCACCATGAAAATAAATCCATAGATATATATAAAATATTTATTTTATAAATATTGATTTATAAATATTGTTAACAATTTTAAACCGAGAATTTTAACACAAAAATAGCATACTTTTGACTACGACCACCATTTACAGATAGTAAATAAGTTATGGGGACAATTTTTTTTTGTTCAAATTAAAGAATACATAAGCTTTAATTTATGATATATATATATTTCTGAAACATTTAAATAAGTTAAGTTCAAAAAGCTTTACTTTCTATCACGTGTTTAAAGTTTTTACCCTATTGTATAAAGGGTAAAAGTCCAATTAAAAAAAAAATAACGCTGGATAAAAGAAGTATAAGAAAATTATTTAAAAAATAAATTTTATTAATCCATACTTTTTTTAAAAAGTTATAGCCATATAAAAAGTTGTTCCAGTGAGAGCTGAGAATAAGTGGTAACAAACACAAAAAAAAAAACACGTCATAGTAAACTTAACACTTCTTAGCTTCGTCAAAGCTAAAAAAAATTCAAAATACATTTATACCTTCTTTCCTATATAATATACACAGTAGAATATCAAAAAATATACTTTTATTAAAATCTGGATTTTCACCAAGTATAGGGATAATAATATAAAATAAAATATATTAAAAAACAAGATAATTAAAATCAAGGTTTATCTATTTTAATATATTATTTTTAATAATATGTTGCAAACTTTTTTATGATTTATAAATCTAGCACACCACATTAAAATGTAATTGCCTTTCAACTAATTTAGTATAGGTGAAATATTTATGTAAGTATAAATTAACTGTTTTTGCTTAAAATACAATTGAAAACATACAAATATTAATTATCTAAAACAATTCTAAATACATGGGAGTTCTCAATGTTTACTTATCATTAATATCACCTACGCAAATTAAAAATTCATATTGATTCTGATTCGCAGGAGCTTTTACTTATTCATTAATTAAACAATATTGCTTATAGTTAATTAATATATTTTTAATTAGTTACCAAACACTTGAGCAAATTATCAAATGGGTTCTGTAGGTTTTTAAACGGATATAAATACTTTTCTAGCTTAGGAATTTAGTTACATTAGTTTGACAATCATTATCCAGTGAATCAGATAGTAATTTTCTAAACAAAAATCAAACTCATCATGAATCAAGTCATCGTATATACCGCCATGCTTGCATTTCTTATTTCTGCAGTCGTTGCCGATGACAGTAGTCAAAGTACAAGCAATGAAGTAAGTTCAGTAGTAAGTACTTCAATGAATTATGCAACTAGTCTCGCTGATCAAATGGCGGCCGCTGCGAAAGGAATGACCCAGGCTGTATCCAACATGGAAAATCTCAATAACGTTCTTAAAAGTACAGATTTAGACGCAGAGACAGTTCAAAATTATATCTCTGAACACATGAACAACATGAAAAATTTAAAAGAAAATTTCGATAATATAATGAAGCAAGGACATTGTTACATGAAATCTCTCATCGGTTCTCTATCATCATTGGGCCTCGATGCTGAATCAGTCCAAAAAATACAAAATCAAGTGACAAACGAAATGAAAAAACAATTCGAAAATATGAAAGAAACGAGTCAGAAATTATTGAGTATCTTATAATAAAAAAGTAAATTGTGAAATTTTATTATTCGTAAGACTTGTTTTTATTATTACAATTAATACATATTTTTAATATAATTAATATTACCGAAGTAAATTCTGATAAATAAAATAAATATAAGCCAAGAACTGTTTTAAAAATAAAAACTGTTAATATTCAATGTTGTAATTCTGTTTTAGTAAAAAATGTTTTTACAGTTTCCTAAACAAATCCAAAAAAAATAGACTTTTTAATAAATATGATTTTAATACAACTGTTTCCAGTTAATGATATCCTGCAGAATACATTTATGGAACATTTGTTATCTACAAAAATACTTGCTAAATAATTAATCGATGAACTTTTGCAGGTGAGCCTGCACTTAATAAGATTAAATGGTTATATTTTTAAAAATATAAAAAATTTACTTGCTTAACGTTTAATGCCATTCAAAAGAGTAAAGAATCTTTAGTACAAACGTCTACTACGTTTATGAATTCTACAATTCCTATTTTAGTAACATTCAAACATTATTGTTTATACATAGCACTCCAATTATATCATGAATGTTATATAAGGTATTGTTTTTTTTATTGTAGTTACTCATATAAAATGTATAACTTACTTTGATACTATAAGACCATAGCGGCGATTCGGAGGCAGATGAAAAACTAACTTCCCCGCCAAATATGTATACTTTGTCTTGATAAACGACCGCTGTGTGCTCTTGCAAATTCTGTAATGTATCACCTGTCGGATGCAACTGTTCCCAAGCGTTTTGTACTGAAAATAATCAAAAAATTTAAAATAATAAGAAATTAGGTGAACTGATTCAATGTGATGATTTCAAGTCAAGGATATAATAAAGTAGTATCATTTTAAAATATAAAACAACAGTATAATTAAAAAAACAAGGTTGTTTTAACTTAAAATAAATTAAATGTTATCGAATGTTTAAAAAAAAATATTTGCTCATAAATATATGAATATAAGTACATAAATATATTACGAACTACATATATTTTAATTCCCAAAAAAATCATCACTATTAATTGAGGTTTAGCTTAACTGCAGCGCATCTAGCATAAAATATTAATTGAATTGCAATTAAAATATCCTAACAAAATAAGCTTAATCAGCTCATAGTATAATAATAAAATGAGCAAAACAATACATTTTTGAACATATAATATATTTTAGATCAATTCATTTCGCATTATAAAGTATTAACAAACAGTTCTATCTAACATTATTGGATGCAAGTATAATAGTTATTCACTAATAACTATACTTGATGAGACAACAATTATAAATAAGAAAGTTTACAATAAATTAAAATTTGATCATAATTAAAAAGCGGATTGATAAATTTTATTAAGTTATTCCAAACAGATCATTAGCTAGTACAAATTTATATTAATAGGATTGAAAACTTAGTACTTATTTTTAAGCAAAAATAATGTTCTTAATTGATATTGATTTTTATTAATTCTTTTACTTTCCAAAACATTTTGTGAAAAATAAATTAGAAAATGAACAAGAAAAATTTGTAAATGAATTAAATGTTTATTAAAAAATAACCTATCAAGAATAAGTCAAAGTAAACTTTGGTCATTACTATAATTCACCACATAAAAGACAGTGAGACATTTAGTTTTACAACGTCAGACAAAGCACATTTAAAAGTATTTATCTTCCTCAGTACTTAACCCTCCGTAAAAGTACTAAGTGTTTTATTATACCATTCAAAAAGTAAGTCTAAGTAATGGTTTTTATAAAAAATTACATTTTTTTATGGCAGAGGAATATGATGATGTATTTTCTTGAGTAACAGTAGAAGATTTAATAAAATTTTTTTAAATATTTTTACTTTAGTGAGATGAAAATCCCAGGAAATACAATGACACCTGCTCCCTCTTCAGGTATCACTGATGTGAGTAATACAAAATTGATTAATTTAAAATTAAAGAACAATGTCATTAATTAATAAATTAGTAGTATATTTATAAGAAAAAATAAAACTTATGAAATTCTAACAATGTATAAATAAATTACTTGTTTATGTAAAAACATTTGTTTAAAAAATAATAATTTTTGGTAACAATATTCAAAAATAATCATACAATTAAAATAATTTAACTAAATATGCATTTTTGAAATCATTTTTAGATCATTTTGATTTGCAAGTTAAATGTATATATTAATATTTAAAAAATAAAGTTAACATCCATACTATATTGGATAAATTAAAAAATATCAAAAATGATTTTTTAATATAGTTATTTTTTTTAAAGTACTCGAGTGGCTAATATTAAATGAATCAGTGTATACAAATTTATAACTTTTTATAATTTCTTCATAAAAATTCCAATTCTAAATGATTTCATGTCAATTTCATACTTATTAAATTTAATTTAATTTCTATAATAATTAATTATTCATATATTATAGTTATAAATAATAATACTTGGAGGAAATAGAAGTTCCTAATTGTTTTGGAATAATTCCATAATTATTTTTAAAAATTAAACATTATCTACAGATTTGCTTCGAAGCGATTTTTATGATAGTGACTTTAATCACTGTCAGATATCATTGTGCTGGGTTTTGTTTTCATCAATTTTATTTTTACAGTTTTGATGACATTGATTTTTCCTAGGTATAAAAATGTCGAAAAAGCAGGATACTTTTAGGAAATTAAACGCCGAATAATAGTAATTTTGAATATATTTAAAACCGTCTGTGTAACATTCAAATTTATTTTCAGCGACTTAAGCGTTTTTGTCAAGTCTATCGCAAATTTTATATTATAAAACCATAGTACTTTCAGATTATACTCTTTTGTTAAAAATATGATTTTATCGTGTTTTAGTCCAAAATTATTCAGATATTATGTATAACTGTCTAAACTTTTGCTTATTCGGCATTTTTATTCATTATAAAGTATAACAGATCTAACTGGAAACTATAATTTTTGATAGAATTACTATTTTGTTGAAATTTTCTATTTAAATAATTGATAAATTCTTAAACTGCGTCAAATTCACGTCTTTCGTTATTTATTTCAACACAACCAATTTATAAAATATGTAATTATTGAGTTACAAGCGTTTTAATATATATATAGAGTGGGTCTGTAAAGCGTTTGGAGTATGCGTTATAAATATACGATAATACCATCTGTCCTCAATTTTTATACCAAAAACAATTCAGAAATACTAAAAATATTCGTAAAAAATGTAATCATAAATAAAAATAGACATAATATCTACTGTTTATATTATGAATAATATGTTTCTATACTCTAATATTTTTATATGCCATCGTCTTAAAATGTAAAACTGAAACATTCATTTATATAAAATGACAATTTTTTTTTATGTTCTTACTATTTAATTTACGTCATTGAAGATTATGAAGACGATTAAATAAAAATTTTGTTTAAAAAAATTGCATAATATCTTTTTATTATAAGATAGTGATTAAGATTAAGATTAAGATAGCGCCGTATTACTTACCAGAGCCCCACAAAGAGAAACAATGGACGTACATATAGTAAATGAACGTACAATTTTTCTGAGCCTATTGTTGTGGTGTCTAATACCCAACCTTTTTCATAAAATGAGATATTTTTAAAAATAATTAAATTTCATATTTAAAATTAACATATGAAATATATTTTTTTCTTTAATAAATGTTACAATGTAACAATTTTTCTTTAAAGTAATTCTAAATTAATTTAATACAATTAATAACTTCAGTTTTCAAATTGATGTAAAATTTTTTGTTTACAAAAAGTTTTCTATAATTGCTATTTTTGTATTGTTTTTCCCGCATTTGTTTGTCTTTAATAAAATATAAGCATACAATTGAGAAAACGGCACGTATTTGCTCTACATAACAAATTTATCACACGAGTAATTGTAATTCGATTGTTGTACGGCACGTCAAAATGAAACTACTAGACAATTTGTATTCAGGTTATGTTGTGTACTTAGTACTTACCCAAGTCATATCTCCATATGTCTTTCAGGGGCCAATTTCCGTTCCGACCCCCGACCACGTAAATGTGGTTGCCGTGCACCGCGGCACTATGTTTGGATCTAGTAGGTGGTATGCTGTTGTTTCCGGTAATAGCTACAGGACTCCACATAGTCCTGTAAGCATTAAAATAATAAACGATTAAAAAATTATACTTGTTTAATTAGAAATAGTAATTTATTTAATAAATAAAATGTATATTGACATTCAAATAATGGCAGATCTTAACTAAAGCATTTCCCCCTAGTTTCAACATTAAATAACCTTTTGGTTTTTTTATATTAAATTAAAAACGTACAGTTTATCATTTTACTCAGGATTTTGTATAGTAAATTACATAAAATAAAAATGATTAAATGAAGTTTATACATAAATTATATCAAATTTCACTTATCACCAACAAGACAGAAAACGAAAAATAATTGAATTTTAAACAGATTATAATGGTATTTAGTGAGATTATTAAAATCTTATGTACTACGAAATGTTGCTCAATATAGTTAAAATCATTTATTGCACTACCAAGGGAAACAAGCGAAGATTATCCCTTCAAGAGTTTTAATTGAAAAACAAAAAGGGAATTTGTTATGGAGCGTTAACACGCAACGTTTATTATTATGTAAAAACATAGTTTTCATCATTCTACCTTCTAAAATAAACTTGTTGCGTATACCGTAATAATAAAAACGTGAAACAGTATACGCTAATTATTATTACTAGTAGTTGACAAGTTGATTTATTTGATTCACCCCAACAACAATTAATTAAAATATTACCAAGTATACGTAACTCTATACATTTATAAGATCATTAGAATTACATTTTAATATTTCAATATTATTTAAAACTCGTTTTAAATAGGTATAATAAAAAATATTTTATCTATACTACTTATTTAATATTTTTTGATTTTGCTTTGAATATTTGATTTGTTCGATCAGTATTAAATTTTCAAGACGTTTAACTATCAATATTAGTTTTTGATAATTGCATATATATTTTTATGTAAATTTAACAATGTTTAATCATCTCATTTCTTATAAAAATTGAAATGTGTTTCAATGTCAATTAGAAATTTAGATGGAAAAACTATTAAAATTACGCTAATTCTTTTAATACAAGTTTAAAGAGTTTGAGTACTTAGCCTGCCGAGGAAACTTTTGTCTTAACAGTTAGAACTCGGACTAACAAAAGAACAGCTCCTAGACGTTAAAGTTGGTAAGTTAGTCTGAGTAAAATGTTAGTTGCAGTCATTTCCAACGGAAAACTTTTGCAGAGATTTAAGTGTGTTTTCTAGTTTTACGTTTGGAGAACAATGTCAGATACGAGTTAGAAAAATATTGTATGTATGTGTGAATTTCATAATTAGATCATACAAGAAGAACTCAGGGCTGTTCATATCTAAACAAGTTTGAAATTTCATCTAATTGCCATCACGTTGTTCCCGACATACCTTTTCCAATGCTTACTTTTATTTTATAGAAAATCTTTAAGATGTATACATATAAGTATAGAATTTTGTATCGGGTAACATGCAGAGTATTCCCCAAGGGACGTTCTTTCGACAACGATGATGGACAGAACGGTTCCCTTAGGAACGATGTGCACGTGGCAGTGTGTACTATTTTTTTCCTTTCCTTTTTTTATACTCTCTTCTAACGACCGTTCAATCGTAAGTATAACACATATAGGCGTCTTCAGGCCTGCTCAACGAGAACAGAGGGATGAAATCATGATCACGAAGTGCCGTTGTAACCAACCAGTGTGAGCGCGACTGCATGAGAGTATGGGGCGGTGTCTTCAATAATTCAAAGTCTTAAACCGAGAAAGATCTTTATGTGGTAGCACATAAATTCTCGGTAAACCTCGGCCGGTCGACACTGCCGTTTCAACACACTATACAAGGCTATATACGATATTGTGTTTCCCCTTAAGGCACCATAAGTTGAAGCTTTCACCGAAATTAGTTATGGCCTAAATGACGGCATGAAGCACAGCTGTCCAACAGCGTGCCGCCTCAGCCTCAACTTTCCCTATCCATTCTAGTCACGTTTGCGTGTTTTTATTTATTTTTACACAAATACTTTTTTTTACAATATTGATACACAACCCTTGCATCCCTTCCTTTTGGACTAATACTGGGGAATAAACGACCGTTTTGGGGTTTGTGTGTAAACCACAATAATAATATGTGTATGTACAACAGATTTTGCTGGAAAATTCAAACCGAATAGATATAATAATGATCAGTTTTGATTTACTCGTGATTGGGATTTAAGTCTCACCCTCGTTTAACAATAATCATAATAGCACTAGTACTAGCTAGAACACACATAAAATCACACTCATGGGATTTCCGCTTTCTACTACTCAAGTATTGTGCAAAGCACGTGCATGGATTTCGGATCATACATTATTATTTCTAATGTTTAGTTAAGTAACAAGACTACAATACTATTATTGATAAATTAGGGTGCTTTTCTTATTAATGATACAACTCACTTCAGCAAAATTAATGAAATATTAAATGTCTATAACACCATAGGTATCAATTTAAGGTCTTAAAAACAACCCCCTTTACAAAAAGTATCTTAAAAATTAATGACTTTCACATATTATTATAATATTTCTATAATATATTTTAAGTAATAAAGACACTTTATTTGACTATTTACTAACAATAACCACTCAAATAACTTTTTAGTTCTATATGATATATTTACATAGCTTATTATTGATTTTCTAAAATTTAACTTTGAATCTTTAAAAAAACAGATTTTAATAAGATTTCGGTTTTTAAATGACTCTAGAAACCCTTTTGAACGGGTCTTTTTTATAAAGTTATAACCCTTTGTGAACTCAATATATTCGAATATTTAAAGTCTGGGAAAAAATTATCAGTTTGGGATTTAGAAACCGGTAATGAGTTGTATGTAATTTTGATTTCGGTTTCGGTTTCAGTTAAGAAAACCGGAAAAATTAGGTTTTTTCTGGTTTTAGTCCCAACTTTCAATGACAAGTTACAAAATGTTTTCAAAACAGTCAAAACATGATAATATTCAATAAAACAAATACAGCTTAATAATACAGTCATTGTAAGATATGATCCGAAAAATTCCCATATATCAGTATGATATTTTTAAAATACACGTCCATCTTATACATAAGTATTGTATTTTTGACATAAAATGCCGAAAATTCCTAACATTTTTCATCCAAATTTTCCCTTACATTGTTTACGTTAAAAACTTCCAATATATGAATGTAAAAATTTGGACATTTAACGTAAAGTTAACGTGTATACTAAAAATATCACACTGACGTATTTTTAAATAATTTCTGACAGTTTGACTATTGTTTAAACAATCATTATTTCTAATATCCGAATGAAATAATTTAAGAAAATATTCCTATATTTTTTATGTGTACCTATATTATTTCATTTTTTCGAATATTCTTTAAAATTGAGCTGTGTATTTGTATAACAATAATATAACACACTCCAACTACACTAACATTTAAGATAGTATATTTACTTAAGAATTTTTTTAACGCAAATTTAAATTTTTAAGTATTATTACAAGCTTTTTAATATGTGGTGTAATATGCTTTTTCTTTTATTAAATTAAACTTAAATATAAAATGTTAATAACGTCATATTTTTTTATCAATTTGTTTTTAATATTCATTAACGACTGATTATACATGTATAATGTAAATGATTTAATAAAATCAATAGATTAAATCACATTGCAATAATTTACTACAGTATTTGAATACAAAAATGTTACTAATCGTCGTATCTAGTAATGATTACATAAAATTATCACAAAATTAAACGCCGAGATAATATTATCATTAAACATGAAACACCAATAATATATTATTTTATTATTGTTATATGCGTATCCTAATCATAAGGGTAAGCTATTCGACCTTAACCCTCATAGAAACAAGCGTTTATAATTTACTTAATTAATTAAAGTACAGTATTGACGTGAACAATGAACGTTAAAGATGAGAGAAATAACTATATATACAACCAATGTATCCCTATCATAACGGTTACTTGCTTAATAATATCATTGTAGTCACTATGTATGTAAATTTGATGTGGTATTGTTTATTTTTAGCACATGACTGTAAAGTATTTGTTTTTGTGTTTCTTGTAAAATGGAGACAACTATGTTATTGTCTTAAAAATAGGAAAAATGGCGTTTTTCAAATCTTGAGGATACCCCTAGAGACAGTAAAATAAACATGTACTTGACATTTGAAAGGACTTGCGTTATTGTTTTGCATATGTAATATTGTGCTCACCTGTTATCTTCTTCTAAAGATCTTAAAACCCTAAGGTTTTTGGGCAATTTAGTAGGTAAGAACATTCAATTTTTTTTCTTATTATTTGTATTATTAAATGACACTATAAAGGACAAACTTTAAAATGCATGAAAAAATATCTATGCAACATTTAAGAGTACTTCGTACCAAAACTATATAGGATAATTTCAACTTTATAACGAATCAAGAATAAGTTTAAGGTTATTGTTTCATAGCAAACATAGATTTACTATAGTCTATTTCTAATTGCATAAAAAATTCTGAACTAAGTCGAACCACTAATAGCTAAACAAACATAATTGTTAAAGGCACTAAACCGAGTACTACCTACGATTACGCTATAAACCAATTATGTTTTGACCAATGTGGGACACTAAGAAATGGGTTTCTTTTAAATTAAATTACACACATTTAAGAATTAAATTTGGACAGGATAATGTGAGGTAAACCTAAATATTTGATTTGAGTTCTTGAGCTATTTTTTCATAAAACTTACATTAAATTGGAATAATTTCTAATATAAAAGAGATTGTGTTAGTTTTAAATAAGATAATTGTGTAAATTATAAATTATTTGTAACACTAATAAAAATGACTTAATGAAGTTTTATTAAAGAAGAAATTGCTACGAAATAAAATTTTACATTTGTAAATTTTACAAGTTGTGTAAAAATTTGAAAATTCATTGTGTCAATTGATATTTAAAAGATAAAAATATTCTATGACTTTTAAAACATAAAGAAATGGTTATGTGTACATTGAATTTCAGAGTTACTATTTTGCTTTTAGTTTCATAAGTTAATTATCAATTTTATACCAATTGTAAACCTGTTTCCAATTTTTTTAATAACAGTTTTGACGTTTCCTTACTGTACCTTAAATCCAGTAATGACTTATTACTAACTTATTGTGTACTTGCAAATAAAAAATCTGTATACCCTTTAAAAAAAAATTTATCGAATGTCCGAATCTGTAGTAGAGCGAGATTATTTGTCTTAATAATTTGAGAAGATACATCCCTAATTTAGGTAAAACAATGTTTCGTGTTTTAGGGTACATACGAATACTGTCCAATTACATCCTGTTGAGTGAAAGAACTCTTAGAAATTTTTCGTACAAACAAATGAATCGAGTACAAATGAATCGATCATTTATATATTCATGAAAATTTTTTTAGGAAAGAAAAAACTCGTATTTCTCATATTCATCTGTACTAAACAAAATACATTTGAAATACAATAGAGTTTCTAAAAAACTTGTTGAATTCAATTTGATAAATACATATCCAAATACTTACTTGAATACTTATGAGGCTGTGAAACTCGAACAGTTACTATAATGTCGGACTGCTGGACTGGCATCAGCTGACAAGTTTTTCTTATCGGTCGTTGACGTTACGCGCTTTCCCATAGAAGCGTTCGTCTCTCGGAGACGATTTACACTGTGCCAGCGTCCCTTTAACGGAATGTAATGCTGGCCAGTCCTCTCGGTGGATGGCGCGAAACGGAGCAACTACCGCTGATAACGCTTCGGTGGGACACAGATCGCGCAAGCGCTCAACCGAAATCTTTGTGTCGTCGCTTCGTGAATGGGGTGCGTTATTGATTACTCTAATAACACATCCCTCCTTTCCTCTCTCACCTACAGGACCAAACGGGATGGAGCAGATTCATCAGTGTTTTACTTTTTTTTTCCATCATCCATCCGATCACAAGATTAACGTACCATCCGACGTTTTATGAACACAAACCGATAAAACAATAGGCCAGATAGATGTAATGTCAACGACCAAGAACTTCTACAAGCCTATCAAGATACTGTACATGAGCATATAATTAGCAGTTTAAAAGTTTTTTTTTTTTGTAGCCTATATTAAAGCGAATTAAAACAAATATATAAACACTAACTTAGAAATATCGGTTGATTAATATTACAATTTTACTACACGAAGCCCTAAAATTTATATTTTAATTTTATTGTGAACATTTATTATGATTTAACTTGATGAAAAAACGGTTGTTTCAAAAATGACTTGTTACAAAATTAATATTAATTAGATTATTTTTACTAAAATAATTTTTTTATTTACTTGGTTTTTTACATTATTGTTTATAAAATGAGAACAATTGATTTAGACGAAACTATAATAAATGGATAATATTTTAAAGAACAAATCATATAATTATGATTTAATCATTACACAGCAAACTTTTACCTAAGATTTTTTTTTATAGAATTTTTTAGTTTTTGAAAATAATGTCTTCAATTTGTGCCTTTTTGTATCAATCATTTTCTTTGCGACTAAAATATGTATAGCAAAAACTTATTCATATGATCAAAAACTATTTAAATAGTTATTTCATTATATTTTAATCAAAACAAAATTTTACTAGAAATTCATTTATTTTATATTAATGTAATAATATGTAATATAAATTTGAGTATATAGTAAAATTATTGAATTAAACAACATTTTATAAATTTCCTTTATTTTATGTCAAATTCTTTGCCAATATAGCCTGAAAAACATTAGTATTTCATTATATTTGGTCCAATCAAATTAATTTTTTTAATGAATTTCATCAAATAAGCAAGGACCCTTAATTGTACAAAACTATGACCAAATAGAGTTATATTACACCACAAATTATTCAATATCAGGTTATTAATATTACATTAATATATCAATGTTTTTACTATCATTTAAATTAAGTTGAAAACCTCTGTATATATGTCTAATTTTGGCGTTTAAAACACACATATTTTATATTTTGAGTTAATAATAAGTTTTTCCAAAGTTAAAACTATAGTACATACAAATATTTGACGTTACTTATTTTCTGCTCTTAGATTTAATGTGAATATTTCTTTTTTTAATCCAAAAACGTTGATAATTTTTTTGAATGTAATACACACAGCAAACATAACTATACGCAAAACGTGTAACCATAAATTAAATGTACTGAAAAAATAGTTCAGCTCATTTATATGTATATATATTTATTTTAAAATAAATTATGATATATAAACTACATTTAAACTTGAGAAAATGATTAAGTATGTAATTATCACTTAATTACTAATTAGTGTTTATCAGAAACTAAATATAATAAAACAAATTTATAACCATACTTTGAATCAGTAGAAATATTCCATAAACGATTCAATTAAAAACTGTACATTTTTTATTATTGTCCTGTGCTTATAATAATTACAATTTAATTTATATTTTTTTGTAGCTTCAATGCGACGCTGAGCAGGTATTGGCTTTGTGTTGGTGTATGTTTTTTTTATGTTTGCCTGAAAAAATTCTCAGTTCTCCCTAGACCGATTTTAATGATTAATATGATAATAGAACTCAATAATAATTTAAATAAATCTATCAGCGCCAAAAATTTGAAATAATCTCCTCATTTTTAAAATTTTTTAAAAATATCACCGAATTAAGCTAACGTAAAAAGAGGTACTTTCAAACATTTATTCTGCATATTCAAATACTTCACCAATTTTTATTAAAACTATAAACTTTTTAATTATACACTTTCAGAAAAATAAAAAAATAGAATAAAAATGACATTTTAAATCGAAAATTTTCACTGATTATTTTTAACATATATAAAATTAAAATTAATAATATTTTTTTTTTTGTTTTTAATATTTTGTTTTGGCATAAATACTCAGATTTTACTAAATAGTATTAATCTAAAAAAAAAAAAAAATGATAAAATAGTAGAAAAAATATAATTTGAAATTTGAAATTGGCACAAAAATGGGAAAAGTTCCTTATAGACTAGTTTATAGAGAATTGTTTAGAGAAAAAAAGTAATATAATAAAATTATCTAAATACAGTTGTGTATTTTCATTTTTCATATTCAATATATTAATACATAATGTAAAATGATTATATAATAATACATAATATGCATACTATACATATTAACTATACTTCAATAAAAGCTGTTATTCGTTTGCTCTGTTTCCAATAATAGTCAGTTGTTTTTTTTTACAATTATTTAATTTTATAAATAAATAGTGTACATAGTTTACCATTAGTAATATTAGAACTACCTATTATATTGAAATTTTTAATTTACTTTAAAATATTTAAAATATTAGTTAATAAAAATATTTCAATAATAATATGTCAGTACTTATTTAACTACTTTTGTACTGTTATAAAGTTAGTTAAATTAAAAAACAATTCAATCAACACATTATGGATTTGTGCAAAGTTTTATTGAAAATATTTTTTATTCTGTTCTTGTTATTTTTCTCAATGAATGATGTGCAATCTTTGATAAAAAGAGAATATATTGATAAACTCAATAATATATTGTCATTCAGTAATTCATGGAAACTTTTTGACAACATCACTGTTGTGGTAAACAAAAACACGTTTACAGTTTATGATTTATTTGATATTAAAGTAGCTTGTGATGATGTTGTGCTAGATGATACACGAGCTACCAAAAATATCATAATACCTACTAATTTTACGGTCAATGATAATAACTATCAACAAAAATTAGAGTTGACAATTGGATTTATCAAATGCAAATACATAGAAAAATTAAGGTATATTTTCAGTTTTTTGTATTTAATGTTAAAAGAATGTAAAGCATCATTGAATGATTTATATAATAAATCTACACATTTAGAATCCATTAATCTTTACAAAAATATAACCACTTTGGTTGAAAAAATAAGTAAACGTATAAATGAACTAATAGGTATTATGATTGAAATATTGATTATTCTTCATGATATGGACATACATTCTAAAATTAGTTCATTTTTATACCAGAAACTAATTAATTTATTCAATTATCATATTTATGTACAAAATATTGATGAATTCTTAGTAAAAATACAACAAATATGTAATCAACTCAGAAATGTGGGGCGTTATAATTGCAAAATCAAAAAAATTCATTCACAAATTGAAAAAAGTTTAGCATTAGAATTTGTAAATGTGTTATCAACTACTGTTAATAAAACTATGTTTGATAAATTTGAAGACTATATTAGTCATAAAATTGAGACAGAAATTTGTGAAATTCTGGAAAAGTATGTCTTTAACTTAACATATAATTAATAGCCAAAATTACCATAATATTTTTTGTAATAATCGTTATGGACAAAATAAATTAAAATAAATCTATATATATTTGTTTTTAAATTGTCTAAATTTATGAATTACATCTATTGTTAATTTTACAACGATAAACACTTCAATACAATAAACAATGTTTGTTATACTGCTATACACAACTAATATTAAGTTAGAATAAAAGAAAAGTTTGAATAGAGACACAATTATCAAAAATATTAAAAACTAACTTTTTGAAATGTTTTCTTGTATACTTAAAATTAATATTAATTAACTATCTACACCACCTTAATTTTTCTATGAATTACAAGGGTCAAAAAATGTAGCTCCCTCCGCACAATTGAATTTTCTAGCTAGGTAACTATTATTAAAGTATTGAATATTTTAGATAATTAATGTCATTAGTTTATTAGTAACATCAGCGTGGATAGAGTTAAATACTACAAGAAATACTATTTATCAGAATATTAAATAATGTAAGAGAAAAGTGTGTTCTCTAAAAGTTAATGGTTCTTATACTGTTGTTATTTACCTATTTAAATATGTCATTCAAGATTAAAAAGTAATAATTAGGTAAACTATAAGTTTTATTATGATGTGCCATTTTTATGTCTGTACATAGTATACCATTAGTAACATTTTAAACTACTTATTATATTGAAATTTTTAAGTTAATTTAAAATATTAGTTTATTATTAGTTAATAAAATCATTTCAATAATAATATGTCATTACTTATTTAACCACTTATACGTGTTGTAAAAATTAGTTATTTAAAAAATCCAGCACAGGGGGGTTGTGGCGCAGTGGTGACATGGCATAGTTGGGTCAAGTATAATGATATCTAACAGTGATTAAAATCACTATTATAAAAACCGCTTCGATGCAAATCTTTAGATAGTATTTAATTTAAAAAAATTGGTAGATTATTTCAAAAGCAACCATAACTCTTATTCCCTTAATTTTATCCCGATTAGTTATTTGATTTACAATTATTATATATGAATAAATAATAATTTAATTAATTAAATTTAGTATTTAATTGATAATCAATAATTTAATATTGTAATTTTTACGGAGATATTATAAAAATAATAAAGTGGTTGTATATTTCTTTACTTTTTGTGCGTATAAAAATTTAAAGAGCTTGACGCAATACTTTCCAATAAAAAATGTTTGTTACTTATAATAAAGTTTTAAGTTTTATACACTGGACTACAAGGAACTTTCATCAGAAACAAAAATGTACTTTTCTAAATCAACTTTTCTAGATATTTTCAAATATACAATTAAACTTTTTCTATCACTTCTATGTTTTAATATTATTACTTATTATTAAAAATAAGTATTTACATATAAAAAAAAATAATTAAGAACAAAAAAAACTGTGTTTAAATTAATACTGATTTTGATTATTAATATGTTAAAAATAAGAAAAATGGCATATTTAACCTATTTTGTTAATCCTTTAAAGTTGATTTTTGTGAAAGTTTATAGTAAAAAAAAATGTATTTATCACCATAACTTTTAGCTCAATTTGCAAGTTTGAAATTGACAGCATTAAATAAAAAATTATATGAGAATTAAAAAAATTGTATCGTTAAGATTAATATGCAATCAGGAAATTTTATAATTACTATTTATATTAAATTTATCAGAAAAGCTCAATATTATTTGCATTTTTATCGTAAAAGATAATTGAAATGGAAATAATAGTAATCATTTCCTGGTAACTTTTGGTGTTTAAAAAGATTCTACAATTGAAATATTCAGAAGTTAATTAATTTTATTGATTTACTTTAACTAAAAAAATCAATCAAAACAAAGTTGATAAAAAAATTTACTCAATTGAGCGTATTATAAAATTTGATTATAATTGTAAAAATCCATTATTATTTCAGAAGAAACTAAAAATCATTTTTTTTTTTAGAAATGATTTATACAGCAACATGTTACCAAAAAATTTGGAATATCATAATCTAGTAGTAGCACACGCAAATAGAGTAAAGTATTATGAAATTACAGAGTAAAATGATTTAATTTTGTAGTTGAAACCTATCATATCAAATTATCATATCAAACTTAATTCGTCAATAAATACTTTTTAACATTAGAAATTAATGATTTTAATTGTCTGTATAGAGAACATGGGATAAGTAACTGTTTAATTGATAGATTCGAATTGTTTTCAATTTTTGAGGTAATATATTCAACTAATTGTAATTATTTGACGTATCGTTGAAAAGAGTAGATCAAGTTAGAGAAAATAAAATAAATGATAGTCACACAAAAATACCTTCTCAACTTTGCATCGAAACTGAAACCTGAAATATAGTAAAATAATTTTAATATGAATAAGAAATTTCTTCTCGCGAAGGGCGACTACATTGATGGGATACTTGATCTTCATTGAAGTTATTGAATCTAAATGAGATAAAAATCAAAGGAGTTGAAAATTTATTCTAACATTAAAAGATAAAAAAAAAATTCCTTGCCATACGCGGTTTAGAACTATATACCCTAAGCGCGTAGGACTCAAGTTTTACCTACTCGGCAACCGTACGTAGCTAATGTTAACTGAAAAATTGGCTATTTAAGCTACTTCAAATTTCAAAATTATTTATCTCGACTTCCAAAAGCTAAAAAATTTAAATAGTTTAACTTTCTATATCAATTTGATTTATATAATATTTATGAAAATCAGTGTAAATTAAAATAAAATACAAAACCCAGAATTTTAACACAAAAATAGCATATTTTTGAATAACCGTAATCATTTTCACCATGAGGACAAATCCATAGGTCAAATTCTTCTTTTTCAAATTAAATTATATTACATAAGCTTTAATTTGAGATATATATAAATGTGTCAGACTTTTCGGAGCACTTTCAAAAGTAAAGTTGAAATGTCAATTTTTTGTGAAAAGTTGTCATTTTAAATCCCTCCCTATGGTAGGTAAGGGGTCAAATATTCACAAAAATATATCAAAAGGTAGGAAAATACCTAAGGTATCTATAAAAAAAAATATTATATTGATTTGGTCATTTTTAAAAAAGTTATGGCAGTTTTAAGTAAAAAAAATTGAAAAAATGTCGAAAATTAGCGATTTTTAAATTTGTAATTTTTGGGGGGATTTTCCCCATTTACGGGGAACGAGAGAATTTTTTCAAATTTCGAGGATAATGTCTTCGACTAGATATGATTTGTGATCTTTTGACGTATTGTTCATCAAAATCGGTCCAGCAAGAGCTGAGATTGAGCGTTCACAGATACAAAAAAAGGGGCGAATGTCCCTCAAATATTATTAGTCATATTTACTGACAGTTTTTCTGTATTTTTTGCTCATCATTTTTTTAATGGTATCGATATTTTTTATAGAGACCCCTCTTAAGGTACCATCTTTAGGATCAAATAAATCTTAATCCTGTAAACATGATATGTATATAATTTATGAAATGTTGTTCATAAATGTAATTGATAAATTTTAGCTTCGATGCGAAGCTGAGAAGGTATTGGTTTTACTAAGATGTGTTTTTTTTTTTTTTTTTTTTGTGCCTGTTACCACTTTTTCTCAGCTCTCACTGAACCGATTTCTTTCAATGATACGTAAAAAGATTACAAATCGTATCTAGTCGAATACATTACCCTCAATAATTGAAAAAAATTCCCTCGTTCCCCGTAAATGGGGGAAACCTCCGAAAAAATTACAAATTTAAAAATGGCTAATTTTCGAAATTTTTTCAATTTTTTTTACTAAAAACTGCCGTAACTTTTTTAAAAATAAACATATCAATATAATTATGTTTTATATAGATGGATAATATTATTACCTTTCATTTGGTATATTTTTTTCATAAATTTAACCCTTAACCTGCCCACAAGGGGGGATTTAAAATGACAACTTTTTTACAAAAAATTAATTTTTTCAACTTAACTTTTGAAAGTGTTCCGGAAGGTCTGACACTTTTATATATATCTTAAATTAAAGTTAATGTAATATTCTTTATTATGCAAAAAAAAAATTTCGGACTTTATTTTATCTTCACGGTAAAAGTGGCTACCAAATGCTATTATTGTGTGAAAATTCTCAATTTTATTTTTTACATTTTTAACTTTATAATGCTATAAATTATTGAAAAGTGTATTGATCAATATAATTTTTTTATGGGAAATACTATTTTTTAATAATCCCTTTTTCATTCGACATACTTTATCTTAATCAGGATATTAATAAGGAACTAGCAGTTTATAAAGCTTTTGGAATAATCCACCAATTTTTTAAAATTAAACACTATCTAAAGATTTGCATCGAAGCGTTTTTTTTTGATAGTGATTTTAATCACTGTCAGATATCATTATACTTGATCCAACTATGCTACGTCACCACTGTGCCGCGACCCTCCTGTGCTGGGTTTTTTATTTTCCTATTATTGAATTTATAAATTTAACCCTTTACCTGCTCACAAGGGGGGATTTAAAATGACAACTTTTTCACTAAAAATTTACTTTCTCAACTTAACTTTTGAGAGTGTTTCGGAAATACTGACACTTTTATATATATCTTAAATTAAAGATAATGTAATATATTTTATTACGAAAAAAACAATTTTGGATTTTATTTTGTCTTCACGGTAAAAATGGCTACCGAATGCTATTATCGTGTGAAAATTCTTGATTTTATTTTTTACATTTTTAACCTTATAATGCTATAACTTATTGAAAAGTGTATGGATCAACAGAATTGTTTTATGTGAAATAATATTTTTTAATAATCCTTTTTTCATTCAGGATATTATTAAGGAAATAGCAGTTTATGAAGCTTTTGGAATAATCCACCAATTTTTTAAAATTAAACACTATCTAAAGATCTGCTTCGAAGCGTTTTTTTTTTATAGTGATTTTAATCACTGTCAGATATCATTATACTTGATCCAACTATGCCACGTCACCACTGTGCCGCGACCCCCCTGTGCTGGGTTTTTTATTTTCCTATTATTGTTTTAACCGTTCATAGTTTAATAGTAATATGTAATATTAAACTATATAACTACGATATATATGTTAATACATATAATATATGTATAAATTAATTTAAGTTTAATAATTAAAATTATTCTCAACATTGAAAGTAAATTACTACTACAAGATATATTCTTTTATTGTTTATATAGTTATAATAAATTGTATATATTATAACCAATAATTAAATTTTCTATATAAATTAAGAAAAATGGCTTATAAAAAATTCTGGATCCACCTCTGACTGAATTATACTTTATATTATTAAAAACCCAGCACAGGAGGGTCGCGGCACAGTGGTGACGTAGCATAGTTGGATCAAGTATAATGATATCTGACGATTTGTGATCTTTTGACGTATCATTGAAAGAAATCGGTTCGGTGAGACCTGAGAAAAAGTGGTAACAGACACAAAAAAAAAAAAATAATAATAAAAAAATAAAAAAAAAACACATCTTAGTAAAACCAATACCTTCTCAGCTTCGCATCGAAGCTAAAAAAAACACATGTTAGTGAAATTAATACCTTCTCAGCATCGCATCGAAGCTAAAACAATTTAGTAACAATTAAATTGAGTATTATGAATAGGTGAAAAGTTTTATTGAAAATATTTTTTATTCTGTTCTTATTATTTTTTAAAAATTAAATATATAGTTTACTAAATTTTCATAGAGATATGCTAAATATTAACGTATTCATAGATAAAATAAAACACATACGGCGTCAACTCTCAACAGCACTATGGAAAAACTGCGAAATCAAAGGTCATCGGCTAACTATAAAAAGTTTAAAAGATGATTTTTCAGATGTGTCCATCGATTCTAAGGTTTAGAACTAAGTATAAAAAACTTGAAGACTATATTGCTTATAAAATTAAGACAGAAATTTTTGAAATTCGGGAAAAGTTTATGTTTAACTTAAAATAACATATAATTAATAGCCAAAATTACCATAATCATTTTGGACAATGTAAATTAAATTTATTAATTAATTTATAAATAAATTATTTTAATTTTTGTTAAAATTTTTGAACATATAAATTATGCCGTCTTTTAGTGTATTGTAATTTTTTAACTATTTGATCAATAAATGATGTTGTGTATTTTCTGAAACATTTTTTTTCTAGTTATATAAATATTATAACTGGTTAGACTATTTTGAAATAATATAGTACTTAAATTCCGTTTATTTTTTGTGTAATGTATTAATGTATTCACTGAAATACTTTTAAGGAAATTTGAATGGGAAGGCATACAAATTTTGATGAAATGAGAATTGGAATTTCTTATTCAAAAAAATATATATATATAAAAATTAGCCATCATTTACAATAAATTAATTAAACATCATGATGAATGATGACATTAGAAAGTCAATAGTCAACAATTATAATCACAATAATATATTTTGTACATATCTCTAACTTATAAAAACCCGTCATTCTATCGAGGTTATTTGCTTTTTAATTAGGTATTGGATATGCATTAGTTGTGTAAGCGACTTCATAAAAGTTTTTTTAATATGGTTTATTATATTCGATAAGATCGTATGGTTTTATTTTTTCGCTGATTTATTTGTTTGCCGTTTGTTTTTGTCAACGTTTATTGATATTTTACAAAAATAACGCTAAAACATTTGTTGGCAATATGTATGTCGCCTACTCCACAATTATACCCTTCAAACTTAGTAAATTTTTTTGAAATTGAAATTTGATACACATTTATAAATTTAACTAACAAATGTATAATTAAAATTTTCAGTTTTACACTTTAAAATAATTGCTTTCAAAACTTCAAAGTCGTGAAACAGAGTTATATTTGATGCATTTGTTCAAATTTTGAAAATATTTTTAAAATCGTAAAAACAATTTCATTAAATTATAATTATTTTAAAACACAGGACAAAAACTAAATAATATTTGCGGTTATATTATTTAAATGAATTCTTTATTCAATTTCTTACCCTTGACCACAAGGAGATTCAAAGCAGAAACTTTTGCACAAAAAGTTAACTTTGTAAACTTTTGATAATTTCCCGGAAATACTAAA